TTCGAGAGGGTATAATCAATTTATCACCACGACAAATGTCATTACTGCTTAAACCACTTGCACGTTTAATCTCCTCAAATCTATTTCCATCCCCAAGTTGCTGTTTCGCAATATTCCATAAAGTATCACCGTCTTGTACTATGTATTCAGACATCTTAATAAAAATAAAAATAAAATATTTGTTAGATTCGTAATAAAGAATAGAAAAAGAAAATATATCGTCTGAAAAAAATAACTAACAGAATCAGTCAAAGAGAAAAATAGTGAAACATATATATGTTGTGCCCAAGTCACAACTTCGGCAACACATTTCATCGAAGTTAGTGTGAACGATATTATTCATTGTACTTCGTCAAAAAATGATCAAAACCATTTTCCATAAAATCTCAGAATTTTTTCGCTACAGTATTGAACTAAGATTATCTTGGAAAATTTTAACTAATCTCAATCATGTAAAAAAGAGCTATTCATTCAGTTTGCATTTTTCATCCATTTTGCTACGACACAGATTATAAAAGGTTTGTAATAATACACAACGACTTTGATGATTTTTTTGACGAAGTACAATAGATAATATCATTCACAGTAACTTTGATAAAACTAACTTGTCGAAGTTGCGACTTCGACACGACATATATATATATCCAAGATAGTACATTGCATCATACCTTCACAAGAACATATTACTAAGTTGCGTTTTCGAGAATTGGGAAAAAATTTACAATAGAAAAAATCGATTGGATTGTTGTTGATACTTGTGCAATATCGTTAAAAAAGATTTTCTTCGCGTTTCTTTCGTATCAAGATAACATAGATGTCACTGATACTTAATATGAATAACGATAATCTCTGCCATAAAAAAGAAATATACTCAAGTTCTTCCAAATGTTTCTTTCTGTGACGTAAGTATAAGAGATGGGAAAAAGAATGATTCATACCAAAATTTTATATTTTTAGACACAAATAAAGTTATATAAAACTCTATTATTTACACGATGAAAGTCATACGAGCAGGTTATTTAGTCGGTTCAGAATAGTTCAGCGGCTTCAATTATTCAAAAACTGAATAAGTCTGCGCCATAATTTATTCCCTCTATGGGTGTGGCTGTGACTATGAGATAAGAACAAAACCCACACTTACTCATCGTCCGTCGAGGTTGTAACTTCGACAAGATATATAGAAGACTTAGATATTATCAGTGATATACGATGAAAGAAAATATAATTAATTACTTATATCTAAAATGGATATTGAAGAAACATTTTTTTCTAGATATTTATGTCGTCATATTGTTGTGAATAGTATCTTGTTGATGAATATTAACTTGTCAACAAGTGTTGTTATTTGAATGAGTATAGACAATACAGCAATTGTTCATATAGGCAATGGCTTGTTTTTGGCAACAATATATCACATTTTATGAAAATGTATTATATGTATATCATGAACAAATAAGTTGAACATGTGAGAGATTAAAATTACTACTATTACTATTTCTATTCTATATTTTATTAGCTCTTGTGTAATTTAATTAATGTTCATTGATCGAGTAGATACCGTTAAGAAATCAAGTGACCAATAGAATTGTAATTTGATGTATTAATCATGGAGACGAATGACTGAAAGAATCATGTTTCGATAATTTTCTTAGTTTCGAAAAATTTTCAAATAGAAGGAGAACATACCTTAGTAAAGAATATTGTAGCAAAAGACTATGAGAAGAAACAAAACAAATCATTTTTATTTATTTAACAAGAAAAATTAAAATAAAAGATGCTTTTAATTTATTCGTTTTTTCAACAAATTTTTAAAAATTATCATATATTACTTCTATTTACATATATTATACTATTCAGATACAGATTTTTATTAATAGAACATAATAATGATACATATCACTGGATTTTTTACTTATAAATTATAAATATCAATAAGCATATATAATACAAATTGTTAATTGAAATAAACCAATGGCTTAGTGACCGAGAAAATGTATTCAATCTGATGGTAACATACTGGCTTCTGTTGTAATAGATTTTGGTGCAAGAAATGTGTTTTTACGTTGTTTTTTGTTTGCATTATTTTTTCGTTGATTGGGTTCGGGTTGAGAATAAATATATAATTCGGAATTTGATAAAAATCTATTGTCTCTTCCAACAAGTTTAAATAGAATCATTGAAATAATAATCGCTGTAACAATACCTAATGTAATATAGGAAGCATAAGGTGTGATGGGCACTTCTGTTTGCATTTGAATTCAATATAATTGTATATCACTGGTTAATTCACCAAATGAAATGCAGAAAGAAAAAATAATAACAAGAGGTAGAGAAAAAAATAGCTGTCTCGCTGTTTTTTTTATAGTTCTTACCTAAGAAAAATTCAACAAAGATTAATTGATCATGTCAAAATTGACATGAGAAACAAAATGTATTAGGAAATCATTTATCTTAACTAAATATTTCTAATTTTGAGAATGTTTTTTTATCGAGATAAGAAACATATGCTAGTAAAAAAAATACTGTTAATAAATCGAGAATAAAATTCAAAGCAGTAATAATAATTCTATAAAATTATAGAATAAGTTTTTAATATAAGTATGAATAATATTATAAATATATTAAATTGTCAGTATAATCATATTCTTATTGATTATCATCAAATAAATAGTCTTCATACATTTAACACGTTTTGGATTAAATATATCACGTTGTATATAAGAGCAATATAAAGAACAGTCAAAAATTTACCACACTCTGACCTTGATGAACTGTGTGATAAATATATACTGAGAAAAGATCATGTCACAAAACATAGAATAACAATCACTCATTTTTCTACCGGAGATAAAAATAAATCATTTGTACACATATTGAATTAATTACTAAACTATCGACACAAAAATTAACTTTCAAAATTTATTATTACAGCTAAATGTTCAATTGACGGATCGAGTGAGTTTTTATATGAGAGATTAATAAATCGATATTAGTTAAGAATCATTGTTTACTGCTTCACGGTTAATTCACTACTCTAAATTACTTTTTCGACTGTCAAATTCATCATTGAATAATCAACGGCGGAAGATCTAGGAATTTTTTTTCATCATTTATATGATTCATCACATCATTTCCTTCGATTACTAATATTTCAATAGTGCAAATCAAATAGGCTCTTCTAGAAGAAATCAAAGTAAACATTTCAACTACGCAAAATTTCAATAAAATAATATACTATATACATACATTAAGGAAGTGGAAAAAAGAAATAACATCTGTATATAATTAATAATTTATGTCGTACTAGTTTTGTCACTAGCAACTGCTTACTGATATATGTTCATGATAAGCAATACAATTACATCTGTTTCTCTATACATTAATTAATATTATATACAAAATCATAAAAAAACAAAAGTCTATGATATAGAAAAACTTAATATATTGCCTGAAGTGATGTTTAACTTTCATTAACAATCTGAAAATGTTCTTGATGAAAATAAACTTTTAATAAGATATCGCAATAGTGAAAGATGATATTACAACTGCTTAAATATTATTTTATTTCATACTCACAACTAAAACAACATCATAATTCTTATGTTGTAAATTAATTATTGATGGTAGAATGAAATAATTTCACAATTTATTATTTAACACTACTGAACTTGAACTGTATCGTATGAAGGATATTTCGATTAAGAAAGAAAAATTGAGGACATTTTAGATTTAATTGCAAGTTAGTATGTAATTGGGGAAGTAGAAGGGCAAATAGTTGTCTATATACAAGAAAATTTAATTTTTGCATTGAACTATGTCATACATAATTAATTTCAATTCTAAAATTTATCACACAAAAAAAGAAGGAAATAAATTTGTAAACATCAGCTCAAAACTTCATCGTGAATTGAAAATTGAAAGAATTTTATTTAAGGAAAGAATAATGTTATTGAAATGAGAAGAAAATAAAATATCTAATATCATAAATTAGTCAATGTAATGTTCTTAAAATATAAGACAAGACGACGAAGAATAGTTTTATATATAATCGAAGATAGAAAAGTAAATTAACCAATAACACTTGAACATTGAGTTGTAGTTATAGTTGAAGCTGAAGCTGTTTGATTACTAACTAGAGCTTGCATTTGTGCTTGTGACACAATTGAATCATATTTACAATCATTCGCTAAAAATATTACAATATAAATATTTCTTTAATCTTAAAATTAAAAAAATATATTTAACTTACGCACTGCACCTGAAGGTCTAGTTATATTAAATTGAGTAGAACCATATACAATCCCATATGCTCCGATTGGTACATTATATATTCTATTAATAGTTAATGCAGCACAACTAGTTACATTTGTAGTAACTATTTGTGAATAAAAACTAGGAAATGGAAACCATTGATTTGAAATGGTGACCGCACCATTATTAGGTGTTGTAATAAATGATTTACAAGCAGCTGCACGTCGAGCAACACATGAACTATTTTGTCCATTCAGCAGTCGCGAATACCAATTTCCAAGAGCTCGTTTATTTCCACATGTATTGGAAAAAAGTAATAATATATCACCAATTTCATAAGTGCTACTCTCACCAACAATCTGCTGTCGACGGCGACGAGTAGTTGAAGTTGAATCATTAGCTAGACCATACACAGTAAAATTTGTTGCTACACATCCATAAAAATCTTTAATATTTTTCGCACGAAAAATTGACGTACACTAAAATTATTTCTTCAATTTAATAAACAAACAGAATTCAACAATAAATAACTTACAATAGCTGATAGTTCAGCCATATTCAAAACACTTCCACCACTAAAATTTGTTGATGGGGTGAGATTAGCAAATAGAACTTTAATTGGTAATGATTGAATACGATATACTAAAATAGAGAAGAAAATAATTTTTCTTTATTTTAAAAAGTAATTTTTCTATACTCTCTCCAGCGCCTTGTTGGCTGTGATTCGGTCCATAAATAGGAATAAGTGACAGTATTACCATTCCAACAACAAGTAAACCAACAAGAACCATTATACCACCACTTCCTAATGCAACACCGACAGCCATTGCAGCTGTTCTATAAGATAGAATTCATTATATGCAAATATTTTTTTTATTTTTATAGAATTAAAATTAACGTACTTTATTGGTGATCCAGCCATTTTCTTATGTAAAAGAAAATCTATACGAACTACTTCTTAACTGAATTGTCAAATGACAATAATTTTACAAGACAGAATTATTCAACATATATATACATACATTTAATTGACAAATAAATCATTTGTGAAAAGCATTATTGATAAATGTATATTGATAACAGTAAATAAAATAGAATTTTTTTTCCAATGAAGAACCATTATTCGTTGAGAAGGATCTGTTATACATAAATATCTATTTTAGTAAGTCTCAAGGTTAATGATGTTATATTCATTGGAAGGACTTTCGTTACTCATTCATTTTATCGAAATATGAAACCATATAATAGATCAGTACTTTGTAATAAATGTTGCAATTAAATATATAAATTATGATGAATTTTGTTATTTAAGATATAAGAATATGATTAGAAAAAAACTTGAATCTATTGAAATATAATAAAAATATATATGTTAAGAAAAAAGATTTTGTATTATAATAATTTCAATAAAAATCGAGAAGATTGAGGTTTTTGACAAGTTATTATAAAACCACAGAATGAAAGAAACTAAACTATTTGATTCGAATTGTGATATTATTAATAGCAATTTAGAAAAATATCTTTATAAAATATGATTCACTTATATTTATACAAAATGAAATGAATAGTAATGAAAAGACTTACTCATTCGAAAATTTTCAAGATATGATATATGTGTCAAGTTCAATGATTGATCCATCTTATTTATATACTTTTATTTCCAAATAGGACATACAAATTAATTGTGTATCTTAAGTAAAATTTAATGCTTAGTTATTTTTGAAAAAGCAACAAAAGAAATGTTCTGGCTTTTCGATATATGCAAGATATTCATCCCATATTTTAATATGCAAAAAAGAATTAGTTTTCATTCATGTGATCAATATAAAAAATAACTACAATATGCTTTCTTTTGTTGCTCATTTTGTACATATTTTTCTTTTTGACAACGTTTACCTTATTAATTGATTTTTTATCGCTCTATCTTTCTGTCAATAATATATTATGATGGTAATAGAAGTATATCCATGACTTTATATTTTTTATTTTTTTCTATCTCGATTTAATGAGTGTGATCAATAGGATAGAACTTTTAGATTGACTGATTAAATTGATGAATATACACTGAAAATAAAAGAATTGATGAAGATTTAATATTACATTAGCCAGAAAAAATCCGATGTTTAATCAATGTCGAATTTGAAGAATAAAATTTGAGACAGGTAAAAAGCCTTTTTTTTCTCATAGACGAAAATCTTTCGGTCTACATGCAATATATCATCCTTTAAATCAAGAAAAACCAGACTGACATCATAGTTATATTTTATTTTGATCGTAATATTCTATACAGTCATCGTAGTCAAACACATAAATATTGTGTGATAAACTAATTTTAATTAAATTTCGATCGTCTTCAGCAAATACAGGTAGGTTTAATTTGATATCGATTAACTTCAGATCTACTAATTTTACTTTCTAGTTAAATATAATGCAGTGCTTTTGATTTACTTCAATTGATATTCTTATGAATTCAACTAGAAACAAGCTATTCTGAATGTTTCTAGATGAATCTGAGCGAATGAAAAGTATTTCAATTCATACAAGTCACCTATTTCTTTCCTTCTTAATATAAACTGTAGTTTAAATAATTAACGGGTACAGCAAGACACTAAGATATTCATTTTTACAGAGATTCGCAAAATGTTATCTTCCTAGTTAAATTTCTATAAATATATTAAACGTTCTTTATTACACCATTCTAAAATAAAGGTGTATTGACTTCATCATAGTATACAATTGCAAATAAAAAAAAACATTTTCTTGCTCAAATATTGCTTCGTTATACTTCTATTAACAAACAAATATTCATTTGTGTAATTATTTTATTGAAGGAGAGATTCATGCATGAATACCATGTTACTGCATATATTTTCATTAACTTTTCTTGCAAATGAATTTTTTATTATATGTATTGAATATCAAGTACATTCTTCATGCAATTAACTGTAAAAGAATATAAAAAAATCGAAACAATGTCATAGTATATTGAAAGCGTTTTGTTTATTTTCTTTTTTTTTATTTATTATTGTCTTTTATTTAATTAAAAGAAAAAGAAATGTAAAAAATAAAACTTGTTTAGAGCTTTTCTGGTTCAAATATGAAGAATGTGGTGAAGAATTAAAATAAAAAAAAATCAAAGGATAAGGATATGGAAAAATGGGATGCTAAGACAATATAGAAATATTGTCATTTAATTGTTTATAAGGAATAGTAACGACGAGAATATAATGGTGAGAGAGAGATAAAAATAAAATAAATAATAATAATATGGAATGTATATAAGTGTATGTATGTGTCAGTGTTGTAAAATGTTCTTGGTAAATTTTACGTATCACTTTAACCACTAACTGTTGTAGCGGTAGGTAAAGTAGTTGATTCTGTATATTGAGATGCAATAATGGCGGCTATTGCAGAGTGTGATAATTGTCCTTCATAAACGCAACCGGCAACTTTAATAAAAATAAAGAAATAGAAATTTGTTTTTTAAGTGTAAGATAAATTGAATAAACATTCACTTACGGATGGCACTTTGGGTGGCAGCGGGAACGGGAACAGTGAAACTATTGGCTATTGAAGCAGCATTGCTTGGGCGAACTCCAAAAATTCTTGTTATACTTAATGAATCATAGGCTGTTAATGCGGAGTTGACAATAGAATAAACAAGTGAGTTAGGCACTGGAGTCCATTCAGTGAGAGCTCCTGATTTCGTAAATATTGAATTGGCCGCGGTTAAACGAGCTTTAACACAGCCGCTGATACTAGTTGCATTGGAGTATTTACCTACATCACTTTGTTTAGAGCATGGAGTCGAGTAAAAAATTCTCATATCGCCAATACTGTATAATCCCATTGTAGTTGCGCGTCGACGACGTCTTGAAGTGGTAGTACTGTCATTACTTCCCATCCATCCACGCATATTCTCTACGATACACCCATAAACATTGCTTTGTGATGTAAGTGATTTATATGCCGAAGTGGACTAAATAACAACAATTTTAGTCTTGTTTAATTTATAATAACAGACAAATAGATACGTACAAGAGTGGATAATGATGGATTATCAGCAATACTTCCATTCACAAAACTATCCGTTGTAGTTGTCGTATATATGGACTTGAGCATTATAGCTGGGCATCTGTATTCTAAAAGTTACATTTGATTTAATAGAGATTATTTCAATTTTTGTATAAACATGAATTACCCTCTCCATATCCTTCAGTAGCATGATTAGAAGTGAAAGTTGGAATAATACTGAAAATGGCCATAGCTATAATGCATGATACAACAGCGATGGCTCCACCAAAAGTCATCAGTATCATCTTGACTGAAGTAGCAGCAGTAGCTCCTAAACCCGCCATTATTGTGCCTGAACAAACAAGTACTATGTTGATATATTCAGTTTTTTGTTAAATAAAAATTTACCTTGCTCCTTGAGAGAAAGTTTTTTAAAATAGTATTGGGACTATTTTTCGAGAAGTGTATACGTAAAATCACTTTCTGCACCTTTTATATAGTGAAATACTTTTTCTTATATATTGGCAAACTATTTTTTTTTCAAGCGCGTTTGTCAGGGTTTTTTCTCTTTTTTTAATTGATATATAGGCAATTGATAGATGACTCTTCTCACGTTTTATTATTTCTCTTGCAATCAACGATATTTCTATTTCTTTTTTTCTCGCTCATAAACATACTTCTATGTATGGTTGATTTATCCTTGAAAAGAGGAAGAAGCCTGACTGATAATCAATGTTTTATATGAGTGGGCGACTAGTCACTTATTTCTCATTAGACACCTTTCTCATTTCGTTATGCTTTATACACAGATGATACACATTTACAAAATATGATATGAAAGAAAAAAAGAATGAATTGATATTTTACTAATAACATAGCAGTTTGTCTTAGCATATTATATGAAGAGATATAACACAAGGTCATTGATGTAAAATAACAAGACCGAAAATTTTAAATTAAACAAAATCATTATATGAAATACAAATTTATTTAACGACAATAAAACTAAATTTGAAAATAATCATCATCATTCTTTGTCATCGATTTATTTATAAGATATTTTTTTACCCTTCTCCGGTCGAATGTTGCCGTACGGAGGTACAGTATTTTTCGAAGAGGATTAAATAAATTCATACGAATATTTGTAGTTTAGAGATAAATATTTTCTAGATTTTATAATTTTACTGAAACGAATTTTCATCTGGTTGTTTTTTAAAAAATATAACTGTATGATGCGTGAAAAACACTGAAAACTATGAATATAACGTTGCTATTAATTAAAATACATGTCAAGGTCTGTTGGAAACTTAGTATATTTTTAATTATTATTCAAAATGAGCACATGAGACGAAAAAGAGCGCATATTTCGTCTCACTCATTTCCTTCATTTAGTTTTCTGATGAAAGATATATTGATAAGTATCAGTACTTAATTAATAACTTTTTTTGAAAGCTTTGATTTTAATTGAATCTTCAACAATATTACTCACTAGGACATGACGATGTTGTCATGTTTTTTTCATTACTTTTTGATAGCTAATATTCATTAGAAAACAATCATGTCTTGTTTTCTTCTATATAAGCACTATACATTATAATTATTTTTTTCTAAATGATACTAAATAATGTTTTTATAAGGCGATATATTAAAAAATCATTATACGTGTTTTGACCATTTGAAATTTTATAAAAAAATGCAAATGTTACTAAATAAAACTAAAAATCGATGCTCTGTATTAAATATTGCTTATATATGCTATTTTATCGTACAAGATTGATTTACTTTCAAATATATATTGACTATGATGAAAAACAAAGTTTGAATCGAATGCTAATTGACAACAACGTACTGCATATGTTTATTAATTTTTAGTTAACGAAATATTGTTCGAAAGGATGAAAACTAGTTAAATTAAAATGAATTTCAATGATTTTCTAATATGTAGATGCTAGGATTAGTAATAAATATTGCAGTAGTATTGATGCTGATGATGACAGTTAATTTTTAAAGACTATCAGACGATATTTTTAACAAAAAAATGAAGTATTTGACACAGAGGACAACTCGATTCTTCATTCCATCGAATATTTCATGTAATGTTTCAGAAAAACATAAACGATATTTATTAAAACATTAAATATTGTTTACGAGTAATTATTTCTCATTACTACATAGACGAAATTTAAACAATCATGCTGTGGAAATATTGAGGTGATAAAGCAATAGATTATCATTTGTTTTTCGATTCAATCTCATTTAATCTCGTTACCTGTTTAAGCAGTAAACTATCTCGTCTATCAAAAACAAAACTACATAAACCTATGATGTATCACTTAACTTGTACTTTTTTTTTTCTTAGGTACGATTGTAAATTAGACATAAAGACATTGGTTTTTTGATGGATGTCTGTCACTTCCTATTGATGAGACGACTGTATACATCATTAATCATTCTGATGGTATCAATAAAGTTACGATAGGTGAAATATTTATCTTATGTTACCTCAAAAGACATAAAATCGTTTGATTAAAGCAAGATATACACGTCGATCTCAAGGTTACGAATACATGATGATAATTAATGATGCAGCCGGAGAAAGTCAAGCGTAGCATTTTTATTTATGTCATGATTTGTCAGTTTTTTTTTTATTATTGATAATACTATGCTTGAAAAATAAAGGTAAATGAATTAAGAAAAACTGAAAAACGAAAGAAAGTCAGGTACAATAAGTCGCTCGATATCTATACTATATTAGAATTTATAAAAATATGAATTTACTGACCTTGTTATTAATCGACACATATTAATATGGAATTTTTTTTGAATTTCAATACCCATGATTAAAACAAATCACTTGCATCTTTAAAGACACCCAAACATTATAAATTGGAATAATAATAATGATTGACTGATCTTTGTACAATATTGCTGTTTCATTTTTTGTCAAAATATATTAGAACATGATAAACAAGGTTGTCAACCTTTTGAAGATGCATTTGTTTTGAGGACAAAATGAGAACTTCCAAACATTGAAAAGAATATATTCATTCGAAAGAGACTATATGTGAGCACTGTACAGATGTTTTAATGTTATGCAATGTTGGTAGTGACATATTCATCACTTGCACTAGTGTGTATAATTATAATTACACGATCAAAGGTCTACACAAGTTTCGTTACATTCCTGCAAAGTTTGACGTAAATATACGTCTTTTGGCCCCAAGGGGTTAAAAACAATGTGTTTATAATGGAAAAAAAGTATGTTCAAATTATGTGAAGATCTTAACTATTGCATGCATTTTGTATATGCTTTTCAACGAGAACTATAAGAAAAAATATTGTCACAGTTTCAGTTGAAATTGAGATGTTCTCTTATCAATACGATCTTTTTATTTGTTTTTCATACAGAGAAATATTTCCTTAATTTCAAGTACTGATTGATAATAAAAACTAGTCGAACATATGTAGTCCAAACAGATAAAATATCTTCAAAATCCCTCTCAATGTGATTATCAATCGAGTCCGGTTAAAAATATTCAACATTGAAAGGTTTTTCGACATCTTTTTACTCGCTTTAAAATTTAATTCTAATATCAACTATCGCAATATATAAATTTTGTTACTCCGATATGATGTAAACACTCTTTTCAATAGGCACAATAAGTTCAATATTTTAAATATTTCCTATGATTATTTATGAAAACATAATATTATATTTTTTTTTGTTTTTGTGGGAATGATAGAATATCTTTCTCTTATGCAAAAAAAGATCTTATTGTAATTCATTTTTATATAATAATATAAACTATTGAATAAGATAGTTCGGTACATTGAAGTCGTGATATTTAGAACTTTCGGCATGTACTTTTTTTTCTTCACGCTTATAACATTTTTGTTTACATATAAACAAGTGAAACTATCTTAACGCTTCATATTTTTTATCAAGTATCACACTCAATAATTTGACGCCTATAAATTTGTTTACATCGATTAAATGCGTACCTAACATAGCAAGAGAAAAACCTGATCAAAATAAATTATAAACGGACTCAAATATTTCAGTACATGTTCACTTAATATTCGAGGAAATACAAAGTGAAATTTTATGAATTGAAAATGATAAGTATTTTCATATCTTATCATAACGGTAGTTTTTGTTTTATTTCAGAATTTTATTTAACACAGAGATAATACTACAGACTACAAGTGAAATCTAAATGATTAGAAAACATAATTGACAAGTATTGATAATATAAATATGAAAGAAAAACAAAACGTTTATTTATACAGTGCTTTCATGTAATTTTATTTGATTTATATCAATATTAAAATCATTTTCTGAATTTGTTGATGATAATGATAATAATGTTTGTGTATCATCTTTTACAGTTGATATCGTATTTAATGATCCATTTGAATCACACCTTGAGATTTTAAGAGAAACACTACCATCATCAACATCATCAATATAACCAACTTGAACATATTCATAAGGAGAATTTCTTTGAATTAATAATTTTTCATTTGCTGATTCTTGTTGTATAAAATGATCAAGTTTATTTAATGAAACATATGCATTATGATGTTCTTCTTCTTCATGTGAAATTGAAGACATTATATGAGTAGAATTTTGACTGGTTGTATTTATAGTATTTTGTTCATAGGATGGATTTAAAATACTATTTGATTGAGTTATATTTGAGGATTTTGAAAGATTTTTCGATGTACTTAATGTATGAAGACGAGTGATTGGTAATGGACGAATAATCGCTTGAGATGGAGATATTCGTGGATAAGTAAACGACTGACATGAAGGAAAAGAAGACGAAGACAACTAAATTCGAAAAAAATTGATTATTTTTTCAAGATTTTAGGAAATTCATACTTGAGTAGTTCTAGTTTCTGTTGTAAGTGATTCTACTGGACTATATGTTGATTTTTTTAATGATCGTTCATTGAGTGAATTACGTTGAGATTGATATTTATTAATATTCCTAGAAAAACAAAATATTAGTATGAAATATATACTAGAACAGATTGTACTATTTGTTACGTTGTATAAACTCGTTATACAAAGAGAAAAAAGTATAACAAAACTTACTCATGTACTATTACATCTAATGCTGGAAATAGTGGAAGTTTTTTCGATGAACTTGTTGCATTTGTTTTTGGTATATGACGATAAAATGCATAATGTTCTGATTTTATTTTCATAAGAGGTTTTGAATCATAAGTATCATTATTATTTATTGTTGTTCTTTCCGTATGTTGTTGTACTTGACAAACATCTCGATTTGTTAATGAACAGGTATGAGATGGTGGTGATAGAGATAATCCATCTGTAGATGAAGGAGTATCGAAATCTTTAATAATCATTGTATTTATTGATGATGATGGTGGTGGTTTAATATAAAATCGATTTATTAAATTATCATCATTATTTCGATGTGTATAAAATCGTGTTATTAAATTTGAACGTGATAAAACATGATATGAAAGTATATAGAATGCAAGAAATAAAACAAAAAATCCATATAAATGACTGTAAATAACATTTTCAAAACGTAATTTAAATGTTTGTAATGGTTGAAGATAAATAGCTAAACTTGATAAAAATAAAAATATCAGAAGAATTAATTGACATAATATTGATAATAATTGATTAATTGATTCATAACGATAATCTATATTTGTTGAATATATATTATCTGAATGTGAATTATAATGTTTAATATTTGATATGATTTGTTGATTATTTTGATTTGATGGAATTATAAGTGGTAAAATTTTATTTCGTTTTGATAGTAAAATATGTTCAGAATTAATTCCGGATTCATCCGATAAATTCGGTAAATGTATTTTTTTCTTTGTTATTTGTTTGATATAATTACGAGAAATTAAAAGGAATATAAGTGAAAGAAAAATAAACATAAATATTGGTATAATTAAAAGTAACATAGAATCAAAATGATTTGAAAAACATCTAAATATAAATAAGAAGAAGTCGAGACATTAAAAGTGACAATTACATGCCAATGAAATGTATAAAAGAGGTCACATACAATTTCAAAAATTGATGACATAATGAAAAAGAAAAGTTATATATACTAATGACATAATTTCGAATGAAAAATTTATGGAAGTTTTAAATAAGCAGTTTAAATTCAGAATCGAAATTAGAGAACTAAACAGACTTCAAGAGGATGTACAACTGATCAATGACTGCTTGTTATTCCATTCAATACAATAAAGAATTTATTCGAATATGAAATAATTGCTGTTATTAACAGAGAATCATTTTACTAAATAGATTCAAGCAAATACGATATATATATTTGACTGACTCTTTGATTCATTACCCATGTAAAAAAAAGTGAACAAAGTTCACTTATAAGTAATTTTTCATGTTAATTAAGTAAAATAAAGTGACTTTTTTTTTACTCTTTTTCAATTTGCGCAGTACTTTAGAATACTTCTTCCACCTATCAAAGTATTTATTCATACTTTTGCTAGCTTCAAAGTATGATTTATTACTTTTTTGGACTTCCTAAAGTACTTAATAGTACTTTTTAGTCAAAAAGTATGGAAAATACATAAGAAGGTTCACTTATAAGTACTATTCTCTGTCAAAAACCAACTATTGAAAGTACTTAACACTCACTTTTATGAGTCAAATTTTTTACATGGGTAGCCACAACTAAATCAGTACTTTCTTAGAATCTTTTTACATTTCTTAAAAAACCCACGAGTTTTCCATGTAGTAATTTATATGTAGAACAACTTTTATCTTAACCCGCTGTACCTGAATGACCTTTGAAGACTTTACTGTCTACTCTTTTGCTTAAGCATCATTTATATCTTTCTATATTTCAATATGTGTCTTTTAAGTGTATACTCATCCGTATAAGAATAGTTTTGTAAATACTTACATTTTATTTGTTAGATGTGGTTCACGCGATGTAATAACATTAGCACCACAAATAATGAATGCTAATCCATATGCTATTAAATAGAATTGAATAACGGGTTTCGATTTTAATTTCATAATTGGTAAACTAACATCATCATAATCAACCATCATTACTGCTGACTTTTCATGGTAATCTTTATCTGTTGATATAAGATAAAGTTTTCTCCAAATCGAACTAAAATATTAAGTTTAGTTGTTATATTAAATTTATAATATTATTATCTTACAAAGATAATAATGTTAACCAAAGTATAGTTGTTAAACAAAGAAAATGGAGACAAATTGAAATAAATTCGCATAAAAATGGATGTTGATTTTGTTGTATACCAAATGCAAATAATGATATTAAAATACCAAGATTAAGCCAATAATTAATTAGACAATGAAAGAAACGTCTTGGTATTTGATAAATTCTAATAAGAAAACAAAACAAAAAAATAACTTTTTTTTTGCCTAAGAAATATTTGTATTTACTTGTAAAAACAGATATAGAAAATAATCGAAATAAAAAAACATATTGTTGCAAGTATAGATGAAACATATATAGTTAATTGTGAATATTTTGTATTAAAAAATAAATTCTTCTGATTATTTATATCATCAAGATAAGTTAATGATAACGAATTATTATTAAATAGAACACAATCGGTTGAGATTAAATTATTATTCTAAACATAAAAATCAATTCAAAAAAGAATCAATCAAATATATATATATATATACCTGTTCGTTTATTTTACAAATAGATGATTTTATTTGCCATGATGTTTGATTTAAATACCAAATTCCAATTGATGCTTGATTTGCTTGACCGTAAAATGTTAATTTAATTGGATATGAACTATATCTTGATACTAAAATGTTCGGTAATAAAAAAAGAAATTCTAAATAGTCATTAGACTTAATTTTTTCTGTTCTATGTAAAACAAATAGATTCATATATATGTAGAAATTGAACAATTAAATATGTAGTGATTTTATATGTTATCACGATAAAATTCATGTTCGGTCAATGGATATGAGTTAAATGTATTGATACGATAAAAATAATGTGTTCTTTAGAAAAGCAATTGGTGAATAAAGTCGATGTTATTATAAGGAGATGTGTATACATAAAAATTGTTTATTTAGTAAAATATCGAAACTATTGTTTGAAAAGAAGTGCTATAATTACATATTACTTATTGTAATTTAAATCTCTTTAGTGATCTGAGGTAAATATTTTCGTAGAAATTCTTAATTTATCTTCTTACCTGGTCGTATATAAATAGCTGGATTAAGATCATTATTTTGCATGTTATCAGATGCAAATAATGTAGATTGACGATAGAATATAATATAATAGAAAGAATTTTGATTTGTTTTATTTAAACTAGAAGGAAATTGAATTGTCATTAATGGAGACTATAAAGAAAAAGAATTGAATAAAATAAAATTTTATATTTCATTATACTTGATGTTGATGATGATCGTCAGGTTCACAAATAATTGTTAATAGTGATCGATCAGGTATAACACATGACGTTAATGATAGTGGTGCTTGCATTGTCATAGCAGTTAATTCTTTTCCAATATATAACCAAGGTTGATCTGTAAAATCTAATAGACGTTCAATTATTAATCTTAATCTAAATAATTAAAAATAAAGAAAAATGAAAATTCTATAAAATTTAATTAATTAACCTTGTTAAAGCCATTCGATATTCACGAAAATGCATAAAATTATGTTTAATTTGTAAAATAAAATCTGTTAAATGATAAATTAACATAATTCTATCTTGATTTTTATATTTAACTTGTTGTTCATCAATTAAATCAATTAATAAAATAATATCAAATAATTCTAAATTATTTTTATCAATTTTTGATAAATATTTTATTATACGCAATAATAAATTCGTTTCAGTTAATGATAAACGATCAAATATTCTTGATATATTTGATTGAAATGCACATTGTGAGACATCTAAATTCATCCAATCTCCACTCGATGAACACATATACCATGCTCGTGCATATTCATTCGAATTTCTTAACCATGCTGCCGAACCAAATGGACATTTCTTTTCAATTTTGTTATTAATTAATGTACGTGGCCAATGAAAGTAACCTTTCGATGTATTCATTCGTATTGATGGACAAAAATGATTCGATGAAGTTTGTAGAACAGTTAAAGATATTGAACGATTTGAATTAAAATTATGACATGTCCATATTCCAGAATGTTTTATCTGTAAATGATCAATAATTATAGCTGAATATAATGATGATGCAATAGTAGATGGATAAATTTTATCATTTAATGTCCAATAATGTTTCGAATTTGATGAACAATTCAATATAAATGGTTCATTTTCATAGATCATTTGTGCTTGTTGTGGATAAATTTCAAGAAAATTTTTAATACGACAAAAATCATTTTCATCAAATGGTTTATTATTTTGACAAATAATATTTTTTAATTGATTATGTGTTTGAAACCATTTTGATTGACATGTACAATAGAATGGATTATTTAATAGATCAATATTTATATTTGTATATTTTTTAAAAGTTTTTGGAATTGTTTTTAATGAATTATTTTGAAGATATAATGTTGTTAGATGAGGAAATTTTGATAAGAAATCAGTTGGAATATAATGAATTTTATTATAAGATAAATCAAGTATTTGAAGATGATTTAAATTTGATAAAAATTCAATTGTTGTTAAAGAATTTGATGAAAGATTTAATAGGATAGTTGATTCAGGTAATTGATTATTGATATTAAATAATATTTCATTGGTTAATTGATGATCAGTACATTTTATAATCGTTAAATCAGATGAACATGTACATGAATCAGATGATGGACATTGATCACCGATCGATAATCGAATAAGTAAAAGAACATATATTATAAGAATGAATAACATAATCAATAGAAGTTTTGCATGATATGAATAAGTTTTATTGAATAATAATAAGAAAGATGAAATCTAAGAAAAGAAATCAAAAAATATATGACCGATGTTAAAGTTAATATAAATGAAAGAAATACATTGACTTTTTTTTTCTTTTCTTTCTCTACTTGATCGATATATATATATATATATTGAACAAAAAAAAAAGACGATTAACTCATTTGTACATCTGTACTTAGACTTTTTGTTACTCTAATAATTTGTTTTTACTTGAGATTTCAGATAAAGTTCATTGTATTATAGGATGGGATGTATACGTTGTATATGTATGTATAATATTTATGTATATCTTTTAAAATTATGTTAGATTTAAAAGTAAAATATCAATATGAATAGGTAGATGGCGTTCATTGTTCATTGAACCGTTTGAGAATTGTAATCAATTGTATTGAAAAATGCAAACGATGTTAATTATAAATGTAAAAGTAGACTGTCAAAAATTGCTAAATCATTTGGAAAGACTCGACATATATATTTCTTCACTATATCGATATACATGAATATTAATAAAGAGTCATATTGTAGACTGTTTCAAATTATTAAAACTATTCAATTGTTTTCACTTGTTTAACGAACTATTATTTTTCAATCGATACAATTATGAATAAAAATTGTTGATATGATAGACATCTAGCTTAAATAATATTCATATTTTATTATTGAAGTTTGTTTTAACAAAAAAGCACAATGAAAATATCATTCAATTAGAACTTGACGATATTTTACATTTTTATCATTGAAATATGTTTCGTTTCAAGAGCAGCATATTAATTTAATAGCACTATCAAAATTTTTTATTGCTCCTTTATGCAGATGTATTTGAAAATGAGGCGATATTATTCGAATATATATACTTGTAATCTTGAATGTTCGTTTAGCAAAAATGAAAGAAAATTATATAAATAAAGTATGTCAATTCTTATCTTATAGTACTTATTGTGTTATACTTAATTTCAATAGATTTGTTCTCAAAAGGTACTGGTGCATTTTCATAATACCCAGGGGCGACGCGACCGGGGGGTGTAACACCCCCGCAATCTTCGAAAATTTCTATTTTTTGTTCAACAAAATCGGTAAATCTTCGTAGGTTTTTTACCAAAGATAATGCTACACCCCCAAAAATTCAAAAAATTTCGTTACACCCTCCCCCCCCCCAATGTTGGCTGCCTCGCGCCACCCCTGATAATACGTTATGCCTAGTTAACCTAGTTATTTTATTTTATCCTATTCGCATCGCATGCATTTCTCATAATACGGCAGCATTTTCTCATATACTTTTTTTGCTACTGCTTATCGATAACAAACTACAAAATGCATCATATTGTATTTTATGAAAAATAATTATGTGGGAGAATAGAAATATGTTAATCTATTTCGATTGTATGAAAAAGCAGATAGATTCTTTATTGAATAACTAGACAACATTTATATTGATTTTCTTTTAAAAGTTTATTTCTGCGAGCTAAAAATTGAATAAAACAATAAAAATATTTATGATCAACAATCATTGTATTGTTGTCACCGAGGGATATATTGCTCGTTCACTGGTTTTTGTTTTATTTTATTTTCGTGCTCGAAATACTCCCCATCGTTGATCACCTGATGCCGTTCGTTTAAGTTTACTATGCCAGCCTTCGATTAAATGTTCATAATCATCATTTGAGAATTCCTTTAAAAATTATATCAATTAGCAAATTAAAAAGTAAAAACAAAAAAAATACTTTAACGAAATCATCTCGATTAGCTTCAATTCGAACTAATTCCCTATTAAGACATTCAACAAATTTTGCTGTTGCATCTTGAGCATCAACGTCTTTAAAACCAACACTTTCCAAGACCTATTTCAAAATAATAATAGCAAAAACACGGATTATATGTATGTATGACTTACTTTGCCATATTCTGGTACAGTTAAAAGTACATATCTTCTTTGACTAACGTAATCTTCATAATCTTTTGACCATTCACTCTTTGGTGCACATGTATAATCAGAAATAAATAATTGACCACCTGGTTTAAGCCAATTCTATTTAATTCAATATAATAATTTTAAAAAAATTGTTCTCGAAAAACAAAACATCTTATCTTACATAAAGACGAGAAAATAAAGTCATCTTATCGCTTATATGTAAAATTGTATCACGACTATAGATAACATCGAATGAATTTGGTTCAAATTCATGATGCATTATATCGCCAATTTCAAATGATACCTAACAAAACGAAAACCAATAATGTTTCAATAAACAAAATAGAACAATTAATTATACCTTAAGTTTACTAGCTGCCGTATCCATTGATCGTTCATAAGCAATGCTAACCATATTGGTAGATAAATCAACACCAACTACTGAACATCCATATGTCTTTAAAAAATAAAATATAGTAATTTAACGAAAATATAAACTTTTACCTTAGCCATATAAATGTCACCTCCACCAATACCACAACCAACATCCAAAACAACTTGATTACTTTTAAGATTAAGTGAGTCAACAAATTCCTATATAAAATCAATTTATATTATTAAAAAATTACATATTTCTCTATTTTCTTTTAATCGCATCAACAAATAAACAAACCTTTGTTGTATCTAGACCACCTGTTGATACGAAGCCAGGTCCAAAAATTTTCTCATAACGTAAAACACCATTTGTGGTATATTGTTGTTGATCAAGAAAATCTTGAAAATTTGAATGATCATTTTCTTTGGCAATTTTTTTAAACATATAACATAAATGGAATGATTCTTGTTTCTCCTGATAAAAAATATATAAATTTCATCAATAGATATTCATTTACTTACTTCAACGAAACTACGTAATGGTCGTGCAAAAACTAATTCAAAACTAAAGTTTTCTTTTCCACTTAATTTAGCCGAATGAAAATGATTAATAACATCAACTGGATTACTGGAATGACTTTCTTTATCTTTTGACCACTCACTTTCATAAACAAATATTTGACCATTAGTTTTAAGTGTTTTTAAAAGATTTTGTAACATTTTTTCTTTTTCATTGGTATTTAATCGATTAAATGATTTGATAAGAAAACAAACATCGAATCTATAATTAAGAATAAAAAAACCATTTTCTATTTATTATAATCTTACAAATTATCTTGTAATTCAGCATTATTAAACTTAGCACAATTTAATATCGGTGATTTTTCTGCATTTTTCAATTGTTCATCGATTTGTTTATAAGTATCAGATGATTCTGTAAAAACAATTAATTGTTGAGTGTTTGATAAAAGACTGGTATAAGATTTTGAACTAAAAATATATATTATTCAATAAAAATGTATTAGCATTAAATATATACTTTTCAACATCATTAACAACAACTAATACACTTTTATTTGCAACATCAGGTATAAGACGTTGCAATTCATTTCCAGTATGGTTAGCCGATTCATGTACCATTATGAACAGAAAATAATGACAATCTAGGTATAAAATTAAAGTAGAGAAAAGAAAAAAACAAAAACAAGTCTGTTTTCGAATATGAAGTACGCGAAAAACGAATCTAAGATACACTTATATTCGTAAGACTAACCAATTCGCTTCTATTTCAATAACCTTTCCTTTGAGGCAACTAAATATTAGTATACGATGTCGCACAGTATCAGCGTTAGTTTTTTATCCTATATCATAGCTACAGTTCTATTGAAATGGTTTCGCAAGAGAATAGGTAACACTCGATTATATACTCTCATTGAGTTCACATAATTTCGGCAGTTGTTTTTTTCTCTTGCATATTATAATATCCTTTGATCAAGAAAATATGAGATTAACCAGTTCAATTATTTTTCATATAATCTGATCTCTGATAGCAATATAAATCTTATTTCAACATGCGAAATAATAATTATGTTGAAAGCAATAATTATCCATCCGTTTAATTAAAAAACAATAGTAAATTAAAGTATCGTAAAATATTCATTCAAAGATAGGTTATTTTATTTATAATAAAGAATAAAAAATCTCTCTAGTGCAATATATTAAGAAAAGAAATAGATATAAACCATACATAACGTTATGTAGAACGTGAAATTACAAAAAAACAAAACATAGAGGATAAAAGAAATATTAACAGTGACACATATTAATGAGTTATGTCATACGTTCTATTTTTCTAGATGAAAAATATCGATTAAATATGAAGGTTATTATTGTTATGAAATAATTGACAGATTGTTTGTATTTTTCGATAATAGATAATAGATTTCTAAAAATTATATTCATTGCTTAATCGAATAAGTTTAATCTTAAATGATAAACATAGTTTCATTAATCAGAAGATTCTCAACACTTATGTTCTATGAGAAATTAGAAAATATCAATTAAGGAATAAACTCCGTTATAAACTACAATATCTTATAATAAATAAAAAACATTGTAAAAGTATCGTATGATATTTCATGATATTGATAATCGAGATTTAATAATGACATTAAATTGTTATCAAAATATCACTCGTAAAAAGTGAAACTGCTTCATTTCTAAACCAATAATAAACTTAATACTTTATATTAAGTTGAGTTAAATGATTTGCAAAGCGACTGATCATAATACCCTTTTATTTATTTCTTAATTTAGTTTGATTTATAAAAGAAAATATGAATGATAGCCGTAAAAGTTCTCATGCAATTCATATTCAAATAATTGAGAATAAAGCAGGTTTTAGTTCATATTCATCGACTGTAACAAATGTTACTTTTCGATGAATATTTTAGTGAAATGTATGAAATTAGAATTCGACCTAGCTTATCGTACTCATCTAAATAGAATCATTTGATTAGATGAGCTCAAATAATCTATTTAGAAGATCAATCAAGTACTTGTCTCGTCATAATTTATATTATTTCTTGTTAGAATAATATAAATTATGACGTTGGATATAAGATGATGAAAATGCCAATGCCCATATGCGTATTCGCATTCTCAAATTATTTTCTAGCTTTGTTCAAGAAAAAATCAATTTCGATTATAGCAAAAGTCATTGTTATATTGATACCCATCAGCATACACTGCGATTTGAACTAAACAATATAAATATCGACGATGACTGTCGCTTTGTTTGAACTTACCAGGACAATGCAAAACACAAACTATTCGACAAAAATGTAGATTATGATAGCTAGTCTCACAGCCTCAATAATCTCTCTAGCTATGTCTTTTAGTTCTGATAAGTTCATTGACTAAATTGTAAATTAGTATTGTTTGTTTTTTTTCAATAGTGATGCTTTCAAATCATAATACAAATAAACTATAACAAATGATAATAGATATCAGAGAAAAATCTTTTAGAAAAAGAAATCATATAAAAAGGCAGAGCAAATTTTTGACTACTGATATATTTCGTCATTGATTTTGAATTTTGATTAGGAGTATTGCTTGTAATTGCGATGTATATTTTTAATGAATCTCATTTTTAACCTTCTTTTTTTTCTTCTACGCGTGTAGTTTTTTATAAACAGAAAAAGAACAGAATGAGAGGTAATTTATGGCGTACTTTTTTGCACTTTCTGAACGCGTATCAGAAGTACAGCGTTGACGCATACGTTTGAAAGAGGAGGAAAAGAACAGAAGCAATCGTAAATAATACTACCATATAAATAGACGAAGTTTTCATTTATCTTGACACTTGGATTTTTTACTAAAATATTTTTCTAATCATGTCACCACCAAATGATAATTTTAAATCGAACAACAAAGTTACTCCAATGAACGAAGATGCAGTCAAGGAATTTAATAAACAACAAGTCGATGGTACGCAAATTACAATTGCTCACGATCCCGTTGCACCAAATTCAGCGCTTTTGAGAAGAAGTCTTCTTAGTAGGATATTTAAAAAAGAAAAAAAAGAGAATCAACCTGAAATCAAAAAGAAACCAGCAGGACCAAAATTGAAAACATTTGAGATTGTATGTATCATTATCTATATAGATGTACTTATCATATCTATTTTTGTTTTTAGTATAAATTTGCTGATAGACTTGATATACTACTTATGGTTGTGGGTACTATCGCAGGTATATTTCAAATGTTTATTTTTCTATTCATTTTCTATGAATTTTTATTTTCAATTAGGTTTAGCAACTGGTGCAGCAATGCCAACAATGATGTGGCTATTTCAACATGTTGTTAATGGTTTAATTGCCACAGCCACAACAAATACAACATCCACTGATTGGTATATATATATTCATATTTATAATCATTTTTGAATCCTTCTTTTTGGATATAGTTATACGGATCCTCTTTCAAATGGTGATCCTTACTCAACAATTCAAAGTTTAATTAAATGGTATATAACAATCGGTGTCTCAAGTATTGTTCTTCATTGGATAGCTTATGCATGTTGGGTATAACATATTTCATTTTTATGTACATGATAACAATATACTTTTATATTTAGATGATTGCATCTGAACGGCACACACTTCGAATTCGATTTGCACTTTTTGAAAATATTATGACACAAGAAATGGGCTGGTTTGATTGTCAAAATGCGGGTTTGTGATTTATTGTTTTCTGTCATATCTATAACAATTGTTAATATAGGTGGATTATCTAGTCGTCTTGTTGGTGATCTTGAAAATATTCGAGAGGGTACTGGTTTTCGTGTACCTGATTTCATTTGTCTTCTAGCTCGAATAATTAGTTTAATAATATTTTCTCTTGTTACCGGTTGGAAATTAACACTTGTGTTTCTATCAATTTCACCATTGATTGTCATTACATTTAATGTTTTAATTCGAGTAAGTCAAAATATAATATTAATAAATTTTTAATATACGGAATATTTCAATTTAGCTTATGACTAAATTTACTGTGTTAGAATTAAAAGCTTATGGTACAGCAAATTCAATTGTACAAGAAGTTTTAGGAGCAATAAGAACTGTAACAGCATTTAATGGACAAGCTAAAGAATTAGAACGGTAAATATAAATATTCTTTTAAATAATTATTTAAGATAGAATATAGTGTCTTAAAAGTCATGATCACTTGAGAAATTCATTTTTCTTTCTTATTAACAAAGTGATATCAATAATTTTTTTTTGTTTTATAGAGGAGGATAGTAAGTTTTTTTCGTACGAGTCTTGTTTATAAAAGATGCTGAAAAGTATTATGTTTACATGAATACAAAAATTCAGACTTTTTATAGTTTCTAAAAAAACATCATAAAAAAGCTTTTTTTTAATTAGTTCGATTTCTCTAGTTATTCTGTTCTTCAAATCATCTATGTTTTCGACTGTTGTTTTGCGGTGCTTCTATAAAAAGAAGTCTGATAGCGTTATATCAGACTAACTAGGAGCCGATAATAGGGGTCTACTTCTTCTAAATTCATCTGTTATTGAAAACATCTTTAAGCTATGTACCGATTGCAGTTGAGAGAATGGCATTTTCTAAAGACCTAACAACAGACGATAGGTTTTTTCTAAACGGATTGACTACCTGCATAGTTCTCATAAACAGTCCATGCTTGACTTAATGATGTCTTCAACAATAGGTGGACTTCTATCACAGGCTTCTAGTTAACATCATATAACACTATTCGACTTTTTTTTATGGAGGCATCTCAAAACAACAGTCGAAAACATATATGATTTGAAAAACAGAATAACTCCAGAAATCAAACTAATTAAAAATAAAAATTTTTCGTTATATTTTTTTAGAAAGTATGAAACGTCTAAATTTCTGTATTTATGTCAAGGATAATACTTTTGAGCAGTGTTTACAAACTTGGCTCGTACGAAAAAAAACACTTTGTAAACAATTTTCGTTATAAGAAATCTCAATTAGCATTTTCAGAATAATAAGATTACAGGACATGCAATGATAACCTCATGAATATTTGACTTATTTATAATAAATGTTGGTTTTACGCAGGAGGAAAACCGAATCCTAATTTTTCGAGTTTAAGTGAATCTTATTTGTTTTTGATGAAATTCTAGAATCTATTTTTCTTCTAAAGATTCCCTTATGAGTAAGAATATGATATTTTCAATCAAGTTCAATTATAGATACACAATCAGTATACCTTGAGAGAATTTTGGAAACTTTCGAGAGTGATATGTTCATAAATTGCATACATACCATAACTAAAACTAATTTTAGTACGTTTTTTATGTCTGATACGCATTAAATTTGAAATTAGTAAAACATTTTCTTTCAATTAAAATAGATATGAACACAGTCTGACCAAAGGCAGACGTATTGGAATTCAAAAAGGTATAATGTTAGGCACAACACAAGCATTATCTAATATTTTCTTATATGGCGGTATTTCAATCATTTTTTGGTACGGCCCATATCTAATTCGAACTGACTGTCAACATTATTCTGCTGGTCATTGGATTGTTGTATGTATCTCTATATTATTTTCAATTTCTTATTTTAAAAAGTATTTTATTTAGATATTTATGTCATGTTTAGCCGCAACGAATTCATTAGGAAACTTAACACCAAATCTTCAAGCATTTGCAGAAGCATCAGGTTCTGGTGGATATGTATTTGACGTAATCAAACGTAAATCAAAAATCAATATATTTAGTGATGATGGAAAAATTCCATCAAAATTTACGGGAGATATTGAATTTAAAAATATCCATTTTACTTATCCATCACGACAAGAAGCGCCTGTAAGGACATAAATTAAGATATTTGAATTGAAATTTTATATTGATTCTTTTAATAGATTTTTAATGGTTTAAATATGAAAATTCCATCTGGAAAGACTGTAGCACTTTGTGGTCCATCTGGTTGTGGTAAAAGTACATCAATTCAATTGATTCAACGATTTTATGATCCAGAACAAGGAGAAATTTTATTAGATGGTCAAGATATACGTTCAATTAGTTTGAAATGGTTACGATCAAATATTGGTATTGTTTCACAAGAACCAGTTCTATTTTTTGGTACTATTGAAGACAATATTAAATTTGGAAAACTCGATGCAACAGATGAAGAAGTCATTGCTGCTGCTAAAATGGCGAATGCACATGATTTCATTATGCAATTGCCTCAAGTAAAACTATGAACATTCATAGAAAAAAAAAACATTTTTTTAATTTATTTTTAGAATTATAAAACATCATCAGGTGATAAATTAAGTGGTGGTCAAAAACAACGAGGTAAACATAAAATAAATATTATAAATATGAAAAAATGAATTGATTTTTTTTAGTTGCTATCGCACGAGCTTTAATTTCAAATCCAAAACTTTTATTACTTGACGAAGCAACATCAGCTTTAGGTACTACATTGAATAGTATAGTTATTTCAATAGTTAGTTTTTTTCTCTGTTTCTAGATAATCAAGGTGAAAGAGTAGTTCAAGATGCATTAGATAAAGCTAAAGAAGGTCGAACAACTATAGTTATAGCTCATCGTTTAAGTACAATTAAGAATGCTGATATTATTGTTGGATTAGAACATGGAAAAGTTGCTGAATATGGTACACATAATGAATTAATGCAACAGAAAGGACTTTATTATGAATTAGTTACTGCTCAAGGTGAAAAAGAGAAAGAAGCAGAAGTCGATAGTGATCAAGATGATGAAAATAAAGAAGAAGTAACTAAACTAGCTGGGAAATCAACAACGAATAATATACGTCGTCAATCATCAAATATATTAAGACGTTCATCTATTATTTCAAAAAAATCAGTTATATCTGAAGTTATTAGTGAAACAGATAATGATGTTGAAACCACTGCTAATACAGAAAAACAATATCAATCTCGTATGCCAGTTTTATTTCAAGCTCTACGATTAAATGCTCCTCAATGGGTTTATCTTTTAATTGGTACAATTGCTTCACTAGTTTCTGGAGCAATTATGCCGGTTTGTAAAATATTTCATAGCTTGTTCATTATTATTGTTAAAATTTATTTTAGGCATTCACTTTACTGTTTTCTGATGTTTTTGGTGCATTAGCTGAACCTGATTTACAAAAACAAACAGATCAAATACGAGTTTATACATATGTCATTTTCTTAATTGGTGTTGCTGGTGCTCTTAGTAGTTTTGCCTCATCAGCTGCTCTAGCTAAAGCCGGAGAAGAATTAACAATGCGAATGAGAATATTATCTTTTAAAAGTATGCTTCAACAAGAAATTGGATGGTTTGATTTGGATGAAAATAATTTGGGTGCATTAGTTACACGACTATCATCAGATGCAGCGTCACTTAAAGGATTTACAGGACCTACACTTACTTCACTTTTCAATGCAGTTGGAGCATTAATTGCAGCTCTTATAATCAGTTTTTCAGCTGGATGGAAACTTACTTTAGTTATTTTGTGTTTTACTCCATTGTTGATTTTTGCTGGTTCTATTCAAGGTCAACGACTTTCTAAAGCTTCTGGACAAAAGAAAGAAGCAACATCGAATGCTGAAGTTGGAGGAAAAGTATGTTTGTTTATTTGGAAATATATTTAGAACTAATTAATCTAATTTTTATAGCATGCAACTCAAGCTATTGAAAATATTCGTACAGTTGTATCACTTCATCAAGAAAAACATTTTATAAAATTATACGAAGAAGCATTTAATCGTGATTTTCGGTATGTATATTAAATACAATTCTTCTCTAAAATAATCATTATCTTTATTATAGAAGTCGTATGCTTCATGTTTTATATGTATCTATGGCTAATTCTATTGCAAATTCACTAATGTTTTTTAGTAAGAGTTTTTTGTTTTCCAAATAGTTATTTTATATATTTTTATATAGTTCAAGCAACAGCATTTGGTTATGGTAGTACACTTGTTCAAAGTGGAGAAATGCAATTTGAAAATGTCTTACGAATTTTTGCCGTTATAACATTTGCATCAGTAACTCTTGGACGTAGTGCAGCTATGGTACCAAATTATTCAAAAGGAAAACAAAGTGTCAAACGTATTTTTCTATTAAATAGTCGTCAATCAAAAATTAATCCTAATGATCCATCTGGCATTAAGCTGGTATAATCATTCTTAAATATTTGTTGATTAAATTTTATTTTTATCTTGCTTTTAGTCGGAAGTCACTGGACGTATTGAATTTCGAGATGTTCAATTTCGTTATCCAGCTCGACCAAAACTTCGTATATTACGTCATTTCAATTTAATTTGTAATTCGGGTGAAACAACTGCTTTTGTTGGTCCATCAGGTAGTGGCAAATCAACAACTGTTGCATTAATACAAAGATTCTATGATCCACATAGTGGTACAATTCTTATTGATGGACATGATATAAAAACATTAAATATTCAATGGTTACGTTCACTTCTTGGTCTTGTACAACAAGAACCAGTTCTTTTTAATCTTTCAATTCGTGACAATATTATATATGGTGATAATAGTCGACAAGTAACACAAGATGATATTGAAGCAGCAGCTAGAAAAGCAAATATTCATGAATTGATTGCATCATTACCGGAGGTTTGTTTAAACTTTTTTTTTTGTATGAATTTTTCTTTATCTAAAAAATGATATTTAGGGATATGACACTTTGTGTGGAGCTAAAGGTGGTCAATTATCTGGTGGACAAAAACAGCGAAGTAAATCTTTAAAAAAATCAATATTTTGATAATATGAATTTTTTTGATTTGTAGTTGCTATTGCTCGATCTTTGATTCGTAATCCAAAGATTCTTCTTCTTGATGAAGCAACATCAGCATTAGATAATAAAAGTGAAAAAGTTGTTCAAGATGCCTTAGATCAAGCACGAGCTGGTCGATCATGTATAACAATTGCACATCGTTTATCGACAATTCGAGATTCAGACAAAATCTGTGTTGTAGATCGTGGACAAATTAAAGAAACTGGTCGTCATGAACAATTACTTCAACAACAGGGTATTTATTATAAATTAAATATGGCACAAGAACGACCTGACAATTCACAAGACAATTAATAGCTTAGTTTTTATTTTTTTTTATGTATTTTTCTACTATTGTATATATATATATATATATATATGTATGTATTACTTAAATGAAATTGTATGCATTGTTAATTTATTAGATTATTTTTTATAAAAATTCTACTGAAGAAAAAATGAAACGATTAAAATATTGTTTAAACGGCCACAGTCATTCATTATGATAAGGACGTAATATAAGAATATCTGATTCAAATAATGTATTCACATACACTTTGGCCTCTTGTTATCTTACATATGAAGAAAAAAACGAAGCAACATTTTCTTTTGTTAATATTAAAATATGAAAAGCCCTATCATTTAGCATCTTAACTCTCATCTTACACCCTTTTTCACACAAGTATAGCATCCCATTCAGCAGTAAAAGACTGTTAATAAGAGCTATGAATCTAAATCCTTTTCGAGATTATCGTAGTCTAGAGATTCTCTCTATGTGCTCAAAATATTAATTATAAAACGTTAGTCATTTTGCGCACCTTTTCCGTCATACCCAATGACAAATAAGAAAAATGACTCATTTTGACGTCGACAGTTGAGCAATAACATATAATATAAATGGGTGGCTGTACGAAGATCATTATTTATACCTATTACATTCTACTTTACTTCATGTTCTTTTGCTAATGTCGACTAAATTCAATACCCGTCCGTTACTTGATCTTGAAAAATTATTTCTTAATGATTCATCGGAAATATCAAGATTACAACAAGAATTTGAAATTAATGGTTGGTGTTTTGTACGCTTGTCACAAGATTCACAATCATTCCTCTCACAATTGAATCATATTAATCAATCTTTATCGAAGTTTTTTGCACTAGATCAAGATGAAAAGTCTCGTTATTTATCATCAGATGCATTTGGATATACACGTGTTGGTCACAAAGAAGGTATTAAAATATTAACCGATCAACATGGTACAACTAATGCACAGATTACTTTACCAATGAATATAAAAGCAACTATACAAGATGTTACTCAATTAATCAATAATTTAACTTATCGTTTAAAACCAATAATTAATAAACTAGTTGTATCAGATGATAAACCATTAAAACAAGTCAAAATATCTGATCTTTCAATGCTTGATATTGTCAATTACTTTAATAATAAAACTGGACCTATAAAAGTACCTGAAGTTGGTCATAATACCGATGAAGTTAATTGTGTACCACATTATGATCCTGGTCTCTTTTCATTAAGTATACTTTCAACATGCGATGGTCTTCAATTGAAAGATCAATATGAAAATAAATGGATTGACGGACCAAATAATTCTCAACTTGATCAATCTAATATTGGTGTTATTTGGCTTGGCGAAGCAGCAAGTATTCTCACTGAAAATCGTTTGAAATCTGGTATTCATCGTGTTGTTTATCCTCGTACAGCTCATCAAACACGAATTACTATCTGGCAAGAAGTATGTACAACAGCACAGATTCAACAATTGTTCGAAAAAGATAGTAATACACAATATTTACCAGCTGATATACAAGTTACGCTAGTTAATCAACCTGATTCTGTACCAATGAATGTTCTTACAGGTGGCGAAACTGTTAATGATTTTATGAAACGCATAGAATTTGATCGTGGTCTGTCGATGAGTAAATCTATGCCAATGGATATGCATTTTAATTCTAATCCTGTCGTCGATACAAACAATAACAATAATTCATCGTCGACTATAAATAAGCTTAAAAGTTTATTTCCTTTCTTTAAGAAATAAAGTTACTAAAATATTTCAAAGCTTATTATAATAAAATTAGACAAGGTGTAATCATTTTAAAGTAAAGAAAATAAAATCTATGCAAAAGTGTTGTTCACTTTTTGCATATATTTTTACCACTGAAAGAAAAATGTCGAAGGTGACATGAAATTACATAGTTATACTTAATCGTTTCTTAAAAACTATTCATAATATCAAATTTCCATATACAGAGAAACTAATCCGTACCGTGTCGCCATGGATATTTTTGTCCTGCATCTGGTAGTATCAATATCTTTATTACAAATTTTATTTTTTTTTCAATAGATAAATTGTATTTATTATTGTTGTAATGAGATCAATAGTTTCAAAAGATCTTTTTAAGAATCTCCTTTCATAAGCTTGTATAAACAAAATAGTGATGATGATAATAGTAATACTTTACCATTTAGGAATATATAATACGTTTTGAAAGTATTTTCGTTTCGAAATTAGAATGTTTTGTTTTGTTAATACAGAAAAAAATATACCAGGAATAAAATAAACACAACAAAAGAAAAGAAATACAACAAAAAGAAGAGAAAAAATTGTTGATGATATTTGTACTAGTATAGGATCGCACATAAAGCAGAAGAATACAGTGAGTTGGTGGTTGAGAAAAGATAACACCGAGATACATATACGAGAAAAAAATATAGCTCAAAGAGAAAAAGCGCAATCATTCGATTATATAGGGCAGTGTTGATTAATACAAGCTGTGATATTTTTGAAAAAAAGTCTATCATTTCTTTTTACTTCCAGTTGCAGGTCTTTCAACGCCGTAACCTAATAAAACAAAATATAAATAATTCATTTTAAAATATTCTACAAACAAACGTACCTTGTTGTGGATATTGAGGTGCTCCAGCCATTGGATATTGTGGTGCCGCTAAAAAACAAAAGAATAAATAAACATACTATATAAATTCAAATTATTAAACGCACTTGTATTAAAAAATGGATTATACGGATTATAACCAGGTGGCATTGGAAAGAATGGTTGCATATATGAACCTGGATATGGTAATGCAGAACCATCTAGAATAAATATATATATATGTAAATAATCTATTATTTTTATTTTGTTTATCTACTAACCAGGGGTTGTTGGTGGTGGACCACCAGTTGATGGAGCTGCTGGTTGTTGTGATTGTGGATATGGTGGAGCAGTAGAAGCACTTGCTGCATATGGATTGTTACCTAATCAGATGAAATAAAAAACTTTTTGAAATTATTAAATAATAATTTTTTCATACCACTTTGTTGTGTTGTTGTTGATGGTTGATTTCCACCAACAATTCCTTGTTGTATATCTTTCATTAAATCTTCTTTTTCTGTTTTACGAGCAAATACAAAATCTGATATTTTGTTTTGAAATTTAAGGAGTAATGGTGTCAGATCATAATAAAACTAAATCAAATAAATTCTTTATTCAAAATCAAATAAACAAAATATTTCAACTCACTTTAGTTCCTTCTTTTAAGTTACTCAATAATTCTTGATAAACATCATATGCTCGAGCTAAATTTTTTAACATTTCATCACGCATTCCTGAAGATTCATTTCCTTGTTTTTCATTGAGAAATTGTGCATTTGCACGACGAATATTCTCAACTAATTGTTCTTGTTTTGATAAACTTTCAGTAACTTGTTGTCGTAATGGCGTATAAATTGATTCAATTTCATGAACAACAACACTATTTTCATCATTATAACTTCCTTGTTGAAATGCAGCAATTAAACGTGCTCGAACACTATCAGAGTCCGTATTTTTTAATTCAGATTCAATTACTTCACGTTCAGCTTTTATTGCTGCAACACCATCCATTAAACGATGTAATTCTCGTAGAACAAATGAATCACGTAAAGCTCCAACAGCTGTGGCTGATGGAAGTTCATCAGCAATTTCATGCTAAAGATAGAATAAAAAGTCATAGTATTTTAGATTAACTACTTATTCCTAAAGAAATAATTACCGTTTGTTTACTAAGTAACACAATACAATCACGATTCATTCGATATTTTTCTTGAACAACTTTATCTGCATTAATTGCATTTTGAATAATATCCATATATTTCTTAGCTTCATCACGTAATGGACGTGTTAATGTTGCTGAAACAGTACGAGTCCAACGTTCTTTAAATTGAGTACGTAATTCTGTATCACCACGTTCTTCATCATCTAACATACGTATTGCCTAAAGAGAAAAGGAAAATGAAACTAAAACTTGTTTATAAAATAAAATTAAAATATTACTTCATCAAGAATTTCTTTATTTCGTGTTAATGATTCAGGTAAATCATTAATCATTTTATCTATTGTATTAATACCACCTTGTCGTTTAATTTCATTTGATTTTTCCATAACTGATGGTGGAATTTCACGACCACCATGATCTTCAATAGCAGCTGGTAAATTAACTGAAGCCAAAAATCTTTAAAAATAAAATTATAATCAATAAATTTTTCATAAGAAAAAAAAAGCATACGAGTTAAGAACATTTGTTGCTTCTCGAATACGATTAACTTCTATATTCATTATTTCTGCTCGTTTTGCACTAAATGCATTAAATGCATTATTTAATGCAATTGGAACAAGTGAAACAAATAAGTCTAAAATCACAAGAAAAAAAAATTAGTTTATACAAAATAAATATAATTAAATTACCTCTAAAATCAGGTGTTAATGGAAATATAACTGGTAATGGTTTAGCAATTGCTTGAGCCATAATTGTGTCAAGTGTTTTTGAATCTGGTATTCGTTCATGATAAACAAGATCGTTATCTTTACGTGCAGCTGCTGCTGCTTTTGTTACTTCTTCTTGATTTGCACGAAGTGTGGGTGTAAAAGCAGGTACTGCACATTTACTAACTGCTTGATCAGCAAAATCTTTTGCACGCTAATTGAATACAAATATTTATTTAATTATTTACGTATCAATGTCGCTTACCTCATATCGTGCTACTTTGAGACCATACTTTCGATCTGCTTGAGCTTGATTACCAGCATGAAATTCTGTTTTTGATTGATATAACAAATGTTTGACAAACGTGATGTTGACATAATTCTGAAATTGAAGAAACAGATGGTCGCAAATATTGTTTTACTTGTAAAATTTATAGACAAAGTTAACAAAAGCATAAAGAGTAATTTCATGTACAATAGAGAATCAATATGACTACAATTTTATTATCCATTGAAACTCAATATTTTAAATTCTGCTTGACATCAAAAAAATTATTATGGTATTAATATCTAATAAATGTACTATATGTTATTTACTCGTATAATCTATTGAATAGAAGAATTAATCAATACTCAAATCAGATGGTCTTTATTACCATTATTTCATGTCTCTGATATAAAATATAAATTTTTCCAACGAAAAAAACAAAATACGTTTGTAGAGCAGTTTGACATGTCATTCTCTACTTCCTATAGCTGCAGGAATCTTAGACATAGCGATTGCTGTAAACACAAACAAATTTATTACCTACCTCTGGAATGATTTTTTTTGCACTTTCAGTTTTGGCTGATGTATAAGCTTCTTTAAAACAATCAGCAGCATGTGCTGCAACTTTAGCGGCAACTTCATCTAAATAATTTCGATAATTTCTAATAAAATAATCTAGTTTTTTCTTTCCTACCTTTAAAACTAGCTGATTTCATATAAACAAGTTCTGCAGCTTGACCTAACATTAACCATGAAAGACTAGCTAAAACTGCTGGTTCAAAATCAACTGATAAATCAGATAATGAATTTGCATTAACATGATCTTTTAAGAATGAAAAAACACCCGATGCTAATTGAAAATATCGTAATGCAGTTTTCATTTGATCATCCAAAGATAAATTTTGTGCTGCAGCTAATTCACTATATGCATGTCCAATATTAAAAAGAACACAAGCTTTTTCATATGTTAATTTCCATGAACCATTCGTTTTTTGTTTACCACCAAATAAACTTCCACCTGAAACAAATGCATCTTGCCATTTAAAATAGATTCGTATTTGATTTTCTGTTATTGGTAATTTATGTTCAATAGCACATAATTGATCGTAATATCTAAATAGAAAAATAATCTTTGTTTTTCTGCTTTCAAATTAATTCTTTCTTACCTGATTAATTTCGAACAATCATCTTTATAATTACTACGAAGTAATGCTTCAGCGCGAAGAGAATTAAATCCATCGATCGAAGCTGAATAATCTTCTTTATCACCAAATGTTGCTTTAATAAAATTTTTAATTGGTGTTGATAGATTTACATCAGAAGGTTTTTTTGCTGGGATAGTTATAAATTGATGCGTACTTGAAGTCATACTTTAATTAATTTTCTGTAAGTGAAAAAAAAAGAAAGAACTATTTTATTACATTATGAATAAAAATAATAATGTTTGAGAAAGAGTAAAAACTGAATGGCATGTAAATATAAAGCGTCGGTCGGTCGTCATCTTCTTATTCAAACAATCAACAATGAGTCATAATGACTTCTAACCAATGACAAAGTGAAAAATATAATAGATGGCCAATTATGAAAATTTCAAGAAGAAAAATATCTGAATAGATAGAAATATTAGAAGAAATAATTAGAAATTTAAAATAGATAAAAAATTACTAATCATATTTCATTTGATGAGTCATTGAGTGTTTGTCAAGTATCATTCATCCATACTGTAGTGTAGTTCTACTTCTTCCAGCAACTATGGCTGGTTCACAATTAGCGCTGATCAAAAATCTATGTCTCTGTTATTGTGATAATAAACCTGGTATGATTGAATATTATAAGAATGATTTTTAATTTATTTATAATCTTATAGATATTTTGGATAAAACTGTTAATACAGTTTCGCATTTACTTCATTCGTAAGTTAAACAAATTGTATCATAATCTTCGAAATAAATATATCTACATCATTTTATAGTGAACATGGAAATATTTATCAAGATGATATACGATTACTTGATAAAATCTGGAAACATTGTATGAATAAAATATTTCGAACGAGATAAATTCGATTTATTTATTTAAAATTTTTCTAGTTCAAAAATATGGACGAAATCAAGAGATGCTTCGTTTTGGACAAATCTATGCTCGACTTAATAAACTTGTAAGTTTTTTTATTAAATAGATTTATCTTTTTGAAAATAATGGAATACATTTTATTTAATCATCTAATACAATCTTTTAGAAATATTAATCAATCCATTGAAAAACTAAAGTTTGATTTTGATGATTTGCTTCTTATTTAATTTCCATATAGAATTCATTTCTAATGCACTTATATATATCCCATAGGAACTTTTTGCAAATATAAATGAAAAAAAAAAGAGTTAACCATTCATGATTCTTTTCCTACACTATAAAGTATTTATATCGTAAAGAATACCAATAGAAAATTCTTTTGAAAATAGAAATATATATATAAATTTTTTTCTATTTAGAAAGTACTTAAAGTACGACTTGAAACACTTCAATTCCTTTATGCATTAGCTGATACAGCATCAACTGAACATCATCATGATTCAATAAATCGTCCAATGCCAACATCATCTGCTAGTAGCTTTGACATTCCATCATTTTCTCTTCTTTCACTTCAACAAGGATCTTCTAATGCAAAAGAAAATGGTACATCACATAATTCATCTCATATAAAATCTTCGACATCATTACAAAAACTTCTTCAATATACAAATGGTGACGAGCATTCTTTATCGACAACAAATAATCATTATTCAACAATGAATAATACTACTACCAATAATAATAATAATAATAATGAAATTGAAAATCTTTCATCGATTAAACGTGATAATGATGAATCACGTATATTACGTGAACTTTTATTTGGTATGCAAGGTATTGAAACACCACGTTTATCATCAAATGATACAAGTATTGATCGTTGTACACGATCAATAATAAATCGTTTTCTTGAATGTGGATGGTTATATGAAAAAATTCGAAAAATTATTAATACACCAACAACAAGTCTTGTTGCACAAGCATTTATTGCTAATCTATCAAGTGAATTACGAGAATATCATCGACTTATTTCTGTTATTGAACAACAAGTAAACGAAAATAAATCTTTCAAATAAAATCATAAAATTTTCTTCTTTATTCCTTAGACAAATGTATCGGGAATGGTTTCATTAAAAAAACTTCATGTTTGGATGTGTACACCAATTCAACGTTTAAAATGTCTTGCAGCTGTAGCTGATACATGTCACGGTTATATATTTCAAAAATCAAAAAAAACAAAAAATTTAATTTTTATTCAAATTTAGGTAGAAAAGGTGGTCAACTTTTATCAATACTCTATATGCATAGTCAACATGGTGATCCACTACAACAATCAATACTCTATCCATTACTTTATAATTGTACAATACCAATACGTGATATGATTGTCGAATGGATATGTAATGGAATTATAAATGATCCTTATCAAGAATTTTTCGTATCAACAGATAAAATGGTTAGTGAAGAAAAATTATGGTATGATAAATATACATTACGTGTTCCTATGATACCATCATTTCTATCAATGGAACAAGCAAAAAAAATTTGGATTACAGGAAAATCTATAAATTTCTTACGTGTAGTTTGTAAAGATCGAACAATGTTACAAATTATAAAAACACCTGCATCATCACAAAGTTTATTTCAACAACAACGTTCAACAGAATTTCAAGATATGATTATATCAGTTTATAATGAAACAACACGTTATCTTCGTTCAATTCTTGATGATAAATATCAAATGATGGATCATTTTAAAGCAATAAAACGTTATTTATTATTAGGTCAAGGTGATTTTATAAAATATTTAATGGATTTAATGGAAACAGAATTAAATAAACCAGCAAATCAAGTATTTTATCATAATCTTCAATCATTAATGGATGCAGCTATACGTGTAACAAATGCACAATATGAAACGGAAGATATTATAAAACGTCTTGATTTACGTTTAATGTATGTTTCACCATCTGAACTTGGTTGGGATGTTTGTTGTTTAGATTATAAATTCGATGGTCCATTACGTACAATATTTACGGAAGAAAATTCTTTAAGATATATGAGAATATTCAATCATTTATGGCGTGTTAAACGTATGGAATATACAACATGCGGTGTATGGAAACAATTAATGAAATCATCAAGACAATTTGCATCTATTCCAGGTTAATATCTATATGTTTTAATTGACTAGAAAAAGATTTAAATTTTCCTTTCTTTGTATTTTAGAAATTTCTGATATGACACATACATGTTTTACAATGTCAAATGAAATGACAAAATTTGTTCAAAGTGTTAATTATTATATAATGTTTGAAGTACTTGAATGTTCATGGAGTGATTTATTAAATAAATTAATGGAAGCAAAAGATTTAGAACAAATTCTTGAAGCACATGATGATTCATTATTAAAAATTTTAACACGTCTTCATCTTGATGGTCATGAAACAAGTCAAGATTTAGCTAAACAATTACGTTGTATATTTGATTTAATATTAAATTTTGGTACAATTATTCAACGTTTAATACAGTCTGTTGACAATGAATTATTATCACGAAAATCATATGAACAACAACAAAATCATGGAACTTATACAAAAAATAATACTGAAACAGTATGACCAAAAAAAAATCATTTCATTTTCTTATTTCTCGTTTTTTTCTCCTAGGATGCTGAAGTTCGAAGATTTCATACTGTATTTAAACCACAATTAAAAACAATTAAAAGTGAATTACATATTGTTAAAAAAGCATTTCGAGTATGAGGATAAAAAAAAACGAAAAAGATCGAATATATAATTTTTTTTTGTTCTAGGATGCTGTATTGAAATTTCTTCAACAACTTAAATCACATCCAGATATAACATTACGTTCCTTAAGCTTTCGATTAAACTTTAACGAATTCTATAAAGTATCTTATACATCAAAAACAACAGCATAGAACATTTTTAAAATGTATATTATGTTTGTTAATCTCAAAAATTCTTTACCTTTTCTTTTTTTTTATACACATTTGTGCTAACCTTGTAGACAGAAATGATTTTTTTTTCTTATTTTGTTAGGGGTTGTGTTATTAAAAATAGTCTTTTTTTCCAGAAAAAAAAAATACAACGAAACAAAAACATAGATTTTTATATGACTGATTCTATTGATTATACAATTCATTTCGAATGGCCAATATTTATCTTAATTGGTTTTATTCTTATTGGTGCTATTTATATTATGTACAAATTAACGGTTGGATCTTGTTATAAACCACCGTCTACATTCGGTCGTTATCAAGATAAGAAAGACATGTAATCGTAAAAAAGTACGAAATTCTTAACAATAATTTACAATACTTTATCCATGAATTCAAGGCCTTTTTCTTACTTTCTTTTGTGTTTATAAGTGTGTTATTTTTCATCATGTTTCTTGCAACATTCTTAAATTAAAGACATCAATGTAAAACAACTTATTTTTCATAACTAAAGGGTAAAAATAGTTCAACATACAAAAAAAAAGAAAAGAAAAGCCAAAAATGAAAAACGCATAAAGATTAAAATTAAAAAAATAATAAAAAAGAAAAGAAACAATAAAAATTAAAGAATAATATCTGGCCGATAACTCGACGAACTAGTTGTAACTGTTGTCCATTCACTTGATACATTTGTACTTGAATATGTTGGTGATTCTATTAGATTATTTGATGTTGAATCACTTGATGGTTGTGTTGAAGATTTACTTTTCGATGATTCATTTCTTATTTTTCGTGTATTTACAAGAGGTGGTGTTTCTGCAGGAATAATTCGTTTCAATGATGATGAAATTGAATTTTTTGATGGTAATTGTTTTTTTATTTTCGGTCGATTTTTATTCCAAATAATATAATAAATCATAAATGATAAACCAGCAAGAAGTAAACCAAGACAAATACCAAATAGAAGCATCCAAATATTATTTATACTTGCTTCTTGTGGTTTATAAGATTTCGTCATATTTTTATCAGCAATAAGTGATTGAATAGCAGTAGTTGTATTATGACCAATAAGAGATGATGGTGATTGATGTGGATCAGATTGATTGATATGTAATTCAGTATCATCTTCTTCATCAAGTATAGGCGGACGAAAATTTGGTGCTTGAACAATACTTAAACGAAGTGGTAATATTGTACGTTGTGGTGATGGAAATGTTAATGATATATTTAAACATGGATTAAAATTTATTGATGTACAAATATGTAGAAGTGGTCGAAGAACATCAGTATAAAGTATAGTATTGTTATATGTTAAAATATCATCATAACCTAATGTTGAACGTGGACCACGTTTTTCTGTTAAAGTAAAACGTCGATCATAATTTGTTTGTTCATTAAGATGAACACCAATTATTTTTTCTTCTAAACTGAGATACATAATTTTACTTGAAAAATCAATTGTTGCTGTACATGGATATGGTCGATTATCATATGATGATGGAATTTTAAATAAGAATACACAATCACTAACACTTAATGAACATCGTATAACTGTACACCAACCATATGAATCACCTATGATATAACCATCAGATGTTAATTGATCAATAATTAAATCACTAATACGTAAATTAGGACTTAATTCACGTAAACGTTTCATAAATGGTGCTGAACCACGTGCACGTGGTCGTTGAAGTAAATCAATTGTTTGTATATCTGAATGACCATAAACATATAATAGTGATGATACATGATGAATATTAACAAATAATGGCATTTCACTACGAATTGAATTCATAACTGAATGATTAGAAAAATTTGATATCCACCAACCATTAGCATATTGTAAACGATAAACAGTACGTTCATGTGGTGCTGTTAAATAGATATGACCATGTTCATCACTTGTTACATCATGAAAACGTGGTACATCTTCTTGAGATAATAGTAAATGAAATGAATCATCACCACCAAATAACACTGGCCACCAAACATAAATACCTGATAGAGATGTTAATACAACAACATGTGCTGTCTGATCTTTTGCTGGAGAATCTTCAACATATTGTTCATTTGTCTCGTCTTCATCATCTTCATCACCGCCTTCTTCTTCATCGTGTGAAGGTTTCAAATGATTATGAATTGATGTTGTAATATTGCGTATTTTACTAGTTTTATCTAATAATCGATGATGAATATTTAATGGAGTATCATTCTTTTTTGCTACGATTTTATCCCTTATTGACGATGATAGTGTTTGAATAAATGTCAAATTAATGACGAGAACAATAATGATAATAATAATGGTCGAATAATGATAATAGCTCATCGAAAAGAAGAACTAAACCAACGAGATGAATGTTAATCATCAGCTATAAATAAAAAAGGCAAAAAGAGAGGAGAAAAAGAGAGAGAAAGAAACAGAGATGATGAAGAGATTTATGATCAAAACTTTGTTTATTGTCTACTGAAGAAAAAAAAAGATTGTTTTTTCATTTTGCTTCAAGGCAGACTAAGCCGAAAAGCACAGCGTGATTTGATCCTGTTTAGATCGACTAAGAGTGATGCAAGTAATATTGTATACGTATATGTGTCTATCATTATTCTTTCTTTTATTTACTACAACATATCCCTTTTGTATTAAGACTACATAGTTGCGTCTCCTTTTTCTTTTTATTAAAACTAATATTTGAGATAATTGTTTGAGACAATCCACATGTATATACGTACATATATATTCTCATTAACATTATAAAAGAAAATGATGATCAACAAGAAGGTAACCACCTTTATCATATGACGAAGTGATCAATGAGAATATTTTACCATTGCATGTAAAGCGTGAGAAATGGGAGATGAAGAAACCTTTGAAGAAGAGGGAACAAACGCATAAGATACCCTATCACAGCATATCGATACGACAACTACTTCTACACTATTCAAAAGAGAACCTCGAACGCGTGCATCTCTTTTTTCTTCAAGTTTAATTTGTCTTGGTCAATTGTGCGTCACTAATTTACTACTTTAAATGAACGCACGATACTCGTTTTCTTGTCCTCAAACACCGATTTACTGTGGTCGCTTTTTCACATATTAGTTATAGTTATTGAGCATAAAAAAATTTCTTCTATTATATATCAGCATTAGTTCTTTTGTTATATTCTATATTTAAGCTACAAGACAAAAGAAAATTTTCGATTATGATCAATGACATATACTAGCCATATTCCCATGAACAAAAAAAGAAACACATATAATGTGACTATACATGATTATACGTATATATATATACATATATCTCAATGACAAATGATTATATATGGGAAAAATGAATCAATCAAGCAAGTAAGTCTACTGGTATGATTTGTTATTATATGAAAAAATTAGTCTTTGACAACATACCTGTTTATAGTTACCATCAATCCGTCGTAATGAACAAATCGTATGATTTTTATCTAATTGATAAATAACAATTAGATTTGATTGTGTTCTTTGGTTTCTCTTAAAATGTCAAAACCGCAAACATTTACACGTGCGCTTCCAAGCTAATGTCTTTGTGATCAGTTGTCGAGAACTTTTCGTTTTTCTTTTTTTCACAATCTGAGAACGCGCTCCCATCGCTTTCTTTCAATCTCTCTCTCTCTTGTTTCTCTTTCCTCTTTCCTCTTCTTTTTTTTTCTCTTTTCGTTTTGACATCAGCAGATGCATGGCAAACATTACACATATACAACGAATGCAAAAAAGAAAAAACGGTACAATATTATGTTGTGCATACGGTGTAAAAAGTAGTGCAATTTTTTTTTCTCTCTTGTTTTTCTTTCATATAACAGGACATTACTATCGTCGTCACCATTGATATCTTACAACTACTATAGAATCGGCTTTTTTTTTGCTTGCTCTTTCCACTGTAATATCCTTGATAATTTCTATCGTCTGTTGTATACCATATCGTCTTACATATTTTAGAAGAAATGATGATGCTGACGTGACATACACAATGAATCAATAAATTATGATTTCTTTTTCTTCACCTCATTAATGTGAAAAGCATTAAACAAAGAAAAAAGAAATTTCATCCATATGTTTGATGCATATTTCATATTTATTACAAGATCGAAACGATTATATGAGAATAGTATCAGTTTATATACCTAATAATAAATGTCAAAAAGCTAAACAATCAATAGATCGTATTGATGGTCAACTTGCATGTGTGTTTACTTATATGAAATAGATACATTGCATGTCTTCAATGACGATATATGTCTCATGAGACTTTATAGAAATAGAATTGAATCTATTCTATAGGCTTTGCTGATGAGGGAAAACTAACACATCAATGTTTACTAGCTTTAAGTACACCTTTATCATAGAATTTTATGCGTATACGATTATTGCTACTATGAAATAAAACCAAGGTCAAGAAAGTCAACAAAATGACATGTCTGTAAAAATATACTCAACTAAAATAACGAGAGTCTAGCTTAATTCATCTTTGATATGTTAAGTTAGACGATGTTCCGCCTATACCATTTGACTAGATCACTTAAATGTCTATTCAATGAAAAGATATGAAAAAACGTGTAACAGATGCTTTCAAATAATCATTAATACGTCAGCTTTAAGCGTTATTTTATTGTTTGTCTATATCTATCTTTCTATGGATAGTGATTTGTTGAAATCATAATAGAAGAAAAATATAATGTTTATATTTAGTTGAAAAAGTTATTGCATCATCATGAAAAGTCAAATATAGAAATTATGTTTATGATAAGAACTCTTTTTGTTCTAATGAATGATTGTGAAACTATGACATTATAGTCATTTTATCGATTATACGAAGGTTAATCTATGAATATTACTATTATTTGATTTTTTTATTTATCTTAAATCTTTTTTCTTTATCGATCTATAATTTATTTAATTTAATATATTAGTTGAAGATCTTACATTTTCTTTACAAAAGTACTAATCGTCGTTTGTATGATTTATAATTGTCCGCATAGACATGAATAATCAATAGTAGTAAGGTCAACAAATTGAAAATGAGAGGTATTTTACCTTGATAAAACTCTAATGATATGGTTATTCTTATATTTTATACATTATAATCAATCTTCTATATAATTGTACTACTAGAAAGTATTTATCAAATATTGATATTAGGGTTCACATATACGCAAGGATAAAGTGTACTAACATAAAGCTGAATAGAAGAAAGAAAAGGAAGATGTAATCCTTCAAAGACGACTATATGCATAAAGGCATATTGAAAAAAATAGACTTGAAAAGAAATTGATCAATAAATACAAATGTTTGTGCTTTAGAATGAGAACCTTTCGGGCTTTTTTGCATAGTAGTCCTTATTAATGGTTTCAATTGATTTGCAATTTCTTTTGCTGATTGGAATAATAACTATTATTCATCATTCTATCCAAATGATCGAGATTACTAAAACTCGATGAGAGAAAGTTTTTTATTCATTATTGATGTACTGATTTACGAATATAATCTAATTGTATTCATTTCTAGTATAATTAATCATTGGTTATATCGTCTTTTGAAATATATCTACATGAATATATCCAGTACCTAAAGACATTACTAGTGATGATAAGCAAATACAATTCGATGACAGAGTACTTAATAAAATACGACATATCATTAGAACGAACAATGTACATAAAATATCAAGTCTAGGTAGAAAAAGAGTATTCTTCGTCCTAAATACATGTCACCACTTATATCTCGCGTTCTGATATAAAACAGAGTTGACAAAAAAATCGACGGCCACTATTGTAGGACAATAGATCTAGAAACTATTATCAAAACATGAAGAAAACGTCAGATTTCATATTGTTCATTATTGTGACCATTCAATCTCTGAAAAACTTACTAATGAATACGTTATTGAATGAAATGTAGTTTTTTTCCAATTGATATGAATTTGAATAAATAAGCAAATGATTTTCTTAGTGTATAAATAAATATTATTTACTCTATTAATTCAATATACCCAAAAAAGGATTAAAAGAGGATTTCATTCATTAAAATAAATATTTACCATTGTTTATGCTGCGAAAATGAATTCCAACAAAAGAAAAACTAGTAGAATTATTTCTCGAATTCATACTCATGATTGATATTATATATTTTGTAACCGGTAAACTTTACAATATATTTATTTATTTTTCACTGAAATATTTTCCTCTTAGTGATACTATAGTATTTTGGATATGTTAAGACAATTGCTTTCTTCTAGAAGTTATATAAGATAAAAATAACAAAGAATGTTGCTAAACTAGTAGCATTGCGCGTGACCGAGTTAGCCCACCACCTGGTTACGCTAGCATGTGAAATGATGATTTTTCAATAAATGTGTGGAATTCAGTTGAAGGAAGATTTTTCTGAGAAAAAATATCTTATTTTACATGTACTTTTTTGCTTACATAATACTTTTATCTTGCAAAATAATTTCTTAAATTGATTGTATTATTTTTACTCGAAATTTCGTTTAAAAGAGATTCATTTGTCTATAAGAATTCTTTTTTGCATATATGATTTATACTTAATTATTTTATACATTATTAAAAAATTTGAAGTGCGAAATATCGATCATAATGAAATTTTTATCGAATCACAAAGATAGAAGTTATGAAATCTAACAAATATACTTATGAATTCAGTTCATTGAAAAAAAAAATTTCAATGTCTTTATATTGAATTTCAATGAAACTTTTCATTTTCATGATTACACTTTTTTTTAAATTTATCATTTTGATAGAATTCTTTTCGCGTAGCAAACTAATATATGTAATATGAGATCGAAAATAACAATAAAAAAAAAGTATTTTAATCTAAACTATTGTAAAAGTCTTTGTTTTTTTTTGGTATATCACGAAATAGAACTATTAAAAGCAATAAAAGTTTTTTTTTAACATGTAATACAATTTAATCGAGTTGATCACATGAATAATACGAATGATTAATCAAAAGATGAATGTTACATCTTATGATATTGCGAAAGATTTGATTTTCTTGTGATTAGACTTCAAATTTATTTTTCAATGAATCATACAAAATACCACAAGGCAATGATAAGAAAAAAAGTGCAAATTAAAAATAATGTGAATTATCAAAAGTATTATTAATCATGACATTTATACATGTAGAAAGACATTACAGTTAGTTTTGAGGAGGAACAAAAACACAAATCTCTCTTATAACTGATATATTGTATTATCAATTATATCAAGGGCAAAGTATTATATGCATATCTTTAGACATTAGAAGAGACTTATCGAATTACGATTGATGATAAGTAATTCAAAACTAGTTGTACATTCATATGATTGATTATCATATGAACAGTTTTGATAAAATATGCATTAATATAATCATTATGAGATTCTTTAGAACAACAAAAAAACGACATATTTTTCATTTTTTCTTTCATGTCAGGTACTTTATTTTCTTCTTATATGAAAATGTTATAGTTATTTTTATATACAGTACAAAAACACATAAAAGTACTTCTAAATATTATTATTTCAAGGCCTTGATAACATCTAAATTTAGTAAAATTATACTCTATTTAAGAAGTTTTATTATTATATATAAATAAGTACATGATAAAAGCTAAGCAATTATTTTATTTTCAACAATCATCGAGTTTCATCATGCAAAAATGATAGTGGATATCATATGTTTGCTCTTTAAGATTAGCTATCGAAAACTGAATACGAATATTTGATAATCTTCTATATGATTCATAAATACTAATTGCTAATGAGTAATACATGTTTTAGCATCATTTATACAACTTCTTTGATGAAAGAAATTGAATAGGATTTATAATTATGAATCAAGGTTAATATATGATTTTCGTTTTTTTTTCTCTCTACGTTTCAACGCCTTCATTCTTATCAATATTTGAGTAGGTAAAGTTGTTGTTAGTTTTATGATTCGTTCGTATTCATTGAGTGGATGTTGAATTTCAGCTGTCAATAAATCTTTATGGGATAATGAATGGCGTAAACTCAAAAAAAAAGAATATTTGACGTCAATTTCATTGGAGTAAGAAAAAGATTTTTATGAAAGAAAAAAAAATATATCTTAATATAAATAAACCTTCGAAAATTGTCGAATCATCTTGCGTTTTTATGTGTCATAAATTGCTACATGAATCATACTCGTAATATGTTACATACAAAGAAATAAACAAAAGATTCCTTAAGAGCGCTAGTACTATACACTAGTATGATGACGACATGATGAGAATGTTAGAAAAAAAAGAAGATACGCAAATCAAATCTGTGCGGCCATTATCGACATATGTGACTGATAGCTACGGGCAATTTTACGCTATTCTTCAATTGTGCTAACAAGAAAGCTGATCTAACGAATCGAAACTAAAAATATCTACTTCATCTTCTAAACGATCTAATACATTTATAATGAAAAAGTTAGGAAAAATTCAAGGGAGAGCTTTTTAGAAAATACAAAGAGAAAGGGACAATCTCATATATGTACGACAAGAAAGAATGAAGAAGAAAAGAAAAGAAAAGAAAAAGATAAACATCAATGATACTATAAACAAGTGTCTATGCGAATAATTTATTTTTTCAGAGGTGATAGAAATATAGAAAAGAATATCACGACCCAACAAGGCATTGTTAATACTCGAACGCCTCCTCTTTTTGTTCTTTTTCTATGACGCGTAAGACAAAGAACGAAAAAAAGCAGAACAAAAAAAAAAAAAAAAGTGCAGCTCCCCTTACATCCATACATATATATATATACTCATTCAAACAACGGTATACACATCACAACAATCTATTGTCACAGTTCCTTTTCTCGTCTATATGAACTTTATTATTCGTGACCTGTAAGGAGTCTCCTGATATTATTTTCTGTTGAAGCAATATTAACACATTTATTCTACACACAGACACATTATATTTTTCAAGACAATCTAAATCAATCAGTAAGTTACCTATATTAATTTTATGAGTTCATATTATTTATTTATATATATTTTTATTAGTGCAGTGTATTTTTCCACAAGGCCAAACAACACCGGAACGTGTCTTATCAAATCCTTGGTATGACAAAGGTTTCTGTGAACCAAATCAATATAAAGCAGCTATTGATCGTTGTAAAGGTGGATATGAATCATGTGAATTATTCATTGAAATCTTCTCTGAACGTGCAAGAATCGAACGAGAATATATTAGTAATTTAGAAAAATGGTCAGCAGCAAGTATCAAAGAAATTAGTCAATCAAAAGAATTTGGTACAAATAAAAAAGCTTGGATTGAATCTATACGTGCTTCGAAAGAAATTGGTAGTACACATGGTGAAATTGTTCAACGTCTTCAAGAGAATGTTATTGATAAAATGGTTAGTTATAAAAAAGAAAATTATGGTAAATCAATATTACACGTTAAAAAAATAAAAGAATTCGAACGAGATTTTGAACAAGCACAAAAATCATGGATTAAATTATTGGATAAAATTAATAAATCAAGAAGAGATTATCAAGATGCACAACGTTTATTGAAAAAAGCTGAAACTGCTGAAAAAATTATTGAATCTGATCGTGGTGCTGAAGAAGAACAAAAATCACAAATGAAATTAAGTGTTAGTACTTATAAAAAACAATCTGAAGCAACAAGAAGTAAATATCAACAAAATATTGAAGATATGAAAAATACAAGACCAAATTACGAAAATTCAATGAAAGAAGTTTTAGATCGTACACATACATTCGAACGAAGACGTTTAACGCAATTTAAAACATTATTTGCTGCTCTTCATCAAGCTTTAATAATTGAAAAAGATTCTCATTTACTCACTATGACAGATTTATTTAACAAATCTGCTGCAGCGCATGATGCGGAAAAAGATATTCAATGGTGGAATTCTCATTTTGGAAGTGATACAAATACTGCGTGGCCATCATTTGAAGAACTTAAAGATTAAAATTTTCTATTCTTAGTGTTAGGTCAAATAGATTACATGAGCCAGACATTTGAAGAGGAAAAATCACAAGAAAAATATTTGAATGCCTAGCAATGTGTATAGTTCGAGAGCATTTGGAACAAATATAAAATTACCGAAAAAAAAACGAGGAACAGATTAGATAATTTTTCTTGAGATTTCCTCGATAATATGTTAAGCTTTGTTCTAATTGACTAAATTTCTTTTTTTTTAATTTTTGTATATAGTAAGAATGTTCTGTTTGTAGTTAACTGTCTTTATACTTTCATGTTACATTTATATTATTTTTTTGTAATTATATTTTCATCATTTTTAATGAATAATAATCGAGAAAAACAAAATCTACAGAATTTTGGTGTAATCGAATACAATATATATTTTACAATTTATTATGTCAATAGAAATCATTCGATTTTTTCAAAGAGGTATTGATGATATTCTTAAAAACGTATATAACTTTGCTTATTTCTACTTCAAACAAAAAAAAGAACGAAAGTCAATTGATCAAACCCTAGAAGTATTATTGCATATAAACTTTAGTAATAAAATAATATTACTCGTGAGTTTCTACACGAGCATGACATGTATTTATTTTCAAATTAAAGGTTGACTGATTATTAATTACGAATGGTATTTTCTCTTTGTATTTCACATATATCTGATAAAAAAAAATGTTGATTCTTATTTTTTTTCCACCCATATATATATAAATAAATTCGATAGTAGAATTAGGGCATAACGTGAGTAAAACAATTCATCTTGACAATGTAAACATATATATATATATAAACCGACAGAAGCAGCTGTTAGCACTAAATAATTATTTACAAATATTTTATGGTATATCAATAATATATATCATCTACTTTTACCGATCATGAACTTTTTATCTATATAGAGAATAGTAATGGTATCTACATATTTTGATAACAGTTTATATTTGTTGTTATTTTCTTGAAAATCAATACAGTCAAATTATACAACTCGTTCTTTTTTTTGTTTAATACTTATCATAGATAAATATTCTTAAGAATATTATCCTTATTTTTGATCATAATAAATATAGACAATTATAAGATACAATTTTGTATCTAGTTATATAGGGGATAAGGAGTTATTTATGATCTTAATATGATTCATTGTCAGAATATTCATCTTAAAAGCAATTGATAAATGGATTTGTCAATTTGATGACAAATGACATAGTCGTTCTCTATGCATTTTTTTAAATAGAACTATCATGAATTGTTTAACTATTCTTGTTAACATTGAGACAATATAAAATGTTTTCGTCATTTCTTTTATTTTATATATATTAGCTACAAAAGATTACAAATAATGTTTTTTTGATTTTTCCCTTTTTCAATGAGTCAAACAACAATTATCGGTATCAAGATAAGTAATTTTCATTGAATGAGAATAATAGTATTCATATAAAACTGGGCGAAATATCATGTTTTTATATGTTATATATTTTCTTTGAAGAAAAAAAAAAAGTGAAAATAGGTGAATAATTAATTAGGGTTGGGTATAGATATGCACACATGTATATTGACAGAATAGAACTGTTCCTGACCAAAAAAATGAGAAAAAGAATAAATAAATGTAGAAATTAGAATTGTATGATTTGTATATTCGTGTATTAGAATGAATAGGATTTTTTCTTAAAAACATTGTGTAATATTGTTATCTAAACTGTATATATTTCTTTTCTTTGAATATATATATTTTGTTTCTGCATTTATTCTTCTTCGGCTGGAGCACCTGAAGCGGCACCACCAGGTTGTTTACTGAATTTATTTTCTAATTGTTTACGATTACGTTCATGAGGATGAAGTTTATCCTGATAACAACCTAATAGAAAATATTTCATATATATATATATGATAGTTAGGTTATTTATCTTGACTTACCTTTGCAATAAACATCTTGAGAAAAATCCTTGTAATTAGATAATGTCAAAAGGCCATTGCCTAAAATTAATAGGAAAATCATATATATATATATTATGAATTGAAATAATCATACATGTTTTGCATTTGAAACAACCTTTATGCCATGCAGCACTGCATGCAAGAAGTTTTTCTGCTGGATAAACAGTTTTTTGACAACGTGGGCATTTGTCACCGCCACCTCCCCAGTTAGGCATTGTTCAAATAATTAAGAAAAAGTTAATAAATAAAAAGAATCTAGAAATATATATGTATATTTATTTTAAATTCATCTGTTTAAACGGTATATTAAATCAAAGGTTACGGTGTACTCGCTATCACCTAAAGATAAATAAGACACACCGTCTTAGATGTTAACTATCTTCAATCATAAGTGATGAAAATTTCAGCTTAGCTATTGACTTACGCGTGCAAGTACACTTTATTGTACAACGTTCTTTATGTAACTAGAAATAAAAGCAATAAGATTATCTTCTATCGCTATTAGTTTGTACATATGCGATGCTTGAGATCAAAAAGAAAGAAATATAGAGACAGAAATAACGGAAAGATGGATATGCCTCTCCCTAATCAGCCTTGTTGTTACTGCTGTTGCTCGTCGTTGTCGTTTTCCATACATATATATATATATATATACAAATAGAAAACCTTTCTTCTTTTTTTCCCTCTATTTCTTCTTCTTCTACTACTTCGACTTCTGCTTTTTACTCTGTAGTTGTTATTGCTTAGATAAATAAGAACGTTGTTGCTACTGATTTATATGGAGGACGATCTATTCTTTTTTTCCCCTATATATCTCATCAGTAGAGCAAAGAAGAGGTGGAGCAGGCAACCAATGTACTGTCTATTAAGAACGCAGTTTCTATTCCTTTCTATATACTATTCATCTTATATCAGCAAAACTAGTACGACGCTGTTATACATTCATGTCAGTCATATAATGAATCGTTGTAAACGTTAGTTAGCTAGTTTGTTGTAAAGATGTATCTATATTACAATAAAATAAAAGTACTAGAACAAAAAAGTAGAAGATTTAAAAAGACTAGCTCTTATCAGTTCTTTTAGGTACAAACTAACAAGTTATCATTCGTTACTTATTGTCAGAAAATAGTGTCATAGAGATATTTACGTCATCTATGTTAATCTTGGAAAACAATAAGAAGAAAGATAAAGATTTGATCGACAAAATATACGTCATAGAATTATAGAGAATGCTCTACTTAAGGCAAACTGTTGATGTCAATCATGAATATACAAGAGACCAAAAAAGAAATAGAAACATTGCTTTTTTTCACTGATATATCACCAAACAACACCAACAACAACAAAAACAGAATGCACCCTATTCGTCGACATATCAACATTTATCACATTAGCAAAGATTCCTTTCATATTAGACTAGTACGTCTCTGTATATATTATTCATATATTGATCTAAAGAAGTATCTAATCGAATTTTTTTTTGCTTTCTTGCCTATCAATCAGAAGAAAGAAACTACTTCGTATATATATTGACTTTGTTTTGAGAATATTTGATGACTTGGTGTCTGTGTATATGTGATAGATTAGACAATAGAGAAATGTTATCTATATAGTCATCTATGGGTAGCTTATATCCAAGATGTATGACATCGTATGAATTATTTTTTTGTTTATCATACTTATAGATTTGTAGAAAAATAAATTCTAGCCATAAGAGATTTGTATTTTTATTTCTGATCCATTCTATCTACAATAACAAAATGATATTTTTATTGTTTTGTTAAACCTATTCTATATCAGCAAAAAAAAACTGATATTTATGTAAAATAATATTCTGATATATATGCTAGCTATCCTAGAGAATTCAATTATCGACAATATTTATCATAAATTATATCAGTATACGATACAAAAAATAATCTGATTAAATTTTGTAGACGGTAAACTTGTTGTCAGTTTGGAATTCACATGATAATTGGTTTTCTGACATTTATATGCAATACTGTTATATCAGCACAATATTTATCTTCATCAGAGTTCTAGTGATTCTCTTTAACTGTTATTTGTTTGGTTGATATTAGTTATTGTTAAAGATCTCAATAGTTAATTAAAACACTTTGGACTTTTTCTATGAAACTCAATATTTTAGATACAAAAATTATATAGAAAAAAACACGTTAATATATAATGATTTCAATATGTATATAGAAAACATCTTGATCGAATAAATTAATTTGTTTTATATTTGATATTACAGCCACTGTGATGATTATTTGTAGTCAAAAAAAAACACGTAGTGACCATTAGATTATTTTGGGAAAACTACTTAGTTTTTCCTTATAATAAACATAAATCAATTCATTAGTCTTCCGAAACAAGTGTTGATTGAATATATTTAATTCATGATCAAATCATTTTTCCATATCGAACTTTGATTTGTTTAAACAGAAAACTTGTGATATCTAAGAATTACTCCAATGAAAATATTATACGTTTCATTGAGTTCCTTCAAATCAATTTTACGCTTGGAATCATATCAAGTAAATGTACTTTGTTGACTTTGATGATGAAAGATCCGTCACATATTCTTATATCGAAAAGATATCAGAGATTCATAAGATTTCGAAGGAAAATATCGCAAAAAAAAGCCAGATGTCTATGATTATGTATATGTAATACAGAGCTTGATCTAGAACGTCAAAGCAAGTTTTACGTCATACACGCCTATGTCGTTGTTTTTTGAGAAAATATAATGTAGCTCATTACAATACTATGTGACTGTAATAATTGATTAAATAACAGTAACATAGTTCAATACCGATATAATTCCTTTTAGATAATATTCGAAGCAAGTTATATTTCACAAAATATACTATTATCACTATGTACTCAATTCTACTTTGGGAATATACGTTGATAGATATTCGATCTATTTTTAGACTATTTTGTATTTGCTTCTTTTTTTTTACATTATCAAGCCACATTTTACAGTAACCTTGTAGATCTTATGCTAGTCGATAATGAAGTATTAATATATATCCTTTCATCAGTAATATAATTGGCTCATTTATTTTTTGGTTTTTTTTCTTTAACATAAATTTTGCGGAATATTAATTGAGCAAAATGTACATATGCATGCTAAAAAGAATATAAATATGCGCAGATACACCAGTTTGTCTGATAAATAAACTAAACTACAAAAAACTTAATAAAAACATAAAATAGAATTAATACAGATCAAGAGAATGTCGAATAAATAATAACGAAAAATATGATCAAGAGAAGAAAATGATCACTCGGATTCATAAATGAAAGATGTTTAACTGTTCTCGTTTTCTTCATCGGGTTCTAATGCATAGGCTTCTTCTGCTGCGCTATAATACTTATTAGCAAGGCGTCCTTTCATTGCTGTCGTGGCCATTTCTGCTGCTTTATTAAATAAATCACCTTTTAATTGTAAAAATAAATAAATAGATATTTTAATAGTTTAAATAAACAATATTTACCTGATTTTTGATAATTACACAACAAATTATTTCCCCCTGTTTTATAGAGAGTTGCTAATTGAGCAACAATATCATATTGATCATGAAATGGTACTCCATTATTCACTGATTTAATTTGATTTGATTCATTAATTCCACTATCTTCATCAATATTATTTAATTCCTTTTCACGTATATGAATATATTTTTCATAAGATTCAGCTGCTTTTTTCCAATCTGGTTCTCTAAAATCAATAAAATAAAATTTAATAATGCAATTAAAAATTACGAACAATGATCCATTGACACCCTTATCATAGAGTTGTGCTAAATGAAGATTTGCTTCTGTTTCTTGATATTCACTAGCACGAATCATCATGTCTAAACCTTTTTGAAACAGATTAGTTGAATCCTAGAAAACAAAAGGTAATTCGTATACAAAATATGTTTTTAATATTAAATATTTTACCGATGGACAATAATGCGATAGAAGATCTCTTGGGAAATCTAGATAAATTTTTGCTAATGCAAAAATACCTTCTTTAACACATAATTCAGCTGATAATTCCAAATGAAAAAATGCAGATGCTTCATCAAATTCTTCAGAACCTAATTCACTAAATCGACCAACTTGATAATATTTACACATTTCAAGATGAATCTAAATTAGAAAAATTACACTTGAAATAATTGAACTAAAAATAGTATCATACCTGTCCAAGTATACTTTCATATTTTTCATAGCAAGCAGACATTTCATGAAATTTACCCAGGTGAGCTTTTTCAAGCATAACCGATGAAGGGCGATGATTGTTTGCATAATTATTTGGTGTTTGAGCATTGTAAATATCTTCGATATTAAAAATTAATTCCTTTAAAATTATAAAACAAAAATCTTAATTTCTCCTATATTCAGCGATTACTTACGGAATGTGAACGTGCATAATAATTCTTTTACACAGCAAACAAAATAAAAACCATCGTCATGCAAATTAAACAAAAAAACTTACTGGTGATGAAGTTGGCATCATATTAATTGATGTTGATAATATTGGCATTTTTAATTTCGTAGTTGTTGATGCTAATGGAATATTTTCTTCACTAAATGTTGTCATATATTGCCCATGTTTTGGTAATGATAAATTATGATCTAATAATTGAGCAGTAGCAGCTGTTAATGATGATGCTTCCGAAACATAACCATCGGATTCATCTTCTGATATTGATGATTGAGAACGTAATTTTCGAAGTAATGAACCAAATTTTGAAAGACCATTTAATGGTTCTTCAGAACCACGACATGTTGTTTGTGCACATAAATTCAAATTATATGATGGACTTAAGGAATGTTGTTGTAATATATGTTCACGTTCACTATCTGTCAAATCAAATGGTGTTAAATTGAGACGAGAACATATTGGATTACATTCATGAGTAGAAAAAAATAATGCCATACCACGAATACCAAGATTACCTTCTAGAGAAATGAATAAAACAATTGAATTTAATTAGTAAAAATAAAACGAGATTGAAATTTTCGAACCGCCATATTCAAAACCAAGACTTGTATGGATTTGTGGATCAGTATATAAATCACCAACACCTTGAATATCAACAACAATCTGTTCATGACATGATGCTTCAAATGTAAAATGACTAAATGCCTTTAAATACATGAAAGATTTCTGTAAGTTTTATTGAAATATTTCAGTAAAACCTGTGGTGTATGGCGTAATGCATCATCACAAACAAAGCCACTATTAGAATTATATTTTATATAGTCGCCATCCTATAATATATAATATAAATAGATGATTTTTTGTAATTTAATTATTTTACAATAAATCGTTCTAGATGATAATATGGTTGACCAACACGATCTTTAAATTCTAACACACTCATTTGAACAATATCAACCTTTAGAAGAGAAAAGAATATATAAAATGAATTCTTATTAATAAAAATTATGAATAATACTTTTTTCGGTGGATTATGTTCATTATAATGTGTTGCCCATAATTTTGTTGTCATTTGCATCATAACATCATCGAAATATCTTGCTATTGGTACATTTTCAATATATCGTTTAGAAATATAATTACTTGAATGATCCCAATCTTGATGCGTGGAAAAAATCGAAAGTTTTTTTCTAAATATTAAAACAATCTTATTTTGTAATGAAACTAATAGGAAACATATTAAACTTACAATCGAAAACATTCTCTCATACTTCCATGTGCAAATGCTTTTGATTCTATTTTAATTATAATTTGACTCATATGCCATGTACGTTTAATGGGATCAAATTCATGACGTGTTACATGTTCTTCTGGATATTGATCAACCATAAAATCAAGCCTAATTATATTAACGAAAATTATTTTTATTAAAGAAAAAGTATATGATAACTTACCAAGGATCTTTAAGTTGTACAACTTTTTTTACTGCTTCTTTCCAACGAACAAGACTATTCGTTTTTGAACGACGACGTAAACGATGTTTAGCACGAAAATTAGACATACCAATAATTTGTTCTTTTGAACTTTTTTCATTGATTGATTGAAGAGAATTATTAGAAGTTACTCGACCATCACCTTCAGTAATAGGTAACATATTTTCCCAATCATCATCAACTGTACTTATTGATGAATGTGCACGTTCACGTTTTTTTTGTGTTCGTTCAATAGATGAATGAAGGTGAATACCTCCGTCAGTTGATGGTGATTTTTCATTTTTCGAAGAATCTTCATCATCCAATGCTCCGAAAATAAGCTCATCATCTTGATTATTATCTTTTGTTTCTTTTAAATGACGATGTTGTTTTTTATCATTACGATGATTAATGTCATTTTCAAGAATAGAAATTGGTATATTTAAAATCGGTGCTGCACAGAGTATTTTTTGAGTCATGACTTAATAAGAATTGGTTACACATTCAATAAAATATGATAGGAATAGATACATATCTTTCGAATGTATAATTTTAATATTTTTATTTAGTTTATTAGTATAGATTATACATACAATTGATTTTGTTTACTAATATTTATGGAATAAATGCAACTGTTTAATCTACAAAAAAATCTATTTTACAATTTAATTGAGGATAATCCTGAAGTACAAGTACCCAGTTGACCCACTCTTTATTTTTTTATCGAGCGCTCATATGGCAAGGTGTACTCTATTCTATTTTTGTTCTCCTTCCTACGAAATGCGAGGAAAGGGGGTGTCAGCATATGGACAGATGTCTCAACCAACATTATTCGACCAATCTCGGAGGTTACTGGAAGAATATTTCATTCGATGAATTATCCACCCATTCACAATATTTAGATGATTCATTCTACCGTTGATCCAACCGAACATGGGATTGATGATTTCTTCTATTTAAATACATAAATTACCGTTAATTAAAAAAAGTTTCTGTTTAATAGAATTACAATTCAAGATAATTATCAATAGGTCAATCAACTAAAGTATAAATTAATAAATTTTATGGTTCATCTATTTTTTTCCTAATTAAATACATTTAATAAAATATCTAATATACGAAATCAAAAAAACTGTCTTTTTTCAAATAAAATCATTTATTCATTGCTTTTAATCAGTAACGTTTCTTCGTCACTTTCTTCCTCTTATCTCATAATTCTTTATTATAATTAATTGTTCTCCAAAATAATTTCGTTGCAGATTTAACATATAAATATGGATTTACTTGTTGGTGTTACATCACCAACGACGCAAAGTGCCGAAAGTAATCAACTGGATGATATGCGTCGTGAAGCTGAAACTAATGCACTACGAATTATTCAAGCTAAATTAGAAAAACCTGAAAATCTTGAAAAACTCGATCAATTACGTACTGCTGCTGCTCAACGAAAAGTATTCATCTCTTAATCATATTATTAAATATATTTATTAGTTTATTTCTAGCGTGTTCTTGATGAACAATTACGTACAGCCGTTCAATCACAATTAGAGAGTATTAAGACTGGTATTGCTCAATTACAAATATCTCTTGATAATATGAAAACAGTAGAACGAACAATGCGTGAAACAGATGAAAAATTACAAAAAATTGCTCCATTACAATCAAAACTAGAAGATTTACGTCATGAAGCTAATACATATAGGTATTAAATTAAATTTTTATTAATTTTTAAAAACATTTTTCTTTTCGTTTCTAGACAACTTTCTCTTGCACAAGCTAATCTTGATTATATAATAAAAACACCTGAAAATGTTAAAAAAGCCGATGATTTAATGGGACAAGAAAAACTTTTACAAGCTCATCAACTTATAATGGAAATTGAAAATTCGCGTAATTATCTTTTATTTGAATTACATAAAGTACAAGAGAAAGATTCTCAACCTGATGATATACAATTAGTTACAAATTATTTTGCTGATTATGAAAGACTTGTTGCACATCTTAAACAATTAATTACATTTCGTATATCTCGTTGGTATGATTGTGCAATAAGTGCACCAGAAAAATTAGTTACAGCTTTACGACTTATTGAACGAGAAGAACAGTAAAAAGAAACAAAAATCTGATTTTCGAATATATGTACATATCGAATTTTTTAGAGTTGATCGATTTTGGATGGAAAAAAAAGAGTTAAGTGGTTTTAGTCCACCTGATCGACCAAGACAATGGAAAAAACTTTGTTTTGAATTATTAAGAAAAAGTGTTAAAGATCGGTAAAATAAATATTCTTATATTTTCTTATTTATTTGTTTTATTTAGTATTGAAGGAAATCAATTAGAAACAAGAGAAGAACATAAATATTGGTTAACACGTCATTTAGAAATGTGTCGAATAATTATTTTACAAGATTTTACCATTATTACAGTAAAATTTTGTTAAATTTATTTTGAAGAAAAAAAGAAATATTTTTTCTTTCCTAGAAAACATGTCTTCGTTGTTTTCCAAAACAATATGATATTGTTAATCGATTTCTGGATTATTATCATAATTGTCTTAAAGAACATTTAACTGAAATATGTGATCCAAAACGACGTACTGAAGGTGATACATTAACAACAGCTGAAGTTTATACAATTGTTACATTCGTTCGAGATTATCAGTAAGAATTTTACAGAAATGAATATATATATTGATTTTATTCAAAACTTTTTATTCAGAGGTGCTGAATGTTTAGGAAAACCTGAATTAAAATTAGATATTAGTCAATTATCTCCATTACTTGAAAAAGATATTCTTGCAGCTGTAACCGATGTTTTTATTAATGAAAGAAAACAAAAATTTACTGAATGGATACCAAATATCGTTACATCAGAAGTTAAAGTATGATTTTATTTTTATTTGAATTCGATTGAATTATTTACATGATCTATGTATCATGAAAATGTGACTATTGAGAGAACATCGAGATGTACTTCGTAGAACGGCTAAATAAAGAAAACGATATATAATTGTTTATAGTTACTCTTGGGATTGGATCACATATTATAAACTAGTGCAGATAAAATCTAGATTATGAGAAAATTCTAATCTATTACTATATCTTTTTGTATGACACTTTCAACATAGTTATAGTTATTTTCTTCATTTTTTTGAATCAATTCTCTGTATTATTAGTAAATCTATCTACTATGATTTGATATGATAATTCAAAAAAGTTATGTAATTGTTTAGGATTGGTATGCTTTAAAAGAAGTTGAATTAACGTCTGAACATTATTATGCTACAACAATGCCACGTATGTTAATAAATATGATCATTGAAACACTTGACATGGCTAAGCAAATGTCCGATGAAACATGTCAATTAATTCTTGGTATGATATTACAAAAAATCAATGAATTTCGTGATTTATATGTCGCAGAAATAAACAATTATGCTAAACGTTATTTTTCTGATCGACAAGCGTTTAAAGAATGTTTTACAAAACAAATGGTAGCTAATGCAAATAATTGTGAATCTATACCAAATTTTATGCTTATTGTACGTAAAAAATATGATCGTGATGATCTTGATGATTTATCACGTTCTTCACAACAACAACTTGATCGTTATGAAGGTATGGGAAAAAAATTTGAACGTACAGCTGAACAATGTGTTGATATTATTTTACAAGAAATTGAAATAGATACAAGTAAATATATTAAAGTTCTTTTTACACGTGAATGGTTTGGTCCACAAGCTAAACCATGTTGTGGAACAATTATTGAAACAACACGTGATTATTGGAGTTCAGAATTAACACATTTGAAAAAACCTTTATTAGCATATCTTTTCTATTCATGGCATAAACGTATATTAGCTCATTATTTACGAAATTTATTTTCACGTAATACACCGATGAAATTTGAAAGACCAGAAGAACGACGTAAATGTGCTGAACAATTACGATCAGAAGCAGCAACACTTGATAAAGAATTTCAATCATGGGATGGTACATCAGCTGAAAATGCTACTGAATATCATTTTAATATATTAAGTAATATAGCTGATGTACTTGAACAAACAGATTTAGATTCAATTGTACTTGAAATCGCAACATTAGCTAAAAAATATCCAAGTTTAAATATGGATCAAGTTATACAAATTTTATTATTACGTGGAGATTTAACAAAACAAGAAGCGAAAGATAAAGCTGATGCTGCCATTGCAAATATGCCACGTGTTAATCAAGGAATTTTATTTGAAATTATGGAAATTATTAATCAACCAAATTGATATTCAAAAAAACTTAAATACGAAAAATACAAAACCAAATTCTTTATATCTATTTTATTAACTTATGTATATTTATTTATCTGCTTCTTTTTTTTTTCTTTTGTTATAAGCGATTATTATTTCTATTGATTATATTAACAAATAAATATTTATACACATTCCAAAAATTGATCATTACTTTTAATATTTATTAAATCAGATCATTGACTTACGATAACCACAAAAACGTCTGTCGTTACTCTACTTTCTTTTTTTGTCTCACAATCTGTATGTGTACGACTTTTGATACTTCTCATCTTTCTCTTTATCTCAATCGTTCTGTACACCTTCGTTTTTTTTTGATTAAAAAACCACACAAAATTTATCTCAAGTGTTAAACTCTTGTAGGTAACATAATCTGTTCTTTTCAACCATACTAATCACCTTGTGATTATTTAAGTATATCAAAGATAAACTTCACTAAAAATAAATCAATCTTTATTTGATAAAGCAAAAAAAACTCAGACAGTAAACAAAAAAAATATAACTAAATTGTATAAATGAACTTTAAATATCCCATTTAAACTACTGTAACTTGATTGTTAATACATTTTATCATAATCAATGACCTAATCGAACACATTTGAATGATCTTTTATCCAAAAAAAAAAAAGAAATAAAAAACGTTGAAATATCGCATACATTCATAATCATACAAAATGTTCTTTCAATGGTCGATTTTTATTCATTTTTGTCTATTAATTATATTTATCAAGCCAATAAAATCCAGTGAAAACTGTAGTATTGATTATGATCGATATAAAAGAAGTTATGGTTATTCATTAACTTATCATTGCATAAATCTTCAAACACTTTCATATGATCTATTACAAACTAAACCTATTGCAGATAAGAAATTACCATTAAAAATAACTGCAAGTCCAAATCTTCATATTCATAAAGAAATATGTGGTTATCATCAAAAACAACATTTATTAGGTTTATTAATTGACTCATCACATATTCGTTCAATAGGTTCACGAGCATTTTCTTGTCGTACATTACGAGTTCTTTCCATAAGTCATACACAATTTACATCACCAAATTTACCTGATGATATATTTCTTAATGCATCACAATTACAAACAATTCGTCTTGTTCATGTTAATATAGCACGTTTACCAACATCATTAGAAACTCTATCGAATTTAACCGAATTAATTCTTGATGATATGCATTCACTTCTTGCTTATCCATCAATTGAAAATTTAATTAGTTTACGTTATTTACATATATTTACTAGTATAAATTATTTTCCATTGAATTATATCGAAATTTTAAATAGTTTAACACATATACAAATTATTCATTTTGGTAGTCGTACAATAGATACATTTCCACGAGAATTATTTCATTTAAATGGTTATCAATTAACTGATGTAAGTCTTTATTCAGAAAATATAACATGTCAATCATGTAAAATTGATTGGTTTAAAACAATTGTTAAAACTTTAATGTTATATGGATGGGCTAATCGTACAAAAGAACAATTTGTAAATAAAAATTTTCATTTGATTACAAAAACAACGTAAGATTTTTTTTTCGTTTTTCTTTGTACTCAATATGAAAACAATCTATTTTTAGACAATATTATAAATTAGATATAATTGCATATTGTGGTGATATGCGATTAGGTTCAGAACCATTGATGGTACATAATGCTCCATTATGTTGTAATAAAGGTTATTATCATTGTGCAACTGAACGTTCTACATGTCAACGAGTTAGTAATACATTTTCACGTTGTAAATGTTTAAATGGTTATTATGAAGATAGTTATGGTGATTGTATTTCAATTTAAAAGTTTAGAATAAAAAACATCAGAAAAAAGTGTGTGTGTTTTTTTTTCATTTTAAATTGTTCATATGAAAAAGAAAAAATGAATAAAATTAATGATGAGGTTTCTTGCCACCAGCATGTTGTTTCTTGCCATCATGATGTTTGTTTTTTTTATCTTTGTGATCTTTTTTACCTTTATGTTTACCATCATGATGAGCTCCTTTGCCACCATGTTTACCTGATCCACGTGAACTACTTCGACTAGCACTACCATGAGGTGATTTATGATCACCTCGAGCACCTGGTAAAGCACCACGATGCGCTAAATCCTTGGGTTCACCAGCTTTGTGATTCAATACATCACCATTAACATCCTCTATATAATAAATAGAGTAGTTCTATATAATTTTTATTATAAAAAAATTTCTTACGAAGAACTAAGGCAAGGATGAATACCAAGGCAAGACTATAAATCCAAAGTAATCGCATTGATTCGTTTGAGGTTGTATGAAATAGATGTAAATGTAAAATGTTGAATAGAAATTATTTGTGTATGAGATTAAATATCTTCGGTTTATTTAAAAGAGAATAAGAGAATAAGAGAAAGAACACAAAAAAAGAATAGAGAGAGAGAGAGGTATGTAAAAAGATAAAGACATACATCATACCTACACGCAAGTGAAAGTTATTTTATCAGTAGTAGACCGGCAAGGACAACATATTCACGGTTTATGTTACAATAACACTACGATAAATTTTACGATTATTTTGAACTTTTTCTTCATTTTGTCGTATAGGTGGAAATAAACTTTCTTTTACAGGATTTTTCGTACGATTTTGTTGCGAAAGATTAACTACTGCTGTTTTTTGAGACGCTCGTAATGGATCTTGTGTGCTACGTAAAGGCTCTAGAGAAGATCGTGTTGGTTCTTGACTTTTAATATATTGTTGAGCTTCTGATTGAATACTTTTTAATAAACGTCTATAAAAATTGAGAAATGATATCATTCACGATAAAAGAAAGAAATTCTATAAACTTACGTTACAATAGTACTTTTCTTTTTTAAATAACTATCATATATATCACTTTTTTGTGTTGTTGGTAAATTATTCACATTATTAACCTACAATGAAACAAAAAAAAAGAAGATTTATAAAATTAATGTCAATATTCTATGAATTCATATAGTTTTACTTTTAATCTCGAACCAACTTTAAATTTAAGTTCAACAAGTTCACTAGAAAATTTCATATAAGTTTTTTCTTGTGAACAAACTTTAATTACAATTTCATCATTTAAATGAAATAGTACTGGTTGACATGGTGGTGCATGTACATGTGGGTCACCAGTTGTATTTACTTTTGCCCACCAATTCCAACGACGTCGACGTGTTCCATCAAAATTTAATTCTAAACCTTCGAGTGCTGTCAAATGTAATCTATAAATAATACATGATATGTTTATGGAAAAAAGAAGAAACAATAATACGTATATTTCATACCTTAATGTTCCATTTAAAAAATTACAATAACCATTTCCAAATGGATCAAATTGTGCAATTTGTTTTGCTGCAGTTTTTGATTCATCAGTAAAGGCAGTATATAAAAGCATAGCACGAGCAACTTCTGAGATACTTATAGCTAAATTACCCGATGGATAACTAGAAGATAATGAAGGTTACTTTTTTCTGAAAATTTTAACGAAATACAACTTACTAAATAGAACCTGTTCCAGTTGGAAAAAGAATAGCTGCTGTAGTTCCATCTTTATAAAATCGTTGAACTAATGGTTTTTCATGTTTCTATTCATTAATAAAATATATATGATAGGAATTAGAATTTCAATTGTCTTTTAATTACTTTTATTTCCGTAGACGAAATATCTCTTGGTATGAGTATATGTTCTTCATTATCAGATTCTTCATCTGAACTTATTTCAAAATCGACTGGTCCTCTTAATGTGTAACCTTCTTCAACATATTTTAAATTCGATAATTGATATGTAAATGTTTTCATTCGTGCTGCCACTATATAGAAATAAATAGAAAATTTTCTCTTCTGTTTTGATATCATAGACAACAATACAATGAATATTAGTAAGAATTACATTAAACCATTTAAACACACAGATTGATTATTAATAGTAAGAATATTAGTATAACAAGCACACTTACTAGCCGAGTCCGATGTGGTACTCGGCAATTGTGAGTTGTTAGAAATTGGTATTACAACACGATATAAATTTAATTCTTGTAAATATCCTATACACATATATATATATATAAAACAATAGAATCCTTGATATCTTTCCGACTATGTCGATTAAACATATATCTCGGAAAAATGAATTCATTGATTGAGCAAGAGAAAAAAGAGAGCTACATATAAGCTTTGTACACATGCGATAGAAAAAGCTCTACATATTATTGTTATTAATATTATTATTATTATTATTTTCAAAATACTTTCAACTGCATTGCCAGTTGCATCATTTGGATTATGTCTTCCATGATGTTTTCGTCCTGCATTACCCTGTGCATGACGCCCTGCACAAGTTAAGATATGTATATTAAATATGTATGAGGATAGACAAAAAAAATATTTGGATAAATATCACGGAAGATATTTGAGCAAAATTCTGTTGCGCCATTTTATCATGTAACTAACTATAGTCAGTATTTTGTAGTTGATTTTGTTGGAATTTAATTGATAAGGGAGAAAGAAAAGAAAAAGAGAGTATTTGAGTTGTTTACATATACATACCAGTAGATTTAGAATGTGAAGCATTTGATAATTCTTGTACTTGTTCTTCAAGTCGTTTTTGTTCAGCCTCATGACGTTCCCAAAGTCTAATATATTTATATATAATAATAGGATTGAAACTCTTCTCAGTTTTTTTATTACAAACCTTGCTTTAGCTCGTTCTTCAGCTAATAGACGAGCTCGTCGACTACGAACTTTAGCATGTGGTTGTATATCAATTGGTATAGAATCAAGTTTTTGATTTTCTTCTTTTTGCATTTCAAGTACAGCTTCAACAAAGTCACGATATTCAGTACAACAAAATAGCTAGAATTAGAATAAAATAGATATTTCACAGATAAATAGATAGATATATATTAATACTTCTTTTGGTGGAGATTTTTCTTGTTCAACAATTGTTGGCCATTCAAGTAGTTCATGACCACAAAATTCACATGGAACATGTCCATAGATATGAATACCTAACTCACGAAATTCAGCTTCAGTCTTTTCTTCAAGTGTTTCATATAAATCATTTTTATGTTTCGATTCTGGATTATACTATAGAAACCGATGTGACATTCATTTATGTCAAGTAGAGCGTAAAAATAAAAGTCAATTTAACCTGTAAAATAGGTGGTGGTCCAACAGATGCTATAATTGGCAATTCAGGTAACATTTTTGATAAATCTTGTTCTGATGCCTTTAAATAAAAATACATATATAATTATTTGAATTGTTTATTCAGTTTATTTACTTCGGTAACTTTCTTTTTTGAATCAACGTCACTATCCGACTCTTCAGGTTCAGGTTCTTTAACTAATTTATAATTATATATAAATATATACTCTTTTTGAATAATACAAATACACGCACCTCGATATCGTTCGAGCATTTCCATATCTTTCCATGTCCATTCCGTTTGACAATGTATTCTTAACAAAAAAATTTGAATTTTATATAATTTATTTATTTCTTTTAATCTATTATCATACGAAGCAGATTTCTTTGGTATCTTTGGACGTGATGGTGTAACATTTTGTTTTTTAGATATTTCTGGCAATTTTTCTGATGTGGCTGTAAGAGCAAATACTGCTTTTTGTTCATCATCTAATATCGAACCTTTTTCGTTTTTAAAGAACAAAATAAAAATTATATTTTTATATGCTTATTTTATTTAAAGCTAACCAGATTGTGGTTGTTGTTGTTTCGATGAAAATGATGTCTCAGTATCCGTATCATTTGATCGATTAACTATATGTAAACAAAGATATACTCCGTGAAAACTTTATAATTCTTTTTTACTAGTTATTATTCAAAGTGGTTTCTAAGATCATAAGAGAGAACAAGATTAGTAGTTCGATCTCTATTGATTAAAAGTATGTTTGGCGTAGTTTTTTTGTCATACTTTTTAAGTTGTTGACAAAAAAAAAGGCGAGGAGAGAAAAGAAAAGGAAAATGTAAAGTGAAGTGTTTAGAAGAAATCGAAAAGAAAATATGAAAAAAAAATGATAGACGATAGCATTTATTTTGCTTCCTAACTGTTGCATTTAATCATATAAATAAGTTGTTAACTCAATACGACCAATCAGTGCATTTAAACACTTTGATGATGTACTATTGAGTAATAAAAAGGAAACTAGTAGTTGTATCAATATAACGAGAAAAGCATATTATTAAAAATGGGTCACTATGGTAAACATATAATTGATCCGGAGACCGGCTTATGTGAAATATGTGATAAGAATGCTATTCAAGAAGTTCGTCAAGGAAGAAGACAAGATCAACAACCAGCCCATCCAAACAATAATTCAGGCCCTAATGGACAAGTAATTAAATATTTTATTTAATATATATTTTCATTTTCTTTTCTAATCTTTTCATAGAGATCGCATCGAGTTTCTTATGCAGACAATCAAATGATTCCTCGATATAATACACCAACATCAGTTCGTCCTATGAAACAACAAGCTTATACACCTCCTCCACCAGCAAGTGACATGTGGTATGGTGGACCTAGACGAAAGATTAATTCTGGTACGGGAATTCTTCAACAACCAACGCCGCGCAATTATGGACCGCAGAATGCTAGATATGCTCCTAATCAGATGCATCCTATGCCAATGGATCCTTATTTTCAACCATCACGTATGTATCCTGCAGAAGCACATAGAAGACCATATAGAGTTGCACCATTGGAACAACATCCTTATTATCAACCTCAACCACTTCCTGCCAGAAGAGTTTATAACAGATTTCCACCAGGCGTATATGACCCGATGCCACCCGTCACTTATATGGCTCCCCCACCATTTAAAGAACCACAAGTCTTCCATATCCGACTTACTGATTAATAATGAAACTTTTAAGATTTTTTCGTTTCTTGTAATTTTGTATTATATTCATATATTTTTATAAATCTTATTTTACTTAATTTTTCTAAAAACATTTCTTCTGTCGACGAAAAAGAAGTATATGCATATTGTCAGTGACGAAAAGAATGTTTTCTTTTAAATGTACTTCATCACATACTTAATTCTAGAGCAATTAAAAAAAGAAACAAAAATGATGATTTCTTTCTTTCGTTCTTTTACCATTTTTTTAAGACGAAGAAGAAGAAGAGTCAAAATGATTGTGAATATGTTAAGGTTTCTTCTAATATCAAAAGTAATATTATTTTGTCGCAATCAAATATAAAATAGAGACGAAGACAAAAAAGTATTTATTTACTAACTTTCATAAAAAAGATTAATAAGAATTTTTCATTTTCTAACAATCATTAAATTTGAATAACGTAGGTAGAAGATTTTATTTTTTATAAGGATTTAATTGACTAGCTAATTAATAAATCATTAAAATAGTATTCAGTATAGTCTATACCATTTCTTTGTTATATACATTCACGTTCAAGTAAAAATATTGATCTAGTTATATGAGGATCTTGATAGATTTATTTCTATATGTAAGTATTAACTTATTAGTAATAGATTTTTTTTCTCCTAGTAGAAGTTTTCTTTTGTATCGTAGTAATAGTATTCAATAGTATTCTTAAAACTTCATTAAATGATAGATTTTTGCTAGGAGATAGGGCTACACTTCATTTTCAAATTAGTTCAAAATATGTTCTTAGTAGAATGTAGTAAGATTAGTGTCTGACTGATAAATTACGAATGATACGTATTGTCTCAGTCTGAAGATATTTTATTTTGTATATGTTTTATAGTACTTTCGAAACGATAAGTTGTGATCATATTACTAACTATAAATGACATGTGAAAAACTTGAGTAAAAATATAGAGAATTATGTGATCAGACATTGTAAGAAAAGTCATGCTTGTTTAAAACTGCGTGGAAATAAGAATTTCGTCAACGCAAGAGTAATAATCTAAGTAAAACATAGTCTATATATATACGGATTCCGTAAATAAAAGATTCAAATATTATTAGTATTTTACATATTAAGAATTCGTTTCGTAAGAATGAAAAATAAAATCTGTACACTATTTAACTACTAAATGACTTACCTTTTTCATCATCTACTGGTGGTATTTCATTATTACCATGGGAATCGATTGATCTATCAATATTGTCGCTAGTTGTAGTAGTTTCGGCATCTGATACCGAGTGAGACATCGAAATCTAAGAATAAAATAGATTTTCTTTAAGAAAATATCAATTTTTCTTGTTCAAATAAGTTCATAAAGAAAGGAAATTTATTAGTATAGTCAGTACTTAATACTATGATAATAAACATAATCGCGTGCATCTATATTGTTCAAGAAATCAAACGCGATGATTAAAAAAAACTGTGAATAAAGAACAATAATATAATAGAAAAAAAAAGTGAAAGAAAAATGAAAAAATAACAAATGAGCAGTGTCAATTTCATTTCATTTCTTTTCTTTTCTTTTCTTCGATCTGCTTTTCACCATCAGACTGCCACTAGCAATCAACGAATTCGCGTCAATACTCGTTTAAGTTACCATGTTTGCTTGTCGATCTTTGACAACGAGACCCACATTCCTAGATGAAGAAAGAAACATCAGAATATTATTGTATGATGATTGATGGCGTAACATTCTTACAAAATTGTCGCCAGAAGCACATTTTAACAAGGCTTAAAATTTGTTCTTCCATACTCTACTGTGTAGTAACATTGAAATCAAATGCTGCATTGATTACTAAATGAACTATGTATGCTATTATTGTTAACACTTATGTTTCTTTCAATTACCGCTTTCACAGGAGAAAACTACTTTTTTTTTAAAATTTATTCTTCTACGTTGATCATTATTGTACGAGTGACTATATTATTTTTTAAATTAAACTGTAAGTAGCTAATTAAGTCTGGAGTATGTCCGTTACTAGTTGAGACAAATAATAAAATATTGTTGATCATCATTACAGGATTCATTTCAACATACAATATGTTGTATAAAATGAACTTCAATGGTTTTATGTTTCATATTCTCTCTATTAAGATTAAAGATATGTATGTACATGGAATAATAATAATTATTATTTTCATTACTATTAGAAGAAAACGCACAAACTTCAAAGATATTAGATATTCGTTTTTGAGTTGATTTTAATGAGTGATATTTATGAACAACGAAAACTTATGTCGAAATGATCATTGTCTTTGGATTTATACTGCTTCTGGTAGAAAAAAAAGTAAACCTTTTTTTTTATTTTTATATAAACACAAATACGAATTCTTTCGAATATAAATCAAAGACTAATGAACAAACGATAGACACTTGTTAAGTGTTGGACACGAATAGTATTGACTATAAGAATAAATAAAATAATAATAATAATAAAAAGAAGAGCGACGAGAGAATAATATGAAACACCAGCACTGCTACCACCATTGGCAACATGGTGACGTACATACATACGCGTACTCATAAAAAAAACTTTAAAAAAAAATAGTTATTTTAGTTTTTTTTCTCTTGTCGTCTACAACTATTATATGTAAATTGTCTTAACATATAAGTATCTTGTACATTATTGAATTCAAATTATTGTCATTATTATTAGTCATCTATTGGCTTCAATAAATGAATATGCATGAAATAAAAGGACCAACAGAAGATTTACAAGAACAATTGAATATTGCTACAGAAGAAATTCAAAGTTTACGACAACAATTAACTTATCTTCTTGATTTAACCAAAAAGTAGAACATCAATATCATTGATCTTAAATATTTATCAATACATGTTTTTAGTGCTTGGCATGGTGATGAAACAGCTATTAATCATTTAACTGAACTCATTGGTTAGTTATATATTATTATAATTGCCTATTTATATATAGCTACTTTTTATCATTTGTAAGGTATTGATGCTGAAATTGAACAAAATGCCTTGAGTAAAAAGAAAACAGTGGCACCTTCTTCGGCAAAGAAAAAAGTAACAATTGCTATTAATGATGAAATTTTATCGACCGTAAATATATTCTTAATAGCAATCTTGAATTTTATACATATTTTTATAGGAAGCACGAAGTACTACAAATTCAACAAATCATGAACATAAACAAACAAATGTTCAAGCAACTGCACGGTATAATAAATCTTTTTATTTATTCAAATGAAATCATATATCATCTATTTTAAGAAATACATATCTTCAACCATTTCTTAAACAAAATCATATTGATCCAATACGAGAACAAAATTATAAAAAAATTTTTAGTAATATATTACGCTATCGTCAAGTATATTTGTTCTTATAATTAATGAATAAAATTTTTTCTATTTAATATTGTATAGAATGAAATACGTAATCAACCAAGTATTCCAAATAGAATACCATCAGCAACTGTTCGGCCACGTGCAACAAAACATCTCTATCAATCAGCATCTCCTGATCATGTTGTACGTCATCTTGGTAGTTCATTAGGTCGTACAAAACCTTATTTTGTTTTTGCTGGAAAAGAATTTTTTCAACAAACAACCAGTACTATGCCATTACATGAAAAAGTATTTATTAATTCAATATATATTTTATTCGATATTATCTTTATTAGAATGGATCACATCAATCAGAGCAATCTGATACGTCTGAAGATTTAGAAGCTGTAGCATCATCAAGAGCTGAACCAGGTGTTTATTTTATATATATAGTCATGCATAGAAAAATATTCAAATTTGTATTATTATAGTTATTGCACGTCCACAAACAGCCAGATCTCTTCCACAATCATCAATACTTCGTTCAAGAAATGCTGATTATCCTGGAAGAATATCGTCTGCTACAAGTAATGGATCAAATACAACAGTGACACCGTTTAGTGAACGTGATCGACGTGATGCTATGCGACTTCAACGACAACTTAATTTACCACGACAAGGTTGGCTAAATCAACATTTTTGATAAAATTATAGAATTATGTATATATGTGTGTTTGATAAATATATATATTGTTTTATATTGATAAATATGATTAGAAAATTGCTCTTATTCAGCAAGTAGAAATGTAATTTTTACTATTTCATTCATCAATTGTCTCGTTCGATTATAGTAAAATTCTTACAATAAGATAAAAAGAAAATATGAATTATAAAAGCATTTCAATTATATTTTAATAGTTCTAATCCATATGTGTCGGTAAGTAATATTATTTTTTACGAGAAATTCTCTTTTATTCTTCAAACTGATTTGATATAAAGCTCACCATATTACAGAACGAAGAAAAAAAATGCTATTTATATTCATTCCTTTTTTTTCTTAAATTTCTTTCTTCTCTTCCACTGACAACAAAACAAAAAACATTTTGTCTTGGCAACAATCACGCGTACACTTATACTTTTACTATACTACTGTTAATTTTATATTACACCATTCAACAATGGCTGAGAATTCATCAGTATGGCCACCTAAACTTGATGAAAATCAAATCAAAGATCATTCAGATGTACCTGCTCATCATAAAACAGATGAAGAAGTTAATAAAGATGTATATGCAGCGCCAGGTGATGTTACCAGTGTAGCTGCACAAAAAACATCTGCTGAAGGAAATGCATCCAATGATGCAGCTAATTCTCAAGCTTCTGAGCCACGAACATCTACAAATCAAAGTGCTGTCAGTCAAGAAAGTGTAAATCGACCCAAATAAATTACTATTATCATATAAATATATTTAAAAAAAATAAAGTTTCTAATAATTACATATATTTTATCGTTCTTTTACATATTGTATGAATAACTATAGTTACATCATTGTTTATATTGATTACAGTATTTTTTGATAATGATAGGTAGACAATATGTATTTACTTTAATCTTAGTTATGATAATAGTTTAGAAAATAAAATACACATGAACATATCCTATTGAAATCGTCTTATCATCATTTACATCAGTAGCTTCATTAAATTTTAGCCGTCTAAAGTGACAAGGATCACAACAATATACAATAGAAACAAGTATTAAACAATAGTATATTTGCTTACTGTCATTATAAACATGATACTTTGATCTGTATCAAATAATTTCATGTATGTTATAATATCGATAGAGTATGACAAATATAATTTGACTGATAGTCAAATTCTGTTATCTAAATATATATCAATTTTGTGAATAGTAGGAACATGAATGATTGAAAAAGAAAGAGATAGTTTTGATTGGTAGTATCATAGAGAGAGAGAGGTAATTTTCTAATAAATAGTATCTATAATCTTTTAATATGAGTATGATAGAGTAACCATGACATTTTCGTAAGATTAGTTTCTGATTGTCATATATATGTACATTATATAAATCTTATAAGATGCGAATGAAATCATCGAACTTGATTATATTAAGTAATCACGTAAGACATCATTCAGTCAATAAATTCTTTTCTTCGATACATCGATTCAATCAGATGAAAGAAATTTAAACCGATGAGGTGCTTGTATATATATATTTAAATAAAATATGTAGATTTTGATTAAATATTCATGATGACAACTTCTGTTCACAATTATTATCGTTCATTGGATATAGAACGAAATAATATGAAATCTATAGTTATAAATATATGTATATGTAAGTATAGTTCTCAAGCGGAAGTTCATTTTTAACTTTGTTCAGTTCTCGATATTACATATTACAGTATTCTTGTTTTATATATACTATTATATAATCGATATAGGGGGGCAAGAAAACTTAATATCACGGTCAATTACTAGTTCACTAAGTGATAGCGATACAGAAAAAAGTATTACATCTATCTTCTACTCTTCTTTTTTTTTCATTTTATTGAATTTTAATAGATACGCATACTTTCATCATGTCAATAGCAAACACTTACATACGTATATCAAACTAGCACCATTCAGCATAGCGAGAGCAGAAACACCATTATAAAAAAAGAAAGAGAAAGAGAACGAGAACGAGAGGCGGAATAGGTTCATGACCTTCAATAGTATATGTACTTTGATATAAGTGTGTATATGATCATTTAAAATAAAGAATATCTCGACGCATATGAAATATAATCGTAATACTTGTTAATAATGGTACTAATAAAAAAACAGCTGAAATAATTCCAATACGTTGTTTACTCGCATGCATAGCCTCGTCTAATGTTGGAACACAATTAGTTACGCATCCGTATGTTGAACGAACGGAGTCCCAAACAGGATTTGTTGGATAAGTAGTGTAGTCATTTTGAAGATTTACTTTAAGTTGATCAAAATAAGCAAAACCTGATGCACAAGCACCTGACAACAAAGCCATATAAAGTGAAAGTAACGCAAGAGCAATCATTAAGAAACGCCAACGACGTCGTAATATACCAAATACACCCAAAATAATTGGAAGAGCTACAATACCACTACCGATTATTAAAAGAAGATGAGCTAAAAGATAAATTAATTTTTATACATTCTTCAATTTTATATTTAAATATATATATATGTATACGAACGTGCATAAATGGAAAAATAAGATTGTTTATTAAAAGCAGTATTAAGATTGATAACAGTATTATATATAGGTGTTTGAAGAAGGAATCCAATGCCAAGGCCAATGCCTAATAGACATTGCAAAGTAAGAAGTCCAAATAAGATCAAGGCAATCAATTGGATCGTATCCAACGGTCCACAAGGAAAATTCATGGCCACACGTGGAGACCGATGTATATCAATATATTAAACCATGATCAATCTAAATTGAATAGAAATGTGACTGAACATATTAATAAGTACAAGTTATTTGTTCAGATAGTCTGTATGTTTGATCAAGAAATAATATCTGCTATGTGTATATTTGTCAATATTTTTCGGTCATATATTTACAAAATAGAAACAAAAGCAAACAAGAAAAGAAAATAGTTCAGCTTAATTTGACAATAGATTCTATTGAGAATTTTTAAGTGATTCAGTAGTACTTGTCCTTGTTATTTATCTACCTATTTCTGTTCTTTCTTTCTGTTACTCACCATAGTAAAACCGCACAAATGCCATCGATGCCTGTTACCGATTGAAATAAATGAATGACGAGTCGAGAAAGAGAAGAGAGAGCAATAAGAAAAGAGGGACAGAGAGAGAGAGAGAGAAGAAGAACAAGAAGAAGAAAAAAAAACTCTGATGATACGGTGGTTGTGTGATGTGAACGTATGTGTGTTACGAAGTTGGAAAGAAGAAGAAGAGAGAATGAGAAAGAAAAATTTTATTACATATGCGACTGATGTTGCCTGTGTCTTCTACGTACCCACATCTCATTTTTCATGTCCTCATATATGAATATATATTTAGATATATGATTAAAATTTCTAGACCTATGCAACATTTGCCAATAGTAATAACATTGATTTAATAAACAACATATCTATGTGAATAAAATAAAAACGAAGTTTAACTTGCTTGTTATATTGTGAAGACATTGTATTGTAGTAAAGATAATATCATGACGATAGACAATGATTATGAAGGTTTCTTTTGACGTTTATTCACTTGTATGTATTGACATTTAATAATGATTTCTACTAGAAAGTGTTAATCGATAACGATGACAAGTATATAGTTCAATAATGTCTAGAATCTAGCAAAGGTTATTACTTTATACAAAATGAATTGCATAAAATAGAGACCTTCTTTTGTAGGCTATACTGTAATAATAAATGTCATTGAGATTTGAAAGAGAAAAAAAATCCTAATGCAAAATTGATTAATTGATGCGTAGGATAAGATGAACAAATAGAACTAAACTGATTTCTTTTTCTTTCCTTTTTTTCTAAATAAATATATTTCGATCTTAGGTAATTCTAGACTTCTAATAAGAGATTAGTTGAATATTCATAAAATAAATATAAGTAACAATAAATGAATTTCATTAATTCTTTCTAGTACTGCTTTTTATTAATTACGTGACATTTAAATTAACTATATATATTGTCGTAATAGTTGCATAAAATAGTAAGTTTCTTTTTTTTTTGTTAATTGAAGATCTAAATGACCGTTGGACTTCAAGGTTTCATTGACAATTATATATCGTACTTGTTCAATACTAGTGAACCCATCAAAACTATATTTATTCATGTTTAACAATACTCTGACAAATTTGATATCAATCTATTTTGATTTATTAAATGAAAAAATTTATTTCATAACTATGGTCACACAATATACATACATGAGAGTACTCTATGTATATTTGCATCTCCTACAGAGATGTCGATAGTTTTTGATAGAAAAAAAGTTATTTAAGTATTTTTAATAACTTGTTGATTTTTCACTCTTTGACTTTGATGTTTGTTTTCTCTAAATACAATAAATTATTTATTTCAACTACGTAATTTCAATAAATACAACAAAAAGAATGGGTGTCTCATGCAATAGACAAGTATAAAAGTAAAAGCAATCATTATATAATAATTGTTATCTTGTTTTAAGCTCAAGAATAAAGACAAGTACTTGAATCTAAACATCTGGCTATTAATAATTTTTTTCTTTATCTCTTAATAAATTTGTCAACTTTACATGTTGTAATGTTCTTAACCATTCTACAGTCGAAGTAGATACTACTTATTCTCAAGCAAGAATATTTCCACACATAGTTTAACATGAACTAAGAGTTAGTATATTCTCGACTGTTTAAAAGCTTTGATGAAAATTAAATGTATATGTCTCCTCCTCATTTCTATTTAGTATACAATAGGCGTAATACATAAAATGAACAATACACGAATACGTTCATTGTAAACAGAGATTATACTCATGTTAATCATACTGCTTACTGATAATACATGTACATTGTGAATAGATCGTTTGTTTTTTGTTGTTATCAGTAGTAAAGAAGGATATTATATAATAATTCGAATTTAGTGATAAAATTGATTCATCATTGCAATCAAATTATAATAAAATCATTAATTTATGTTTAACTTTTATATCAAAATAGTTATTGAGATAAAGATGTACTAATATACATAGAAATGTGATTCGAAATATGTTGATATGATGATTTTTTTGTTAAACTGCTATGTGTAGAGAGATCGGCGATTCTAAGAAAAGTGTAATGAAGAATTGAATCGAAACTGTTTTCTTGAAATATATGAAACAATATTATTTGGTGGTCTAACCATATTTGATGAATAGTTACAGCTGTTCACAAACATCAGAATTTCTATTATAATTATTTCATCATATTTGTAACATATGGAGCTTTAGCTATGCTCTCGTCGTATTTTATATCGAATATGTCAGATGAATTTTTAAAAGAGATACTCTTCGTAGAGTTTATTCAAAAAAAATGTTTTTTTCTTTGTTTCATTCTTCTTTTGCAAGTTTTAATAATTGTTGACTCATATATGTCCTGAAAAATTCCAGAGTTATGTCGAACATATTTTTCATTCTCTAATTGATACTTGAAACTATCTGTTATTACAACTGTTTGTTTCTGCGAAAACAACAAAGTTTTATTTTGATGATGTGTTGATCTTATCAAAATTGTACTTTTCATTCAATACCATAGAATGAGTTCAAGTGTTTCTAGTGTCTATACATAAACTGATAAAATACTTTAAATTTAATAATATAAATAAGTCATGAAATACAATTTTATTCAATATAAATTTTTCATTATAAAAGGTTAAATAAAAATTCATAAAAATATATATCAATGATTTTCGTGCTTGATATAAAGTCGATACAATTTATCTGACATTCTCATATATATATGCATCTTTTCTTAATGTAAAGAAAATTACATCGATATAGATATAATGAATGTATATTAGCTAATGTAAAATATAATACTAATAAATATTTTATATTTACGACACATTAGAACTTTAATCAATGAGAAATTGAAAAAGCTTGCAGCAGACTCCAGGTACATGTGATAAATATTAAAATTACCATGAACTGTTTTGAGACTGAATAAAGGAAATGAGAATTATTAACGTAGAACAAAAATGTTAATCATACTTGTCATTGATGCGCTAGACATATATACAATGTCAAAAGCACGAGCTCTACTTTCTAATACTCGACGATCTTTAATAGATTTTGAGAGGATTTCAATAATATGATGTTTTTGATCCGAAATTGCTGGTGATTGAGCGGCAGCAGCAGCAGCATATCCACATAATTGATCATCTTTATTCCATTGAATAGTTATTAAAATTAATAATAGAGATGTTATAACAATCCAACGTTGTTGTAGTAACATTATTACAATAAATTATGTATACAAACGGATCAATGTGTAAAAACAACAGTTATGCATAAACATGAAAGGCAAGTAAAGACTGTATGACTAGTATTTATAAAGATGATAAAAACATAGAAATGAATGAATTATACTATTTTATGATTTTTTATATGAGTAATAATTGACATATCATCATTACGAATGAAAAGCTAGAACAGAGGCATGTACGGCGTGAACATAACCTTGATTCTTCCACTTTATCGATGAAAAATTTTGAGTTTGAAAACAACTTCGTCTTTTTTTGATAGACTATGATGTAGTAATTAAAAATATGATCTACTAACTAAAACTCACGCAATCAATCATATAATATGTCACGTCTTGATATTCAATAGAGTACGATCTTCGGAAAATGTATCTTTATTGAAGGAAAGAAAGAGAGAAACAACAGGTAGAGAGAACGAAAGACGAAAAGATATATATGTAACTCATACATATAACGACAGCTATATATATCTGTATGTGTTGGATAAAACCATAACAGAAAAGGGAAAAACATTGTGACACACTGTTAGAAGATATGGATAATTCCAGTATTATACTCTGTTAGATGATATGGATTATTCCACTATCTCACATAATGAATATTCACTAGCTTTCGAAAGTGACAAAATAACTGTGCTTGTATTTCATAGACTACAGCTCAATCGAATAAAAATAAATCGTAACATTGAATAGACGAAGTTAATGAATCGTTAATAAAAAGGAATTAAAATAATTTCAATTTTTTTTTGTTTTGTTTTTTTTATTCCGATGGAGGCTGATATGAGTGACTAAAATGAAGAGATAGTCACACCCGCCAATCATCAATATTCATCATAGCCAATTCCAATAAATACTAATGCGATAAAATAATTTTACAAAGCATACTTTAATAACAAAATAAAATTCATTAATCAATTTGTTAAATAATAAAAAAAATACATATTGGAAAAACGCTGACTAGTAATATAAAATAAAGAACCATTTTTTTCTCACTTTTAAAATAGATAAATTTAAATATTAAAATCCATATAAATGTCATGTCAAAATTTCTTTGTTTGTATCATCATTATTATTATATTTCGTACCTAGTTTATTTAATTCACAAAACTGACGGAATTTTTCTTGTTCTAAATTACGCATTAAATGATTTAATGCATAAATCTAAAGAAAGAAAGAAATGTGTTTGGGAAAACAAATCATTATTAAAAATAGACCTGTCTTCGACGAAAATCAGATGTTCGTTTTTGTTCTTGCTCATGTGCTACTGTATGAAATGTTGGCAAACGTGGTTGATAAGTCATATTTGTTGATTGCCGCTCCAATTTCAAAGACGGAGGTAAAACATCTCTTGGTTGAGACTGACAACGTTTAAATTGAACGAATTCTATTGAATAGTAAAAGTGAACAAGGACTATACCAGAAATTTAAGAATAAAATACCAGTTTTTGGAGGAATTTTTGGTGATTTAGATAATGATCGATTTCTTGCCGTTAATGGTCTACTTATACGAAAATCATCACTCAAACTTTTATCGACAGACTGACTTGGATTGTTAGTTCGATGTTTATGTGATTTTATACGTTTACTTAATATCACTGGACTTGAAGATATATCTTCACTAGCCATTGATAGATTATATTTTCTAAACTAATAAAAAGCTTTTGTCTGTATTCTAAAAAAAAATAGAAATCAAATGATTTTCTAAGTATAATAAATTTTCTTTAATTGAAGATATGCTAATAGTCTATTGTATATTCATGTCACTATGGATATACGAAAGATGTGCACGGTTAAACTTGTGCATCTCACGGGATCTCGTCATTATATTCTCAAAAATTGATTATCGTTTGGTAAATGATGTAGTGGTTTTTGCGGTCCTCTAAGATGTATCAATCAGAAATATTATCTTTCATTTGATAAATATTTTAACTAATCTATAACAATAGAATAATTGATTTCTCGGCTAAAATACTTATCAATTCGTTTGAATTGTCGATATATCTAAAATCGCCATTTTTATTATCATTCATATAAAATTGTCATAGTTTTACCTAGATTAAATCAAAAAACTTCTTAAAATCATTAAAAGATCTATATAGATAAATTTTATTTCAAAAGAATAATATTCCGTACGCTAAATATATCATAATACAATCAATGCATTAATGCAGAGTAACGTCATCAACACGAATACTATTTTATGATTGGTAGAAACGAATTATCAGCCTGTTTTCTATCGTTATACACGATTGTATATCACTAATCGACTTTCTTATTTAAAAAATCGTATTTTATTTATTTCGGCATCCGTTTACACTTCTTTTTTAAATCATGGACCAAATGCAACAATTCTCAGAACCATGTAAACAATTTATGAAAGATTCGATTCGTTTAGTTAAGAAATGTACTAAACCCGACCGTAAAGGTAATTTATTCCTGTTTATTAAAAATTATTTATCTATTTTATATTAATAAAAATTTAGAATTTCAAAAGATCGCTATGGCAACAGCAATTGGTTTCGCTATTATGGGATTTATTGGTTTCTTTGTCAAACTAATTCATATTCCAATCAATAACATCATTGTTGGTTCATAAAAAGCGTAACATTTGTTTTAACTTGTTAAACAAAATCAACTAAACCTTCGTTTTTGTTGTTGTTGTCTACTGTCATTCTACGTTTTATTTGTTAAACATTTGTGCAATGGAGAAAAAAAAAAGATTTTTTTTTGTCAAAAGAAAAAAAGAGAATTTTTTTGAATGATATTTGTTCTTATTCTTATGTTCAGTTTCATTCTTGAATTTGATCAGTTGATGAACTATTTTCTTGGTGAGAAGATAAACCTATATGTGGAAGTATCATCATATCAGACAAGGAGAAACGACGTCCAAATATTAAAGCACCAGGATTTGTAGATATATTTGATGTAATCGGTTGAGATAAAGAAGATCGTCGTTGTTGAGTTAAATTTTTGTCGATAGTTCGACATATATTGAAACAATATCCAACTGACGACATTTTAGTGAATTGTTGTCTTGCTAAAAAAAGATTGTACTCTTTTGCGTCAATTAAATGCCATATGATTGCTTCTTGTCGCTGTATTAGAGAATTCTCTTTCCTATTTTTTCCTTGGGACAAAAACAAATATGAATCATCGAAAATATAGCATATTGTCAATAACATCAGAATGTACTCTATGATCTGTACTCTTGAGCCTTTAATATACTATTTAAGATATAAACAATAAGTTATGATATTTAAACATTTGAGAAAAATAATAAAATATGAAGACGGAATCGATATGTTTCTTTTTTGAGCAACTGTGTAAATATATATATATATATAAGAAATAAACGCCTTGTTAACTTAATAAAGTAGCAAGCAATTATCCTATTGAAATATAAAGTGGTTTTATCTAATGTAAACATTACGCTCGAAGTGGTTTTAATTTAATAAATGGAAAAACATTATAAAATTTTTTGCTTTATTTATATTTTGATTAACTAATGACTATTATAAGTCATATAAAACAAGCATTTAATTAACTGTCGTCAACATTTTCTGTTTTCCAAAACATTCATGTGGTTTTCTTACATATATATATGCATGAAGATCTAGATTTTCCTAGATGGCAGTATAAAACAGAAAAACAAGTTAAAATTTTCCTTTGACTTGTATTTATCGAACCAATCACTATCATATTTCAGTAACTAGCATAGTTAGTATTCTAATAACTTAACCAGCTGTGCATTATTTTTCTTTTAAAACATCCATTTTCTTATTTCTTCTCTTTTGAAAAATGACAACGATGTTACATTCCTACAACGATATCGATGAATTTTCATCATCATCATCATCATCTCATCATGTTTTTTCTCATTACTGTGAAAATGATAATGAATCTTATTCTTCGAAATATTTACCACCACTTCCACCATCTTCATCATCATCATCATTACAAACAAATGGTAAAGAAATTGAAAATAATAATCATAATCATAATCATCATAGAAATCCTCCATCAGTTATTATTGGTGAACCATTTTCAGCACTTATTCATTCACTTATACCATCACCACAATTATTATTACATGATACAGATGAACAAACAATATATGATGAATATGGTTTTCGTATTGATATTAATGAAAATGAACAACATTATGAAATCATACCTATTATTGAAAATGAACAAGCTAAACTTAAATGGCTTACACATCTTGATACAACATATAAACTTGATGTTGTTCATTTACCATTATCAGAAGAAGAAATTATACAAAAAATTGATCCAAAACAATTACGACAAGATACAAAAATTCCTTTACTTTTACAACAATCATTAGGTATTCCAACATCATTACGTGCTCAAATGTGGATGTGTTTAAGTGGTTCTGTACATAAAAAACATCAAGCAAAAATGTCTTATACTGATATGTTAAAACAATGTAATAATGATTCTCAACTTTATTCCAAACAAATTGAAAAAGATCTTTTAAGAACATTACCAACAAATGCTTGTTTTATGACAATGAACGCATCAGGAATATCTAGATTACGACGAATTTTACGGACAGTTGCATGGCTTTTTCCAGGTATAGATAAAAGAAAAAACACACTTCATTCATTATTTTAATTATTAATCTGTTTTAGATATCGGCTATTGTCAGGGTATGGGTGTTATTTGTGCTACATTATTATTATTATTCGAAGAAGAAGATGCTTTTTGGATGATGTGTTCTATTGTTGAAGATCTTTTACCAGGTCAATATTATTCTGTATCATTATTTGGTGTTCAAGTTGATATACGTGTATTTCGTTATTTAATTCAACAATATCTTCCAAATATTCATAAAGTATTTAATGAACATGATATTGATTTAACATTAATATGTTTTCAATGGTTTTTAACATTATATTCGAATGTATTTCATACAAAATTTATTTATCATTTATGGGATTATTTTTTTTTCTATGGTTCAATAATATTATTTCAAATTGGTTTAATGATGTTAAAACAATATGAAGAAATTTTAATGGATTTTGATAATAGTGCACAAATATTTAATTTTCTATGTGAAGTTCCACAATTATTTGAATATGAATATGGTACAAATGAACGAATATTTCATGATTTACCTAAATTATTCGGTTTATCATCAACAATAATTGAAACACATAGAAAAAAATATCTAGCTGAATTAATGTCACAAGAAGGTTTTACAATAAATCCAAAAATGAATTTAGTTAATTTACCCAAAGATATTTTACAACGTCGTCAAAATCAAAAATCAACATCATTAAATCGATCAAGTAGATTTTCTTTTCTTAATAAATCAAATTTATCCGCAAATAATACTCAAGCATTAATTGAACGTAATATAACACAAACAGAAATGCTTGTTAATTTACGTGAAGCTATACTTAAAATAGCTAAACATTTTAAAGATAATGATTCTGAAGGTTACTCACAACAAAATATTGATCTCAATGTTGATTATTCAATTGAATCTCATGTTAAAGATCATGAACATTATGCTAATATATCATTACAAAAATGTAAACGTGCAAAAGCTTTATTAGATTTTGAATGTCAAGATTCGAATGAACTTGGTTTTAAAAAGAATGATATTTTAAAAATTTTATCTATGAATGATGAACATTGTTGGATTGGAGAATTAAATGGTAAACATGGATGGTTTCCAGCTAAATTTGTACAATTAGTTGATGAAAGATCGAAATTATATTCATTAGCTGGTGATGATAGTATCAATGAGAATATATCAGATCTTGTTCGAGGAAAATTAGCTTCATGTATTAAATCAATATTCGAACATGGATTAAGAAAAACACCGATTGTACTTGGTAAGAATTTTAATATAAACCTAGTGACTTATAGGCGCAATGCACTGAATAGATTTCAGTATCAAGTGACTTTGTTTCATTTCTAAAAACAGTGTGTACTTTTATTCGAAAATGTCATGTTGATTTATTATAAATCATTAGTATACACCTACAGCTATCATTTGGTAATAATTATTATCATAAACTAACATACAGAAGTTATTAGTCTTTTAGCGATTTATATCGATTATTGTTTACAACTTATTTTCGATAACATTAAAAAGGAAAGACTAACATCTGTTACACATACGACAAAGTCCATCATTAATAACACAGGCGGTTATTGATTATTCATAAAAAATATAGTTAAAATTCTATAAATACTTCGAAATTACAATAGTTGAATAGACTAATTTGTTATTACAATACTATAGACATTTAAGAAACATCTGTTTATCTATTGTATGCTTAGGTGGTGTCTGTCATCCATGGTTATTTATTGAAGAAGCAGCTTTACATGCAATCAATAAAGATTTTGATAGTGTTTATGCACGTCTTATACTTTGTAAAACATATCGTTTGGATGATGATGGACGAATATTAACACCTGAAGAATTATTATGTCGTTGTATACGTTCAATTAATTATACACATAATCTTGCTCATGCACAAATGGATGTTAAATTACGATCATTTATAAGTGTTGGTCTTAACGAACAAGTTCTTCATCTATGGTTAGAAACATTATGCTCATGTACAGATATTATTAATAAATGGTATTTACCTTGGTCATTTCTACGATCACCTTGTTGGGTATGTTAATTTGAATTTTTTTTTTGTTTTTTGAATTTTAAGCAATCTTTTTAATATAGGTACAAATAAAATGTGATCTACGAGTTTTACAACAATTCTCATTTACTCTACAACAAGATTTTGAATTGCCAGCTGCTTATAAACAATTAGATGTGTTATCAAGTGTACGAGATATGTTAATGAAACATCATTTATTTAGTTGGGATCTTTAACTTTGTTTGTTATTTAATTAGATGATCTATGTGCAATATATATATCTATTCCATATTTTTTATTTAAATGTTAAATCAAAAAAACAAAGGAGAAGAATGAGTACGATATATTATTTTATTTTATTTTTGTCTTTTCCTATTTATTGTTATTATTATTATTATTATTGTTGTTGTCGTTGTTACGTGTTTTTATCGATTAGAAATTATTATAGTTGCGCAAAAGTGTATGAAAAAAAAGACAGTGATTATTATTATTGTTGTTGTTATTGAAGATTTTCATTTTTGTTGTTATTGTGTGTTATGTTGTAAAAAAAACTAAGTAAAAAAAGTTAATGGAATATGGTATTGTTAATTATACTGTTATAAATTCATGCAGCAAAAAGATGAAGAATAAATTATAACCGAGAGTTTTTTTTAGAGATATAATGTTGAAAGCTTTTTTTTAGGAGAGATACTCTAGAATGAAACTATTTAAAAGATTGCTGAGTGTAATAAATAGAATTTGAAGGATAAAAAAAAACAGCTACTCAATATTTTAAATTGAAGGGTTAGAAACGGAACTAATCCGGCTTACCAATGGCTTTACGTCGACAGCTACCGTCAAATTTATTTTCTGTAACATTATAGGAGCCTTTCGAATCTATGAAATAATTCTATCTAATATATTTGTATGATTTCTTTTTTGTGGATCATAGAAAAATAAATATTGAAAAGAAAAATCAAAGTAAAAGAAGGAAAAGGGGGTGATCGAAAATCACCATTTTTAACACACGCTAGAAATGTCATAATACGAAAGTCCTTGTCACCTAGATCACGAATCTGACATCCGTTTGTCTAGATCTGATCCTTTTTTTTTTACCAATTTCCATAGGGGAGTATCTGAGTCTAATATAGGGTAGTTGTATGGGATGTCAAACAAATTATTCAGAAAATTTTCTGGGAAAATTTTCTTTTCCCTCAAACTTTGTAGAGCTTCTTCTGCTGATCATTTTCGTATAAGGAAGTTTTGAATTCTGTTGAGAAATAACGACACTATCGTCAAAATAAAAAACATGGTAAAATAGCTTAAAATCCCATTTTTTACCTTACAAAATATAGGAAAAAAGTCGAGTTTCTAATCTCGGACCGACTATATTTTCAAGAAATATGATATAGTAGGTTTTAAAGAGCACAGTTTTCTCTACAAGATCTCCTATGTCATATTTCTTGAGAATATAGCCGGTTCGAGATTAAAGACTCGACTTTTTTCTATATTTAATAAGAAAAAATGGGATTTAAACTATTTTACCGTATTTCACTATGTTTTTTATTTTGATGATAGCGTCGTCATTTCTCAATAGAATTCAAAACTTCCTTATACGAAAATGATCAGCGAAAAAACCTCTACAAAGTTTGGGGGAAGAGAAAATTTTCTGAATACTTTACGTATTTGTGTTTAGAACCCCATGGAACTACCCTATAAGACCTAGGTACCCCCCTACGGCAAACACGGCAAGAAAGCGATCAGATCTAGACAAACGGATGTCAGATTCGTGATCTAGGTGACAAGGACTTTCGTATTATGACATTTCTAGCGTGTGTTAAAAATGGTGATTTTTCGATCACCCCCTTTCAATAAAAATAATATTTCTTCTTATTAATTTTGCCAAATTCGAATATTTGTTGGTCGAAGTTCAGCACTAGCATCTGAACGTTGTTGTAACATTTGACAAAGTTGTACATGTATTAACATTGATATAGGATCATTGAGTAATATATCCAAACTATATAAAGATTGAAATTGATCGAGAAATAATTTTATTGTTTCAGATAATGAATTATCATTTTGTAAATATAATGATAAACAATTTAAAGATGATTTAAAAAAATCAATAAATATAGTTTGATCATTTAATGAAAGATGATTATCACGTAATGTAAGTGTACGTATTGGTAATGGTGATTGTAATTTATTTTCTTTTATTAAATGAAGTAAATAATGACATGATATATCAAGATTAGTTATATTTGGTGCACTTTGTTGTAAAAGATGACATAAAAGTGTATCATCAAAATGACATGGTGTTGGTAAAATTAATTTACGAAGTTTTGATAAAAACATTGATTTATTTAAATAAGATAATATAGAAAATGTTGGAATCATTTTTGAATGATTTAATTGAGATAATTCAAGTGATTGAATATTTGAAAAAAATCTTGTTACTAATGGCCAATTTGATGTCATATTTACTTTTAAATAATTTATATTAGCATATGGATCATCAACAGGTAATACAGCTGAAGAAACTAGACTATCACTTGTTGTATCAAGTATATTAAATGATAACATTGGTACAGAATAAATATGAAAATTATTTGAATTTAATGATGATTCACAAACAATATTCCAATTTTTCGAAAGATAATATGAATTTTGAAATGAACCTGCTATTTCACAAATATCCGTTGATTGTGTATTTAATAAATATAAATTTAATTCTAATTGTTCTAATAATGGTAATTGTTCAATAAATTTTTGACATCGATAACCATCAATAAGAGATATATTATTACAATCAATTTCATTTGAATAATATAATTCTCTTAATTGTGGTAAATTTAATAAAAAATTCTCACATATATCATGTTGAACATTAAAACTACGTAATTTTAATACAGTTAATAGTGGTATAGATATTTGATCGAAATCTATATCTGTACCAGTTAATGTTATATCAAGATAATGTAAATTAGGAAAAAATGTTCGAAAACCAATTAAATCAATTAAATTTATTTGACTTAGGATTAATTTTTCTAATCGTGGATACTGTGAACGAAATTGAATTGAATATTCTGATATAATATTTAATTCGATTAATTCTTCCATTTCATCAATAAGAATAATACGATCATTATCATTACATTCAGGATTTTCTAATATTAAATGAGTTAATTGAGATGGTTTCGTTGGAAATAATATATGATATTCATCTAATGCTGGTTGAATTAAATGTAATTTTTTTAAATTCTTTATTTGATCAAATGATATATGACTTATCAATGAACGGATTTGTCCGAATGAATATTGATTTGATAATATTAAATTTTGAATATTTTCATGTAAATTATTTTGAGATTTTATATAACAACATATATAATGAAATTGTGATTTTGTCATAAAACGTAAATCAATTTTTGATATATTTATTGTATGAAGACGTGTATGAATTAAATCATATATTCGTTGATTATGACGCATTAATTCATAAAATGAATAGATTATTTCAGAGAAATATAAATAATCAAATATATCAAGAAGAATTTCATCAGGAAATATAAGTAAGGACATTTCGTTTTTTTTTCAAAGTTTAAAATAAAAGAAATGAAATGAAAAGAATCATATAAAACATTTTTAGTTCTTATCTTTGACAATGATATGAGCACAAACATATTCTATATGATAATAATATATCTATGTTTAAAGTCTCATGATTCAATGTAAATAGGTCATGATTTAAACGAACATATATAACCTTATTTTTTTATTATGTATATATATAAACTTTATCTTTTATAAAATTGTATTATGATAAAATATTTTATAAGAATCAATTATGCACGAGTACTTTTTTTTAATTTTATTTTAAGATATTAAATTTTCTAGTATACGAATAGATTTTTTGAAAATATTTTTTTATTTAAAATACTGACTAAGAAAAAGTAATCTATCGTTTTTGCTAATATTTCGTGTTTCATTCTGATTTTTTTATTATTAGACAAAAAAGAAAATAGAATATTCTCGTGAGAAAAAATATATAATTTAATCAACTATGATGATTATAAAGTGCAGGAAATTAATATATTCTTTTTTAATATTGATGTGTCTATTTGAATTACGTGTAGACTCTAGAGTATAAAAGAAAACGTATCTCAATATTACTTTAGCTATGTTGTTAGATCAATAATAGATAAATGGCATTAAGTGATATCCTTTCTATTCAATTATTTCACTTAATATAATATAACGCAAATGGATCAAATTATTATGTCATGTAGATCAAAAAACTAGGTAAATATATGAAGATTTACTAAAATGTTATCCAAGGATTCATTACAGTAGATGTGTTTTATTTTAAATAGAAGTCACGATCGCTGTGAATTGTATTCCAAAGTATGATCAAATAAAAAATATAAATTCAACATTGTGTTACATGAGATTGATAACACATCTAATATTTTGTTAACATTATCATAACAAATTTTATTGCATAAAAAATAATCAATAATGTATTAAAAAAATCAAATGGGATTCATCGTCAATTAGTCGAGTGATTTTATATATAGTTTTCTATAGCCTAAAATGATGTGTTGTTTTAACCTTTGATTCTCATATTTATTTCTCTAGGGAATATAGATTAATTATTAATATTCCACAAGCAACATTCATAATAAACTGACTTTCTATAGTTATTTATAAACTTTTATTTGAAAAATATATAGTCAATAATGTTTCTGTTACTTTGATCGAGTATTTTTTCTCTTGTCATTATCTTGACATAGATTTTGATTCAATCGATAAATGTACAATACATCAAGTGTAATATACATCGATCAATATGTTAGTTGTCTTAGATCGATATATATAGAGGAGAAGCCAAAAAAGACAAATAGACTTTGCCGATCATATATAAACATTTAACAAGAATATTTTTCATCGGATTTTGTTATTCTCTGATGATCAAAGATCAATAAATCTTCTTCTTCTTTTTTGCTTTCTCATCATTCTTCAATGTCTTATTATTCTTCTCCTCGATCTTTTATTCGATGATAATGATTGAAAGAACTATTATTGATGCAAATGCGAAGGTCATAGTTAGTGGCATTTCAATAATTATTATTTATATTTTCTTATAATTGTCTAGTACAATATATAATAACCAAGGTTCATTTTTCTTCAATTCGATGTGCGCATGCGCCATCAACTGTCAATTTCTTTTTTTTTGTATAAATCAAAACATGAGAGCTACTTTTCCCAACTACCACCGGGATTTAGCAAAAAAAAAGGGACAAATATAGGCATCATTATACACACAAACAAACAAAAAAAAAGAGAAATAAGCAAGATGAAGATATGAAATCATAAAGACGAATTTGTCAAAAACAAAGAGACTAGTAAAGAAATTCGTGAATAGCAAAGATACAAGAGAAAGAATTGAGCATGTTCACAAAGAAGAAGAAAAACAAAATAAAGAAAGTGCACATCATTATTATACAACAGTTCTAAAACGCACTGTAAAACCACACATATATATATCCCGATTATTTATGTTTCTATTATTAAATGTCCTATTTTTGAATATTAAAATATCAGACTAATATTATAATCGATGTTCGTTCATAGTAACGGGATGTGTATTAACAGCCATCATATAACTATAACGATTTGGATTTGTTATAGTTAGATTTGGTGATTGAGAAACTTTTTTATAGGCAACAGTTGATGTTGATCGTGTAGATAATATATGATGCTGAGCATCAGATACACCCGATAAAGATTCCATAGGTGTGGTTAAATGTTGATCTTGTTGATGATTAGAATTGGTTTTAAAACATGAAGGATCTAATTGTAATTGTTGAAAATGTCGTCGAAGACGATCAGCATAGACTTCATATCGTTTTAACTAAACAAATGATAAAAAAACAAATGTATATATATATATAAATTAAATTCTTTACTTCATATTCATAATATTCAATTTTAGCTTTATTTTCTATTAGATCTCGTGCTTTCATTGTTGATGGTTGTTGTTGTTTAATATCTCCATTTGTATTTAAAATATTTTCATTATTAATTGTTGTATATGTATGACTTTTTAATATATTTAATTGAGATGATATATCATTGATTTGATTCATAATATATTCATATTGTTCAAACTAAAACAAAAAAAAAGTTTATAAAAATAATTCACGAAGTTTATTTATTAGAATACATACAACAGAATAACGTGTTTGTACACTTGGTAAAAGTGGTCGTTGAAAATGTATTGATGATGAATCAATAATTGCTGGTAATGATGGTGAAGAAAAAGATGCGGCTATTAAATTTATAGTATCAATCCATTTTTTCATTAAATCATTATCACTTGTTTGAAATAAATATTCTGCCCAATCGGCTGTTTTTAAACGAAATACATGTTGACGTTTACGATAATCTGTAGCTTCTTGAGCAAATGCATGATGTAAACGTATAGCATTTGTATCACCAACTAATATTGTTGCTGGTTGTTGATCATTTTTTTGTAAATAAAGAACCATATCACGTAGACTAGCATAATATGCTTTCCAACCACGACGCATAAATGGAGCTTTAAAAAAAAAATAATTCGATTTAATTTAAATGTTTTCATTCAAATATTTACTTCGTTTTCCATCCGACTCCACACAACATTTTCTCATAACATAACCCTAATAAAAAAAAACAAATATCAATTGAAAAATACCAAATTATTTAAACATATATATACCTGCATGTATTCAACACTTTTACTTGTATCTGGGATCTATAATATAATAAATAAATATGAATTTAGTTTTATTTAAAAAAATATATATATAATTTACTTCTAAAAATGGATTAAAACAATTACTATATCCATGTAAAGTTCCATGACCACCTAATCGTACATCATTATAATCATCTGAACCAAGTGTTCTATAAACAGATAGAGACAAAATAAAATCAAGGATAATATTTATTATTCTTGTCATATGATGGAATGGTGGATAAAAGATGCATATGTTTTTTTTAGTACTAATAATATAATAACATACAGTTAGTTTTATTCAGATAAATTAATGATTTATCAGAAAAATATGTTTGACGAAATAAAGGTTTTATTTTTTTTACTATTATTATTACTTATTTGGACAGTTTGATTATATCTAACGAATAGTTATATAAGCGTTGAGAATTTATTATTTGATCTAATCTCAAGAGATGTATTTTCTAGGAAATGTCAAACAATCAACTATGTCTTTTCTTCTATGTAACGGATTATCTAGTTTCTTTTTTCTCGTTTTCCCTACCTGTATGCGGTTAATGTATTAATTGTTTTCCCGTATTGTCTTTTTTCTCTCTCTTTCTTATTTTGTTGATGTCGTCAAGTAAACGTTATGTTTATGTATATTTCGAGCATGTGTCATTTTTCTCTGTACGTGTGCAAGTCGATGGTTGATGTCTCTATCTTTTTTTTATATATGTATAAGCGTATGCAGAATGCGGAGACAAACAGATATACAACGAGAGATAGAAAAGATCTTTTTCTTTCTAATGTAAACAATTGTCAAAATGAATAAAATATGGGTCGATTCGATATTATTTTTATTTGTCTTTTTTCTATTTGTCCATAATAGATAAAACACGTTTATATATATATCTATATCTATATCTATCTTATACAAACGAAATCATGTTTTCTTCTATATTATATATATATATATCGAACGAACATGGATAAAGAAGGGGTAGCTCAAATAATAGGATTAGAAAAAAAAGACTCGAGAACGAGTAATTTGTTCAATGAAGATGACAAAACACGTTTTACGCGTGAGCGAAGGTGCCCGCCACAATGAACATGTTGCATTCATACGCACGCTCTTCCTATTCACCCACACAAGCCAGTTTCCGGTGTGTGCTAAACAACAATAGGCAAATTATAAGTTTAAACATATGACGAAGGTCAGAAATTTTTTGTTGCGTCTTTTTAGGACTTCTTCTCTTCTTCTTTTTCAAAAACGAATTCTAAATACATGACATAGATTATATAACAAAATATATACTAATAATAAAAACAGATACCTTTCAAATTATTTCTAATAAATAAACATCAAATTCTTTGCCTTATGGATCGTTCTCTGGTAATGTTATCTGGATGACAAATTGTTTCGACTGAATCGAGATGCTTGTCATTTTTTTCCTCTCTCTTTTCTTTTCTTCCTTTTATCGAACTAACTTCTTTTCCATCATCGTGTCAATTAATCACATGTTGGAGTGAGAACATCGACTCATACATAAGGCTATGCAATTAGTTGTTTCCATGCTGGTATTAGTACAGTTCTATATGATTACAAGCACATGCAAGTGCCACTATGTATTCTTTATCGATACAAGGGCAAAATGATCAATAATCTCTGTTTTTATAATACCAACACAAAAAAAAACGAAGACATTGACGATAAGATTTTTTTTCTTTATTCTCATCTGTTGGAAGTCTCGGTCAAGAAAAGAAAAAATAATATTCATTGCTAACTGCATGTATGTGCTCTACTAATTGATGGAAGAAAGAGAAAACCATGTTTATAATCGTCAAAAAAGAAAAACGAAGACATCGACTGATTGAATGTCATAACATACAGATTTATTTGATGTTCATCATACTAATTCAATCTAAGAATTTATTAAAAATACATACGTTTCATCCATAAGTTGTTCATTTTTAATAGCATTATATAATGATTTAAGTAAATCTTTGGAAAAATCAACGCCATCATTTAATTCATGTAAATTCTCGCTGAATTGTTGAAATGTCATTTTCGCTGAGATTTTCTATTGAAAGAAAGAAAAAACCGCAATTAAAGATTATTTTTTCTTTTTTTTTATTTACTGAATCGTGAAGATCCGTATTGAGTAACATAATCGCACATGTTAACATATGACAAGCATCTAAATAATAAAATAAAACATTGTTTTGTTGTTTGCTCATTTAAATAAATTTAATGAAGAAGAAAAAAAAAGTTTTTTTTACACTAACCAACTGATGTAAATGTTGTTGGATTACAATCTAAATATCTTGCAGCAAAAAAATGTAAAACACGTTCACGATCTTGTGTTTCACCAATAATAGTAAATTGTTTAACAAACTTTCTTAATGCACGATCAAGTGTATCACCTTGAAAATCAAATAGTTTAACGTATTCTTCAGCTACCAATTGATTAAAATCATTCCTGGAATAATAATAATAATAATCGTCATAACAACAACAATATAATTTACATATTGGTAAACAGGAAAAGGACATGTTTAGTTTTATAGAATAGAAATAGATACCTAAATCTTGCTTTCATCTTATCATATCTTTTCTTTAGCTCGAGGATAAATGAGTATAGAAAAAAAAAACCGAAGAGAAAAGTATATATTATTCAAAAAAAAAGGAAAATAATAATCTAATTTTGCCGGCTCACCGAACAGTTTTATCCGTCGGCATAAATAACAACTATTGAGATAGAGATAATGAATAAAAATTGTATCGTTCAAGTAAATATAGAATCTTGTTTGTTTTGGTCAACATGATCTTTCAAATGAATAATACACATAAAAATGGAATTTTTCATGTTAATGTCTATACCAAGATTAACCTTTGTTTTATGCTATGGCTTATAGCTTTTAACGAGTGTATGGATATGAGCGGAAATTCAAAAAGTTCTTGTCCCTCTTGAATAACAATCCTATTATATTTTTTTTCAATTCCTCTGACAATAACATTGATAAAGCGAGTGTGACGATCTTCTTCCTTTCTCTTTCCTTTTTTCCACAATAATAACAACAACAACAGTAACAATAATCTTACTAGAAACACAACGAGTGTTTCTAATCTGGATTTCCTGTTGCTTTTATAAATGAGTAGAACAATAGTGAAGAGGGGATTTTATATGTTTTCTTAAAACCAATTTAGTTAACCATACTTCTCGTTTCTTTTTCTCGTTATTTTTCTACAATCAGAATTTATATATATATATATATATATAGAGGGAGGGAGGGAGGGAGAGAAAGAAAGAGATGAAAGAAAAATAGTTAAGTATTTAGTAATTGATTTTGGTTAAAACTTTCAATAAGAAAAACAGAAAAAACGATGTTATAATAATGGTTTTTATAAGAGAAAGTTTTCTTTTTTATCTTAACTAATCAAAATAAAAACAACGAGAAAAATAAAACTCACATACGTCCGATCATTTGTACAGGTGCAACAGTTGAATAAACACATATTCCAAACATGCATACATGTTTCTGTATAAGTCTTGATTATACTGCTCAAACGAACAGTAATATCGACGTTAAAGAGTAGCCTCGCCTGTGGGAAGGAGATGGAAAACGTTTTTGCCAATAACACGTTCACGATGTTTCAATGTGTTCTGCTAATCGACGCATATAATGTGTAGTAGCGCGGTAGACGGTAGTAGAAACAGAACGGAGCGAAAATCGACTCTGCAACAACTACCACTATTTTACTCTCTAGTGTTCAGTTGAGACACAATGCAAAAAATTTCCATTGCTTGGTTGTTCGCTCCGTTTGTCGCCGTATTATTTCATACACACGTGATGATGATGATGATGATGCACCCGCTTGAAGCATAGAGAAGGAGAGTGAGAGTGAGACTGAGAGAGAGAGGAGAGGAGAAAATGAGAGATCGAGGCAGAGAAGACAACCCGGAAGACTCAAGAACATAGAGAGAAAGAGAAACGAAGAGAATGACTAATTACTTTAATAATAGCAGATTTTGGAAAATATAAGAAGACAAGACATACAAGAAATAAAGACATATTCCGGAAGGAAATGACGCAATCAAAATCCTAACAATTTCCCTTTCTCTCTTACTATTTCTTTCTCATTTATATGCACGCAAGCGTGTTATTCTAATCAAATTAAGAACTAACCAAAAAAAACCCAAAAAGGACAGTATAAGAAAAAAAATCTATCGTGCAACTTCATTGCATGTCTCTTATCAAGAATCGTTAAGGTAATATTAGATGATTGTAAACGCAAAAAATATCTTGTAAATAGAGAAGATTAATTCAATGAAAATCTGTCATATCTTATGATAAATTTTCTACTAATATGTTTTATTTGATAAATAAATAAATAAATAACGAAGAAAAAAGAGAAATTGTATCAATTTACCTTTTACATAAATGTCGAACAACATCAGTTGATTTAAAACCATCTAATGCATATAGACGTTTAGCTAATCGACGGGCAGATGGAAGATCAACCGATTTATTGACTGTTTCCGAAGTAACTGGTACTATAAATATAATTATATATATATATATATACATTTATATCGAATAAAAGAATTAAGAAACACTCATAAGTTGATTCTATTATGCAAATGAGATTGTTCTTATTTCTTCTATACAATAAAAAAGATAATTCTTACAATTAAATTCAAATTCATCATCAATATCTTTCAATCTTGCATCAATAGCATCTTTTGTTTTTTGATCTAATTCACATGATATTGGTGATGTTGATTGTGGTGAATTTTTTGATGATGATATTGTGGTTGTTTGTCCATTTATTTTATTATCACCATTAATAGAACTAAGATTATCATAATCAGCATGACTTACAGATGAAATTGGTAAGTCAATTAATGATGATGATGATATAGTTAGTTCATCAGTTGATCTACGATCATATGAATCAAGATTATTTTCACATGAACGACTTCGTTCGGAGTTCGTATATTGACCATAACCATTTATCATTGAATTATGTGAATTACCGTTTGTTATTGGTAAAAAAACTTTTTTCTGTTGATAATATTCCGTATCCGATAAATTATCTTCGTCTGTTGCAGATAGCGATGATGTTAATAATGAAGGTGAATTGCAACATGAATCGACAAGATTAGATGATATATAACCGTTATTATAGTCTAATAAATAAGTCAAACAAATTTATAATAATTAAATTAAAAGAAAAACAATAGATTATAGACAAAAAAACAGTAGAATATTGAATAATAATTTTATGCTTAATATCTTATTTAATAGAACTGTAATTGACCTTTGCATATTGCTCAATTAGACATAAAACAACTGAGATATGGTATAAGATCAGTATATAACAAGCAAAAAGAAAAACTGACGTATGTCTGTTTATCTTGAAGAATTTTCTCTATCATGACACAAAAAAAAACGTTGACATACAAATCATTTTCTTCTAACTGTCAGTTCTTATTACCAATAAGAGATATATTTAGAAGGCAAACTAAATATTGTCGAGTGTCATAATGAATCGATGTATGATAAAAATCAATCTTAGAATGATGCGCAATGCAATTTATAAGATGCCAATGGGCTAAAGGAAAAAAAGACGCATACTATTACTAACGATAAAACCTAATAGTAAAGAAGAAAATTGATTTTCATATATTTATCTCATCAACTAAAAAGAGACTTATCAAAAAAAAGAAAAAAAAAAGAGAAAAAATTGATAGGTTAGTAAACACCTGCGACGTTTAATTAACTACAGTCACCTGTCATTGTCAATAATAACTATTATTCAGTAAAAAAAACTAAAATTAGACACATGTTATTTCCTTTCTTCATCTTTTTTTCTTCTTCTTCTTCTATTCTTGTCAATAAATACAATTAACGCATTTATTTCACATTATTCACTCAAAAGCTTTCAACTATGTCTATATATCCGATTAGAATATTTACTCACTAATCGTCTCTCATCTTGTAAATAATGTATGATCAATATTTTATTTTATCCGAACTATTAAGAACAATTATTACATTATTCATGATAATTTCCATCTGTTTAAATTCACATGAGAAATATAATAATTGTAAAGATAAATCGAAGAAAATTGGGTATAATATGATATGTTTGTCTGACGAAGAAAGAAGACTCGTAGAGAAAAAAAAAGAAGAGGCCTACTATCACTTGCTAGTCTGACTAATAATACCTGACAAGCAAATATAGATATCCGCAGTATTCTCTTTTTTTTTCTTGTTCTTTTTCGCCTTCTAATTTCGCGCTAAACTTTTCTATAATTACATGATGATGATCGACATGTCGATACAAAAAATTCCGTCAACATATACACATATGTTTGGTATAGATAAAGGAAATAAAAAAAAGGATAGAAAAATCGATTATAATCATGATAATCACATACATATAATTGAATAATTACGAATCTAAAACATAGATGTTAATGATTAAATCCATTACTTTATATAATCACAAGTGACGCTTGAAAAGAAAGTAAATAGAAAATATTCTAGTCTAATTTTTTTCTCTATTGTAATAAAAAAAAATCATTTTCAGTTATTATATAAGATAAAATTAATCAATTACGAAGACTATTTGAATGTTCTAATCTAATTATTTAAACAAGAATATTTTATATGCCAATAAAAACATACTCGAATCTTATTATTCAAATAGAACATAAAGTGAGCAACGTATATATATATACGATATAATTATCTACCTATGATAACTTAAAAGAATTATTTTTATCTGAAAACTAAAATAAACAAATTAAATTCTATACCTGATTTTAATCGTATACGAATTCGATTACCAGATAATTTTAAATTTTTTTCAACTAAAATAAAATAAAAATTATAAAAAAAGAAAATTGAATTAATTAAAATATTACGTTCAGTAATTGTTTGTCCATTGGTACTAACACCATTTAGTTCAACGATAATATCACCAGGTAGAACCTTAAATATATATATTTGAATTAATCAAGCGAATATATATGTAATTACTTTAGCGAGTGATCTCCAAATATGTGCAGGTAAATGTGTATTATGATTATTATATACAGATCGAACAGATATAAGTGAATATTTTGAATTTGATGGATTATTTTCATCATTATCCTCCATCCATTGTACACCAAAACCATTTTCTAATAATTCATGTCGATATCTAAAATAAACAAAACTATTTAGTTTAATTTTTTTAATTTAATTTAATTAAAAAACTAAAAATACGTACAAATCAATTACTTTAACAATTGGTGTCAATGCCATCTAGAAGAAAAAAAATAAAATATTATAATTAAATTTCTGCAAAAAAGAAATGACAATAGTAGTAGTTTTTTCTTTTTCTTTTCCTTTCTTTTTGACAGTGAACAATGACTCATCGAACAATTGTCTAAAGAAAAAGAAAAGAAAATATTATTACACTTCTTACATATTTTCCTTTGTTTCTCATTCTTCACCAATAAAATTATTGTCAAGTACCTTCAAATAACTATCGATTGATTTTCTTCATTAGATAAAGTATTCGAATAATTGAGTTATACAAATCAATGAGTTAACTTTTTGAAAAAGTTAAAAGATTTTCAAAATTTTGTATATGCGCGACATCTAAAATAATTTCAAGAATGACCTAAATGCATTTTAGCTAATTGTGGTTTTTTTAATGAAAAAACATATCATGGAAATAAAATCAAAATATTTTCAATCAAATACTGAAACAATGAATAAACGTATTTTAACTTATTTAAATCAATTAGAACCACCGATTGATATTGAATTACCAAAAACGAATATACAATGGTTATATCCATATAAAAATCCTGAAACACAACGATGTGTCGAAGCTTTCTATTCAAAATATTATTCAGATACACACGAACGTATTTTAATACTTGGTATTAATCCAGGTCGATTTGGTAGTGGTACTACAGGTATAAAATCATGAAGTATAGAAGATTCATTAAAATTCTTTCTTTTCTCGTCATTTGAAATATTTTGGACAAACCTGATACATCGTAATATTTTTATTTTTCTAAGGTGTTCCATTAACTGATCCAATACGTTTAAAAACAATATGTAATATTGATTCAAATTTTGCTTTAAAACCAGAATTATCATCACAATTTATTTATGATTATTTTTTTAAACAATATTCAATGGATGATTTTTATCGAAAATTTTTTATTGGTGCTGTTTGTCCACTTGGACTTGAATGTAATGGACGAAATATGAATTATTATGATAATAAAATATTAATGAATAATTTACTTGAGCATTTTATACCAGATAATATTCAATGTCAAATTGATCTTGGTTGTTCAAAAAAAGTTGCCATTTGTCTTGGTGAAGGAGATAATTATTCAATATTAAATAAATTAAATAAAAAATATCAATTTTTTGAAAATATTCTTAAAGTTTCACATCCAAGATATATTATGCAATATAAACGAAAATCAATTAACGATTATATACAACAATATATTGATGCATGTCAATTAGCACAAACATTTCTTAAGTAATAATCTATTCGTCTACTTCTTCTTTTTTTTTTGGTCTATGAAATAATAAGAGAAAATCAAGCGAACACATGAAAATATCTTATTTAATCTATCAGAGGAAAAAAACAATCAGTTTTTGAAAGATATGCAATTGTTCTTGTATATTTATAGTTCTATGAGAATCAATATTTAGCTAACAAATGCCACTGATAAACATTTGTGTTTGTTCCTATTTATGAAGATAGACGTGTAAGAAGAGGAACTAATAATGAAAGTTTGTGTACTGTAAAGATAGTAAACTAACGAATTTAAGATATGACGTAGATATATCGAACTACATAAATTTTAAAGTATACTGTAAATTCTATAGACTGTAAAGATGGAATATAGGAATAAAAAACGATCTGTAGTTACTATTCTATATCGAGCTAGTTCAAAATAATCGTACTCTAGTTTTTGAATGAAAAGTATGTATTCGATTGTGCATTGGGATTTCATTGCCTGATTAATGATTATTGGGAATATAAATAAATAATCAGTAAAAATTGATCAATCTATTTGAACATACATTATTGTGAACTTTGTTGATTCATTTAGGTCTGTAGTTATAAAAAATTCAATACATAAATCAGTTATTCATATTTTGTACTGTCAATATAATAGTTTTATCTGTTCCTACCTTGTATGCAGTTGTATAACTAAATGAGAATATCGACGTACGTTTATTCTACCGATATGGGATTAGCAAATGAGTTTATAATCAATGTTATCTGCAATATCGTATTTCAATAAATGATTATTTGCCATCTTTCTTTTCCCTTGAGAAATTATTTGTTACGTTCCCTATTGATTTGAAGAATCTGATAAGTATTGTTTATTCGGACATTAAATAAATGTTACAAGACAACAAAAAATCATAGTTGTTTCAAAATAGAATAGTAAATATTCATCCGAAATTTTACTGAATAGAACTTTTTTTAAGTATGAAACTTCGAATATTTTTTGTTGAAGTACATATATTTCTAAAATATTCTTTATAGTCCATAATGAAGATATGTATTTTGTTCTGGTTTTCGTATTTGTAGAATAGTTGGTGTTATTGGAAAATAACCAGGAATATGTAAACGTTGTTTTTCTTTTGTTTTTCGATCGATTTTTATTTGTTGCGATTTATCAAAAGGATTTTTAGTAAGATCATTATGAATACCAGCTAAATTTCTTGATTTCAAAGCAAATAAACTTTTAACTAATTCATTATTATTTGTATTCATTCTATGAATAGCAATTTTTAAATTCATTAAATAAATAATACCAGATATATTCGTAAGCATCTAATAAAAGAAAAATTTAATTAAACATAGATTTCAAAGACTTTCAAAAGATAATCAAAGATACAGCGATAAAGATTACTGGTAAAAGAATAAAATTAAAATTTGAAAGTAGTTGATTGAAATGTTTCGAAGCAGGTTCAATGCAAGAAGACTTTAATAGGAAATAAAATGTCGAAATATTCTTAATAAGAATTTATTACACACATTAATATATGAATTATTGACTGTTGGTACTTGTACACATAAATTATTAGCTATTAAAATATATGTAAAATTTATTTCAATAAAAATGTTTTTTGTTATACTTGATATACAGCATGATTCTGGTACTAACCAACCAGGATGAAGTGATGCAAAAGTTCGACTCCTATTTGCTACTGTCTGACCTGTTCTCAGAACGCCATCGATACAACAGTGATACTATAAAACAAATAGTTGAATATAAATTAATTCATAAAGATATAAAACATTACTTTGTTATGCATTAATGTCCATGAATATGAAAGTGAATTCGTCGATGTATCACTTTCAAAATTTCCTACATTTGATTCAAGTATAACTGGTAAACTTGCTTTCATCTAATATATAACAGATATAAATAAATGATCACATTTAAATTTTCAAACTATTAATTAACTGTATCACCCATAAATAAAACTATACAAATAAGTATAACTGAACTTAATAATCCGATTATATTAAATACTAATGCCTACATTTATAGATTTTATTTTATCAATAAAATATAAATGAAATAGAATTATTTACAACTATAGTGACAATTGTTGAATGTCCAAATAAACCAGAACAATAAGCAATAACTGCACCAATGTATAGAGCACCAATTGCAATCAAACCCATAATTATCTTTATATATTAAAAAGACGAGATGAAAGTTTAATAAAAAAAATGAATACATTAAAATATTGAAACATATCTCCATTGATTCGACTATATGCGCGAATAAATGCAAGAACAGGATCTGTAACATCTCGTATTGTTGCCAAATAAATACTTAAAATAATAAGACTACAACCAACTAACTGAATAAAATATAGTAATATCATAATATATTATTACTTACGCACTAGTAGAAAAATTATCATACAAGTGAAAACCAATATTACACACCAACGATTAGACATAAACTAAATATGAATAAAGGTTATATTTATCTATATGATAAATAGTTCATACGAATTGAGGATTGGATGAAAATAATTTCTTTAATTACAAGATAAAGAGATTTTAGATTTTATTTAACATTATTTTACTTTTCCATTTGACCATGTACCATAAGTAAATACATGTTGTAATTCCTGTTCATTTAATGTAGTCTTTTTAGGATATTGTTGTTGATGATAGGAAAGAAAATTTTCAATTATATCATTTTGTTTCATTGCAATTGTTTTTTGTGTTTGTGCAAACTCAGAAAATTCTTGCACTAGATATTCACGAATATTAAAATTAGAAATAAACTAAATTATATTCTATACTAAATGCAGCAAATGGTGCATAGTTTGGTCCAAACATAGATGATATACAATCTAGACAACCTTGAGGATCCGTTGTAATATGATTACATTGTGAATGTGTATTCGAAATTTGATGTTGAATTGATTTATTTTCAACAGCTACTTTCTTTGTGTCAAATGAATCATGTTGTGGAAAATTCATAGTTAATGCTAGAGCTTTTCCAGGTTCTAAGGAATGAAAATAGCTATCATGTTTTTCACCAGAAATAGCTTTTGATGTAGAATTCATTTCAGAATGCAGTAATAAAACATGAACACTGTAAAAACGCGCTCATTTGATATTTATGAAAAACATCTCGATAGATTTGATAGACTGTAGTATGTAACCATTGAATACATCATAAACAAAGATAGATCAGAATTAGATATTGACATAATCTATTAGGTTTGTTAAAATCATAAGCAAGTTTATTTAAATTCACAGGTGACTTTTATTTTAAAAAAAATATTTTCTGATTTACAAATAATAACTTTACATATGCACGCACATATAAGATTAGTATCATATCACAATAGAAGAAATAACATAAATAATATCACGTACATATATATCATAGTATAAAATATATTTATGGAAGATTTCATTTAGAATTACATTTACATACATTTGAAAAACACTAGTTATATTCTTTGAAACCGGGATGAAAAATAAACTGACATTATAGAACAAGGACTTCAAGACTGGAACTTGTTAAATTATTTTTCAAAGTTTCAGTATCTGAATCAAATGATTGTGTCGATTTACATTGTTCTAATGATTTTGATAATAATCTTGATTCTTCGAAATATGAATTGATTAAATCTGATTGTTCAATAAATGAAGAAGATCTATCTGTATTTTTTGATATTTTTTCATTTCGTTTACGATTCTTTGATTCATCATAGCTACTATTTATTAATTGTACTGTCGAACACTCATCTGTTACTCCAGAATGTGTTACCGGTAGATTATTCAAATATAATGATATTGGCTTTACTAAACTTGGACGATGAGATGATTCATCTGGTAACTGTGTTACCATCGATGATGGATCTAATAACGTCTGTGGTCTTCTAGTATTAATCGAATCAATATTAAAATACATTGGACGTTTTAATGTATTCGTATGATAATTAAGAGAAGTCGCTGTTTGACTACAACTTTCTACCTGGATACAATGACGACGATTATTTACGGGAGATTTAATTGAAGTACATTTAACTATTGGCGTAATAGTTGATGTTGATATAAGATTTTGTTCATATTCATGTAATTGACCTAGAAAATTAAAATTTGGTGAAATTTGTGATCGACGTTGTTTTACATATTTATACGCGTCATCGGCAGATAAATGTAAGTAACGAATAATATATGCAATGGCAAGAGTTGGTGAACGACTAATACCCGCTAAAGAAATAAATAATCAAGAGAATAGATAATTAGTCAAAAAATAATACAAACCTAAACAATGAATAAGCACACATCCATTATTACTTCGAGCTTTTTCTAAAATTAAAATTAAAACTCAAAATTATCTCTCAATTAAGTTTATAGTTACCAATAAATGCGTAAGCTTGATCAAAGTATGGTAATAATTGTGCTTTTAAACTATCATCAATTGGTATTCGTAAAAAATGTTCATCATCATTTTTATTTAAGAATGAGGTTCTATCTCCTGTTTTACTTACATTGATAACATGTGTTATATGATTATTCTAAATATCAAAACGTCGACTAAATAAAATAAGAACAAAAAAAACAAGCTTGCCTGCATTGTTTTCATCGACAAAGCATCTTCTTGACTACCTACGAAAAGAAATGGTAATATTTGTGATGGTCCCAAATTATTTGATGTCAGAGTTTTACAATATTGCTCATTTGACGACCGTGGTAACATGTTATTAGTATTGACAAATATTGTATTCGAATGAATATGCATAAGCTTTCATCGAATATAGAGAAAATGACTCATTTTAAGTTGCGAAAACAGCCTCATAGAAATATATTACTGGCTGACGTTTTGCACGAAAATAGATGAATCATTTATCGAAATATTATACAATGATTCATTAATAAAGGTTGATTCTTATATGTCGTTGTTTTCGTTTGTTCCTTTTCTTCTTTGCATTTCGGTATTTTCTTTCCTGCGTCATATCGTGTAATCAATCTTTACTTACTAATAGCAAATAATTCCCATTCAATTGAAAAATTTGAAAGTGGAAAATATTTACATGCTTATTACAATAATAAATAAAATAGATAAATTAGTAATAGAATACTTCAGCAAAAATCAGAAACAGTACAATATATTGCACTACTATACTCTATATTGCAAACGAGAATCAACAATTACATTTTTGCTTGATTTATAATACTGTAGTTTCATCATAAATAATGACGAAATTTATGTCGTGTTGTCAAAACTGAAAAGAAAATTTTATATTTGATTCATCGAAAATAGGTTATTGATCTTTGTAGACAGAATCTTTAATTCTAATGTCAACAGTACCTCAAACAATAGTTGATTATTCATCAATTGAGGTACAAGTTACAAATAGCAGCCTTATATAAAATAAGTTTTGATAATATTAGAAATTAAATGAATAGGTGTGATTTTACAAAGCATAATACTAAACTTTGTCAATGAGATAAAATAAGAGTGACATTTAGTCTAGTCATATGTTTCGATAGATTTATACCCAATATGATGAAAATTGTCATATTAAGTTCGCAACAAACTTATTCATGTTTCAATAAATTATAAATCAATAAATGTTATTTTTATTGCTTTTTAAGACATGAGTTACCTCATATAATAAAGATGTATGCTTAATAAATATAATAAATTTACATATAAATCACGAGATTTTTTTATAGAATGTTTTACTGGATAATTTTAGTAGTTATCTTCCAGTCAACCTCGATATTCGATTGTATCTAATACTATTGACTTTGAATATAAATATTCTTCACACAAAATCAACATTGTAAAATTGAGATGTGTTAAAATCAATTATCATCATCATATATCTTTAAAAGTCTTGAATTTTATTAGTATTGTTAAAAACAATCATGAAAAAGCGAGTTTATCAAAAATTTTACATTAAAAAATAAATGATAAACAGTTTTAAGCATTGGCAGATGATTCTTGCCGACGTTTAGCAACATAAATTCGTTGACTTGCACATGAAATACAATAAACATATTGATCATCAGAAACTGAAAAATTATTTTACTAATATATTGAAACATTTCAAATCTTATTTACATACCTGTAAATCGTTTAAACGACATTTTTTCTGTTGGATGTACACTTATTTTTGCTGCACATAGTACCATTTTATAAATTAAATTCGCAGCATTTTCATTATTTTCTAAATCACCATGACTGTGTTCAATTGAACCTTCTTCATTCATAATTAAATATCCAACACAATCAGGTACATTATCAAATACTTTTACTAAAGAACTCATCTAGAATATTATATTAAATCGAATTTATTTTTCTATTATTACTTAAAATATTTATATTTTTTAAATCTAATAAAAATGATTAATTAACAAAATCGAACTATTCCGATTATATAGGATTTCATCTTTACTTTTTCGTTACCCATTTGATCTCTATTGGTATGTCGCACAAGTTAAGATTTGAATAACAATGAATTCATTACTTATGTATACATATCGATACAACATTGGAGTTAATATTCTTACGATACATAGATAATGTTTATATTATTAAGAAGCAGAACTATAAAGATTGATAATAATTAACGATGAATACATATATATATATATATATTACGATTCACAAATACAAAAGCATAATCATATGAATCTGAAATATAGGTCATTATTCTATATTTCATAAAACATAAATAATATCAAAAAAAAGCAGCAAAATCAATAGAATATAATTAATTTATGTTCTATGACAAATCTATTCAAAATATTTCTTTACTTTTTTTGTCTTAGAGAAATTCGATTATACACAATATTACTCTTCTCATATTTTGTTGTATGAAAAATAACTCATAAATATATAGATGTGCTTTCTATTTCCTTTTATATCTGAGAATTTTGCGTTTTTTTTCAATAAATAAACGGTGTGATGTTAATTTTATAAATAAAACAAAAACTGTTCTCCAAGGGACCGGGATACAACAAAGCAACAAACAAAATATGAAAATCAGTTAGTTGTCGTTTGTTTTGAAGATGATTGATTTGTTCGTTGTCGAACTTTTTCAAGAAAAACACGTAATTCACCGGCTAATTGATCACGTTTAACTTCAAACTAAAATTACGAAAAAAGAAAACAAACAATAGAAGAATTGAATTGTTTTTATATTTATAAATCAAAATAAATCATACTTCTTCTCTTGTAATAACATCACGAATTTTCACTATTCCAGCTTCTAATTCTGCTCCACCAACAATTACACATAATTCAACTTGATTTTTCTCACAATATTGTAATTGATCAAGCATTTTTGGATTACGTTTAAATGCCATTTCAGCCTATGAAATAAAATAAATATTTCTTTTTTTTCAATTAAAAATATGAATTTAACCTTAAAACCATTCGCCCATAAATAACCACATAATTTCATACGTTCTTCCATTAAATTTTTTTGAGCTGATGCTACATATACTTCTGTTTCAACAGTTTTTGTTTGAATATTTAATTCTGCCATTTGAACTTCTTTAATTGCAAATATTCTTTCAACACCAATACTTGCACCAATGCAAGGTACACGTCGTTGTCTTGGATCAAGTTTACCAACTAATTCATCATATCTACCACCACCAGCAACACTTCCAACAGCAACTTGATCATCACCTAAGTCTGGATTATATTGATATTTTGTGAGAACAGCTTCAAAAATAACACCGGTATAATAATCTAAACCACGAGCTAATTTTAAATCAAATATAACCTAAAAAAAAAAATTTTATTTTATTAATAAAATCAAAAATAAAATTCGATTGAATTTGCTTTACTTTATCCATAACACCATATAATGTTAAATAACGAAAGAGTTTATCAAGATCTTCCAATGCTTCATTCGCTGATTTTTGACCTGTTAATTGAGCATCAGCTTGAAGTTTACCAACTAGATCAGCACTTCCTACAGAAATAAAATAAAAAATTATGCATAGATATATTTACAAATAGTATATCTGTATAGAATATACCATGCATTTGAACATAACTCCAGATTTTATCGGCTACTTCTGGTGCTAAACCTTTCTCATGAACCATTTCATTTCGAACAACATTCCATGGTGTCTAAAAAAACAAATCAATGTCTATTTATCTTGAAAATATATGAATAATTTAATACTTTATCGAGTTTATCAACAGCTGAGCTGATTGGACGAAAGTGTGAATCTGGAACACCACATACAGCAAAAATAGCATCAAGTAATTTACGGTGGTTGACCTAGAAACAAATGATATCGAAATAATGATAAAATAGAGCGTATAGACATGCATATTATCTTATGATCATGATCAAAGATGAACTTGAAAAAGAAAAAAGGTTTATTTAATTTAGACCATATCTATTGACACGTGAAGTATACCGTACAGCTCAGTTCAATTTACCTAACACTAGTAGTCAAATAACATATAATCAGTACAATGCCTTTTGAGATCACAAATTTCTTCAAATTTACAACTAATATCGTACTATTGATAGCAGTTATACATAAATCTTTCGATATTCAGCTTTATAAAGATCACCTTTAGAATACATATAAAGGGTGAGGGTGTGGGTGTCTCTTCTCATAGCTTACACTCACATCCACACTATTTTTTT